AAAAAACTCTTAAAAAAGAGATGAAAAAAATTGTTATAAACATTGGCAAGCATATAATTAACACAACAAAGTGCAAAAAAAAGAGAAAAAAAAATTTAAGAAAAAAATTGTTTAACAATTTTTACTTGGCAGCCAAAAAACTGCCAAGATGTTTGCCAAAGAATTGCCAAAGATTCTCTGCCGAAAGGCGGCAAATAAAATGCTTAGTGAAATTCCAGAGAAAATGAATAAATTTTTATATACCCCTAATAAAACTGATAAAAAAAATGAATAATGAATATATATACGAACAGTTCGAAAAACGCATTCAATCAAAGACCACTCAGTCATCCAGCAAAGTCGCAAAAAAAAAAATAATTAAATAACTTTGTTCAGAATTTCTGACGACAAAAGTCGCAAAAAAAAGCACGGCTTCAAAGCAAATAATTAAGAAAAAATTCCGGCTATAAATTGTTGACGCTGTTCAGCAAAAAATTTGGTGTTTGTCAAGAAACAAAAAAAGTTTTATTAAAACTTGTTTATAGAGTGGAAACTAATGACTTTATACTCAAATGCAATTGAATTTTAAGCGCTGCTATTTTCGTAAATTTCCGCGAATTCGTTAATGAAAAGAATTGGGTTCTTTAAACAAAAAAGCTATATTCTTCAAGCTCAAACAAATAAATTGGGCTGTCTGTGAAATTTGTTTGAACTGAGACAATTCAGATTAATTTTTTATTAAGTTTCGTCTTTGAGTCTCATCTGAAATTCGGCAAATCAGAGGCCATTAACAGGCGTGACGACAATAACAGAGAGTCGAGTCAGAAAACAAAAATTAATACTGCCATAAAACAATCATAAAATATGTTAAATAAAAGAAATTGAAATCCATAAACGTATACACATAAATATGTGAATATGTGGTGAATATATAGGTGACGCCATAGGACTTGTCAGGACCCCAAACAACAGACAGAGTCATGCCTGACATATGTGGATGACAGTTAAAATTCTTTGGCAAGTTTTCAATAAATTGGGCTTAAATCACGTAGAAAAACTACAAGAAAGTTTTCGATAAACAAACAATATACTTTTTCCCTTTGCCAATAATTAAATTAAATAACAAACAAACAAGTAATTGAAGTGTATTCGTGCGTAGCTAGAAACCACAAATTTCCAGAAATTATTAGGTTGAATTACCCACAATTTCCATTCGCCAAAAAAAAAGAGCTTCAATTAGATGTGTTTAATTTGTATTTTACGCCTGAATATTCTTTGCCCAGAAAGGGTTTACTTGTGACGGGCCCTCAAAATAAAGAGAAAAAAAAGAAGGATGATTAATTAAGGTTATTTTGATTAATGTTTAACCCCGAACCCCAAGGTCTTGGCACACAAATCAGCGGAGCGAGCGAATGACGAGCGAGAACCCTTCAAGAGGCAAGAAAACAATGACCATAAGACCACACAATAACCTATCCATTTTAATATATACATAATATATATACTTACCCTTCATATACAATATCCCACTGACCCAAATCTCGGGCAACACCTTGGGCCCAAAACAAGGAAAAAACCGGGACTCAACAGCTGGGCAAATATTTGATCTGGTTGCGGTTCAGTGGCTCTCAAACCGTGACAGGTGCAAATTGTTGAACCTGCCACTGTCTGTGTGTCCCTTTAGCACACCTGTACTGGGTCACACACACAAGCACACACTCCCACATATAGAAGTTTTGCTTTTGCTACCTTCCTCCTTGTTTTGTTTGTGTATATGTTTTTTTTGTGTTGGTCCTGTCCAAGTTTTATTGGTCTACGTCTGAGTTAAGTCTGTTAGAATTTTCTTGTCGTTTCAGGCTTGTTTTTTTTTTTTGCTGCCATGTTTTCATGTCCTTGAAGTATCCTTAATGGCTGCGGCCTTATAAATCTTCTTTTTGACAAAATGGCGCAGCACGTAAATCGGTATATCTGTATATACATACATACGCGTATATACGCCACGGTCTTTGTCTGCTCCAAGGGATATAAATTATTTTCTGGTCCGGCTATCAGCGAAACGTAACTTTGTTCTATGTATCTTTTCACTTTTGTTTTGCCAACTAATTGTGCCGCCTTTCGGCTTTGCTGTTGCCTTACTTTTTTACCTCCAAAGTCTCTTATTGCTTTGCATGTGCTGAACAATTTATGAGCACTGCGGCTTAGAAGTCCAACAGAAAAAAAAAGCGCAGCAGCATCGCTTGTCGCGGCATAAATAAAATTAATTATTCAGGCAAAAAGGCAACGACTTCGACTTTGGCTTTGACTACAGAAATGGCAAAAAAGCGGCATACTGGCCAAAATCCACAAAAGACCAAAAGCATTGCCGTAAAAGTCAAGACCATCGGAGATTTAAAATTTAAGTGCCACCAAAAAAGCAAAAGTTGCAGCTATCCAAACAGTTAAAAATAAAATATTAAATATTAAAATTAAATAAATTATTTATCTTCAATTACTATATATACTTTTAAATCTAGGTAAAGCCTTAATCTAAGTAATTAATCCTTAACTTAAACCTCAATCTTGTTTCCCTTTTGGTTTGCAAAGAATCCTAGATTTGCAATTTGTCCTGATGAAATCCTGCTGGAAAAGAGCTCAGAGAAAGGCTACAAATACAAAACAAAGACTAACCTTTAGCCTGACAGATGACCACGCCCACTGGCAAGTTGCCGCCCACTGACTTGGCGTGAAGTCTGCGGGAAAGAAATTAATTACGCACGCTTTAAATTTGATTTCATTTGTTTTCGTTCCGTTCGTTTCGCTCCAAGTTGTGTTAGGTCCGCTTAACTGCACTTGAAAAAATTAGGAAATTCTATAATTTTATAATTACGATTTTAAAGAAATTTTCCATTGTTTTTAAACATACTTTACAATTTTTAAAAACCAATTATCATGATTTTTGAAGGATTTTAATAATTCTGGTTTGCGTTATTGTTCAAACATATATCCTTTTTTATTCGCTCTCTGTTGAGCCTTAAACTTTTTCTTTTTTTTTGAACCTTTAGTCCTAGACCACCCCACTTTTTTTTATACCCCTTGCCCTTTACCTCCCCCATTTTCTTTGGTCATTCGTCTTCCATTTCGTGTTTTAATGAGCTTCATGCGCCACACGCTGATTTCGCTTTCTTCGCTGCTTCTTCTTTGTTTCGCTCTGGCTTGTTATTATTATTGTTTCTCCCTCTCCCCGTCACTGGCCCCATGCCCCAAGTAGTCACCACCCCAATCCTCCATGCCCCAATCCAAATGTATTTAATTTTTTGTTTTTTGTTTTTTCCACTCAATGGCAAATTGCAAATTGCGGGTTAGCATTTCTTAATGTCAATGCCATTGAAGAGGGCAGCAGAAGAATGAAGAATGGGGGGCTTTGGGGGGGGATCAAAAGAAACAAACAGAAATGGTAAACTTTAGATAGAGACTGATCTTCAGGATAACCTTGACAAAATCTATAAGATACTACTTTAAGAAAAAAATGCTTTACAAGTGAATGGCCCAAAATCGTTACTTAAAATTCTTACAAATACACTCTTTTTGCACTGAAAAAAATACTTTCTTTTATATTTTTTAATTTCATTCCCTTTTTCTCAGTGCCATCTCCTTCAAACGAAACATTTTCATTTCATTTTCCTTATTTTTTCGGTTTAAGTGCGCAAGTTAATTGAATTGGGGCTTATGCCCGGGTGGATGCGAACAGCTACAGTCTCTACTAATTGTTAATTGCCTGGGGGTGGCCACCAAGCAGAGGAACAGTCAGTCAGAAGAAAAAAAAAAGAAAACAAGCCAGAAGCGCCACATGCATTTATGGTAATGCGAATCCTGAGCTGAGAGCTGCGAATTGCGAGCTGCGAACATCGAAGCCAAAAAACTCAGCGGGTGAAAGAAAAAGCACGCCATGAGGCAAATTGGAGTGCCGGATCAGGGCCAAGAGTGCAACAAATTGAAAGTGTTAATGAATGTGGCTAGAATGGGCAGGACGAAATAATTAAACAAGCTGATTAAGTGGCCCAATAAATGCTGTCCAAGAGGGCCAAAAAGGGGCAATTGAAAATGAAAAGTTCAAGTTCTTATTAAAGTGTGCATTTTCATGCATAGCCCAGTATAGTAATCCCCAGTCTTTAAGCTTATTTGCTCATTATTAAGCCTAATAAAATCCAAGCAAGCCTAATCCAATCAGAAACCCGGAAAATTGTTACCATAGCATTTTATCGTCCCTGTGTTCACCTTGCCAAGGGAATCTCACTAATCGACATAAATCTTATAACTAAACCAAAAATACGAGCCATTAGCTCCGCCATTCGGCTGATACATTATGCACCTGATACAGCCGCAGACATTAATTTAAAGCCAGGCCACCCACCCAGCCAACCCCCCGACTTGGCTTTGCTGAGAAGACAGAACCAATAAACCAAACGCTGAATAGCAGGCATCTTCTTCATGTCCCAGACGAAGGTCATAGGGCAGGGGGCAGAGGATGGTGGTAGACCATGGTTTATTGCTCAGACAAGGCGCAGTTTTTCGTTTTAATAACAATATTTACTCATCATAAAGTATAAATGAAGGCATAATGTGTTGACGTGATATATAGTATATATTTTTATATATAATATGCAGACAATATATATATTTTTTTGTGTGGGATTCTGTAATTTTTGTGTGTGTGCTGCGTTGGTCACAGCTGGCTGCCACGCCCTTTCTCCCTGACTGCTGACGTACAAATTTCACGGCTGTTTCAACGCTTTTCCTGTTGTCTCTTAACTTGTTTTCCTTTATTCCTTTATTTTGTGTGGCTTTTTCTTCACTTAGGTGTCATGTGAAATACCAATATTTGCAAGACAGACAGGACAAGGGCAGGAATGAGGTTCTGCAAGTGCCTGGCCTGACTCGTCAATGTTATTGAAAATTTTTAAATAAATAGACAAGCCAGTGAGTGGCAGCTAAAACACTTGAACAAAAAATTAAAGGTCCTAAAAAAAAAAAAATTTAATATATAGTTTTTATATAGGTATTTTATTTAATCCCTTGATTGACAAATAAAATACATTTTTTCATGACAAGCTTTATCAATCATGGTATTGTTTTTCAATACAACACAATGCTCATTAAACGCATGATTGGGTCGTCCCGGAGCCCATTTTATAAAATTTGGCTCAAATCCGGTAGTCAGAGAGCGATACTCGTAGGAGTTTGGATTGCCCCACTCGTTAATATCCGTCCAGTAGTAATCCACCAGGCTAAGGTGCTCTGTCAACGCCTTCATCTCATTCATACTTTGGAGGCTCACCAGATCACCACCCATTTGCCGGCAGAGGTTGGCCGCATCGAAGAAACCGATCTTCTCACGTTCCTCAATATAATATGACTTTTCACCGATTTTCACATAGTTTGGCAGCTGGACCTTGTAGGTGGGTAACGGCCGGAACTTGGTGGATGCCTCGTTCCGAGGCAAGCTGGCCAGTTGGTGCTCCAAATGTTCTAGTTTGGCCTGAGTCTGCATTAGTTTGGTGTCCTGGCGGCCAGTCAAGTAATCCATCATCGGCTGGATGGCATGGAAGCAGTATCCTGCACATTGCTCTTTGAGTGGATCCTCTTCCGAACTTGCCACATCACTGGCTATTAGTGCTAATAGAATAAACGATGCTAGCTTTAACATCTTGAATTTTCAGAAAGACTGAGTGCGATTTCTCAGTGAGATCATCTTATATTTATTCAAGTAGCTACGTATAGAAAATCGCTGATAAGATTGTTATTCTTTTTGGTTTGTTTGGATTCTCTGAACCTCGGACACCTTTCCTTATCAAAGGTGCATCCCCGTGGCAGTCATGCACTGCTTATGTCAGAATAGGGACTTTCCCGGGGTAATGTCATATTTAATCTAAATATTTATGCACTTACTTATATATTTATTACACTTGACACTTTGCTCATTTTGTTTACTTTTTAAATTCCAAATTAAATAAAAAAAGTATTAAGCAAGCAATGTTTATCAGTTGTTATCAAGAGTTCTGTAAAATGTGCTGGAATTTATTTTATTGTTCCAAGTTCATAAAATGTTTGGTGTTTTTAAGCCATTAATATTATTCTTCCACCATTTTTTCTCAGTGTGTGAGCAACCAAAAACGCGAGACGCGTGCAGACTGTTAAATAGCGTTAGGTGGCGCCACTCCAGCCACTTTTCTTGGCTTTTCCTTCTCCCCTCCCCCACTCCTTGTGGCAAAAACATCCTCCTTCGCAAAGTGTGTATGTGTATTTTTTTCCTGCCACCCCTGTACAAGCCATCAATCAATGGGTCTTAGAGCATTTTGTTCCCTTCGATTAGCGGGCAAGCGCTTTACGGGGCGTATGCGCAATTAATGCGATTTGGTTTCTGCTTCAAAAACAAAAACGAAAAACAACAAGAGACTTTAAGAAATTCTGTGCCTTAGCTTTCCATTGAGGAATTCATGAATGTTCTGCTCTAATTGCATTTTGCGAAAGTTGTTTCTTTTCTTATTATATTTCAAGTTTGTTTTTCTGCGTTGGTTTCATCATAATTACCGAGATAATTGCGCACGCATCGTTAATTGGAGATAAATTAATGGAAAGGGAGGGCTAGAGCCCAGGCGAGAGAGACGGGTAGACAGGCAATTAAAGAAAAGGTGTTGATAATGAGCCAACTAACCGCAAATTGGTCTAGATTCGGTTACCAATTACGAGCAATGGAGGAATGAAGGCAGAATGGTAAAGTCCTCTAGATTGGCTTTTTCAAATCAATATTTATTGATCAATTCAGTGCTTCCTCTTGATACCCATTTGCATATATCCTTATATCCTCTGTCAATGTCCTGTCGAACCAAGTGTAAAGTATGATAAATCAATCTCGCCCACACACAAAAAATAACAAAAATAAAAAGAATCGAAAGTTTATTCAACTCCCCGGGCATTCATCATGAATGAATATAAATAAGAGTACGTGGCATCGAATAAATACGTTATTTCGTTTATTTCTCTTACCCATATTTACACTTCTGAATGATAAATTTCTGGACAATAATTCATTAAAACAAATCAAACATTTTTTTATTTAACTTTTGCCATCAGAAACTAAGGCAATTCCTGAATGAATTGTTCGCCGCTCAAAGTTTAGGCTTCAGCTGTTGGTTGAATTGTTATTATTAATTTTATAGACATTTCGTGTGCGTGTCAGAGCCATGACCTCTGACCCCTAAACTAAAGGAAGCCAAGTGGCTCAACAATGCGTAAAAACAGGAAAGCCATAACAATTTGCAATTAGCCCAAGACGTTTGTTTTGACACTGTCTGAGGCCAAAGGGGTGATTAAAGGTGTGTTTTGTTAGCCAAGGACAAGGTCAAGGCATCAGGGCAGAAAATTGCCAAAGAAAATAATTATTTTGCTGAAAAACGAAAAAAGTTATACAGAGCTATGAGTCAAGTCTAAGCTAGTCCTTATTTAAACTTCCCAAAAAATTACACAAAACCAAACTTCCTTGCCTTAATAGTCCTTAATCACTTGAACCGCCCAAGGAGGAGTTCTTGAGTTGAAAACACCTTTTGTCCTGCCAGTCCTTTCATTCTTATGGCCAACTTACACTTTCGCCAGCGAAAGCACACTCGCCAGCCAACTCCTCCAGCCCCAATCGCTCCTTAAGCAGTTTAGCATTAATTAAGTTTGAGTAGAAGTTTCAGACATTCCCCCAGCTAGAAGAGAGATAGAGAAGGGGCTTTAGCCAGCAAAGTACTTCATTTAACTGTCTGTCTGCTGGCCAAGTGATAAGCTACTAAGCACCCCCCAAAAGACCCAGACCCTCCTGGTTGCAACCAAAGTCCCGCCTAACTAATTGCTGCCTTTTAACACTTGCGTCTAGGGGAAATCCAAATAGCTCGGTCTTCCTCCGTCATGGGCGGTGTGCATTTCCTGGCCAGACAAGTGGAAAATCCACCCTCTGCCCCGAATGATTAACTGCATCAGGTAATGTAACAACGGAGCAAAAAAAAAAAAACTGGTGGGAGAATGGAGGAGATATGTATTTTTTTTCTTTTGGGGTTCCGTTTATCGGACATCATCGGTTTTCCGCTTTTGTCGCTTTATGCGTCAGCGCACTAAACCAACATTTTTACACCTAAGAGCAGAATCAAGAACCGAACCGTACAGAACCGATTCCAAGCCTAGAGACCGGCGTTGGAGGAGTCTTTGCCGGCGAATAGCATTTAACGCTTGATTTGACGCACCGCTGCATTTTCGGCCTGAATGGGTGCGAGACATGGCTAAGAGTATTAGTAGCCGCATTACCGTTAAGTTTACAGTTTAACTGTTAAAGCGAAAGCGGTGGAATCCCCAACCCACCATGAAAGCCACCTGACACCCACCAACCCGCAATCCATTAGCCAACATTACGCATACGCCGCGTGGTGTCCATAAAAAATGCAACTCTGCATTGTTTAGCCGGCGAAACAGAACAAGTGGAAAAAAAAGTGGCAAAAAGAAAAAAAGAAAAATAATAGAAATGCGAAAAGAGGGCGCCAATGGTAAGTGGGCGTGGCCACGTTTCTTTTACGTGCCTGGGCATGCAAAGTGCAGCAGCTGCAACCTCTACAGCTGGGAATCGCAGCATTTGAAACCCATCCATATTGATGTGCCAACATGGAATACATTTTATGATGAACATGGATTTCAGCCTTAATACTATTTTTTTTTTTCTTATTTTTTCAGCAAAGTTTTTAAATATTTATAGGTTGGAGCTGCTCTTTTTTTTTATTTAGAACGTGGGAATTTGTAACATTGTGAAATATTTCAATTAAATATTTTATTTGGTGAAAACTTTTTCCATACATTTAATTAATTTTAAGTAAATGTATTCTATGCTTTAGTTTATTCAAGTTTTAGTATTTTGTTAACTTCAGTATTGATAGGAATTCAATAAATTCTCCATCAATAGACCACAATATTTGGCCATTTAATTCTTTATCATTTATCAAAGCAAATTATGCGCTAATCTGGTCCAGACATCGCCCGTTAACAAATGTTGGCCCATTCTTATTCTTGGTTTGGCTTTTGGCCGTCGCATTGCAGGCACCACATCGGAAATGACAAAAAAAAAAAAAAATAAATAAGAAAAGAAATAGAATTGAAGAGCAATACAAATCCGCAAATCAAAATATATCTGAAATGTTTGCGAGGGGAGGTGGCAACTTTTGGGGCGGTTGGCTGTCGTTTATTCTGTGACAATGACATGCGACAACGTTGCAGTTGAAAGGGGCCAGCCCAGATGAAAATGGATCTGGTGGAATCCCCTCTATTCCTCATCTGCTTCCCAACCATTTTATATTTATTTCACTTGGTCTAATAACAGTAACCGTAGTGGAGTAACCAGAACCAGAAACATAACCCAGACCATGCCATCTAAAGCTAAAGTCCCGAATTCTGATTCCGATTCCGAATCTTTGCCAAGAACCCCAAAAACTTTACCCCTCCCTATAGTTTTCCTGGACTCACTGCACTCCATCCCCCCACCGTTTATTATATTTTTCTCCATATTTCTCGCTCCACCAGAAATGAGGCTGCCAAAAAATGTTTGCTCTAGGGATTTCTAGATGTTTCCAACACATTTATTAAAGCGAAATATTGGGGCAGGGTCTGAGTGCAGTGCCTATGACAGGACCATCCAGGGGATGGAGAGGGGAGGTCAGTGGCGATTTGGGTGGGATATTAATCATCGGGCAGACTTAAATTGCAAATGAAATCGGAATTGGGCAACGGTGCGTATGCGTATTGTAGTTGAGTAGTTCGAGGCGACAAGGGAGCCAGAAATTGGCAGACTCTGTCAAGCATTTTGTTGGCTGCAGCAAACACAAACATACATATTCAAATTTATACACTAAAAAAAAATTATATTATATTATAATTATAAAAATAATTAAATTAACCCATAAGCTAAAATGAATTTAATTAGTTTTTAAAAGAATCCTTTAATGTTAAAGCCTATTGTAAGACCTTTAGGCTCTTAACTTATTTCAATAATTCTAAACTATTTTTTTTTTGAGTGTACTTATATTTATACACACACATACACAAAAAGAGACAGAGCGACAGCCAAAGAGAGAGATATCCATTAAACAAACACAGAGAAATCGCCGCTGACATAAAGCAGCAATGGCTGTCCTGGCAATGTCCTGGCGTTGTCTACCGCCTCTCCACTCTCCTCTCCCGGCCTTTGTCCTTTACCCTTCCTCCTGTGAGTCTTGCTGTCGCCTCGCTGGCGCCATCTGTCGCCTCTTTAGCTTTTCTGCCTTCAAGCCCTCAAGCCGGCACACACACATGAACATTCATTGTGAAATCCTTAATGTTTCATACTCCACACACACCATGTTCGCACACATCATCAGCATATTGCCATTTTTGTCAAGATTTTTATATAATTTTTTTTTTTGCAGGTCCCGCCACCGTTCAGATGGTATCCCAGAACCGGCCACCACCCCCGATGCCGGTGCCCGTCCAGGTACCGCCATATGTCAACGAAAACGGGACACTCACCCACGTAATGCTCTCGCCGCAGCAGTACCAGCAGCTCCATCCGGGCCAAGGACACATCCATCCAGGGCCATTCGTAAGTATTTCTCTTAAAAATTTCCTTAAAAAATGTCTTGAAGACAAAAGCCTTAATTGAAAGTCAAGAGGGTGTAGTTTGTTTCTCCTTATCGGAGTGGAATGAATGACAATATCTAATTTCCATCCCATTAGTGGGGACTTCCTCCGGCGGTTAGTTTGCATTTTGCATTTAACATTCGGCTGCTTATCAATTAATTGACAGCTAATTGAGCGAACAACCAGCAATCAGCGGCACTCGTTCTCCAGCTGGCAACAATAATTCCCCAATGCTAATTCGATTTTCAGTTGAAACTTCCATTGTGGGGCGGCTGTAAAAATAATTTATTATACAGACTCGAGTACAAACAAACCGGATCAGATCCGGGTAAAGCGATTCCCGGAAAAAACCGAAAAACTATTCTCAATTACCAACTGTGTTGGGGAGGAACCGGGCTGGAACAATGGCTCTCTAAATTGGTTAAACTTTTAGCGCTAAACACCAATTAAATAAATTTTAAACAAAAGCTAAAAAAAAAAAATAAATAAACGCGTTAAAACAGTTGGCCAACTGTCGCCAGTTGCATTTATTATTTATTTGTTTGTCGTTCAACTTAAGTTTAGTTTATAAAATGGAGGAATTGTTCGGTTTGATGTGTTTGCTTTGGAAAGAGAATTCCTAGAGGGGGGTAAGTGTGAAAATTGCATAGCTAATTAGTCCGTTTGCTTTGTTTTCGATTGGGCTCAAGTCAAAGTCCCATTTGCCATAATGACTCACACACACCCCGCAAATATTTGAAAAGGCAATGCAAACTGCAAGCTGCCACACTGCCAACTGCACAAGCTGACAAATGCATTCTCGGCCAGATCATTTGCCGGTTGTTTGGGCATCTGAATTCGATTCATTGCACTTCACGAACTGTCATCTAGGCGCGAGCTTTCACAATCAGTCAGTCAGCAAAGGTATTTGCTTTGAATGCTAATTAGTCGGTAAAAAGTATAGATGCCTTAATGCCTCAGATGGAAAAAAAGTAGCTTGTAAATATGTACTTACAACTAGGTATAACTTGTTTAAGGTTTAGGTAGAACATCTTGTATAAAAGGAATTAAAAAATTTAGTTTATTTGAAAGTAAAAAACCTACTTATAAATAAGGTTTACTAAGCAAGTGGAAGTAACTAAACAAAGTGGCTAAAATGTGTGTAAAACACTGTCTTACCAACTGCATTATTTCAGTTAGTTCAGTTATATGGCAGCTATAGGATATGGTCCCTTCAGTGATGGCTATATCTTCCCCAATTCTCATCCGATTCTCAAGCGGAGTTCCTTAAACGTTTTCTAGATCTTCTACAAAATTATAATACTCTGCGAGGGTAAAATAAAGCCTATTACTGTCATTATGACAGATTTTCACATTTTTAGCTCCATTAACATGCGGAACTAGTTCGCTTCCATTGCGGCCATCGCTATGATGACCAAGTTCATGCATTCCATTTAAATTGTCTCGCTAATTTGCAAAATAGCAAAACGAAAAAAAAAATAATGATAAAATAAAAAAAAAAAAACATGAAATTGCTTGTTAGCCAAAGCAGATGAGCGTTACCCATTCACATCACGTTTCAAAAGGCACTCTCCCGACCCATACCGCCCCCCAACTGTTTCAACTGTTGCTCCGGTCGCCACTTATGTCTAATAATTTAATAATAACAATTTCATTGTACAGCATAAACATTCCCATCCTTCTTTTATGTGCAGAAATTGTTAACGAAATTCGAGGCATAATTGAAATATTTTCACTTCCCGGACGGATGAAAACTGCTGGCCAAATGGAGCCGTTGGTTAGAGTCAAGTTCGTGACTTGGCCTGGCCCAGACTGAAATTGAAATTACCATTCTGGTTCTGGCCTAGCGCCTAGCGCAATTTTAATTCTATTGCCCCCTCAACTGCCTGTTTTCAATTTTTTATATTTATTGTATTATTATGAATCGCTCATTTTAAATCAGAATTAATTGTAGTGTGAATTATATAATTTCCATTGATTACTTTTTTTTTTTTTCCCGGTCGTCGGGCTATAATTGTTTGACACTTCAGCGCTGATTTATTTATTTGTATTTGGTAGACAAATCGAATAATTTTGTTGTTACGCTAATTTATGTGAGTTCAGCAGGAAGAGAATGACAATTCAAAATAATAATATTATTTTTTGAAACTTAATAGCTTTTATTTAAAGTTAAAGTTTACGCTGACATGCAGGCAAACAAATATTCCCATACAAATCACCCTTAAGACACCCCAAGCTGTCTAAATAATTGATTTGCATAACAATTTGTAGACCTAACGTGGCTAATACCTGGCTGCGTTTTATCTGTTTAGTGAAATCCATTAAATGTTGGCTGGTTGTCGTGCCCGCTTCTGGCAACATTGTAGCTCATGACTTTTAATTGAACCCCACTTGAACCAAAACCGAACTTTGCTGTCACAGTTTTTTTTTTTACATAACTGTCTGTCCTAGCTCCTCGCTCACTTGGCCCATGTAACGATCACCCATTTGGCCAATCCTAATGCCATTTTCACAGGGGAAAACTTGATTAATGCGGCGGCAACAACTTCATCCGTTTTGGATTCCAGCTTCGGACACATGTGGCTTCGTCACGGTTTGCTGCTGAAACGAAAGTGCCGACGGTGTCGGTGGCGGTGGCGGTAATGTCTGCTCCACTGAATACTGAGATCTCCGCCAACTTGAAATACCATACCTGAGGCTGAATTTTCCTTGACTTAATTAACAATTTGCTGCCACAACATAACAGCAGAAATACAGACAGGGGAGAGATAGTTCAGGAGCGTTGGAAGCTTTTTTTTAGAGGGAGAGTTGAACCTTAAAGGGAAATTAAAAGGAAAGAAAGGATTATATATTTTAAGAAGATCTTGTTTTAAATTACAATTCATAGAATTGAAAACCTATAAAATAATTAACTTAATTTTGTAACTAGTTCGAACCCCCTTTTTTGGAGACGGCTCTGCGGAAAGCCAAGATTCGCACACACAGTGCCTTACAAATGGCAGTTTCCGCTTGTGTGTTTATGTTGAAATGTTTATAATTTGATTGTATGCTAATTTGCATAGTTGTAGCTGTTATATTGTTATTGTTGGAATTCCCCCATTATGCAACTAAGTTATGCACTCGAATAACGGTAATCTGTCACACCACTGAAACCGAAAATGAAAACTGAAACTTCAACTCCCTCGCAGAACAAGTTTTAATCTTCCTTTTGTTTTTTTATTTTTATTTTTAGCCATTAATCCGGCTTCTTTTGTTCTGTATTTTATTTTTTGTTATTTCAGGCAGAAACTCATTAACTTTGACCCATATTTTTTGGCTTTTCATAGTTTATGACCAACTCTAAAACAAAAAAAAACGAACCGAGAAGAATCGAGAGAGAAAAAGACAATTAACACTATTGAAGCTTACAAATTGCACAATCCATATATGACCGTCATGGAGAACATGAAATTAGTGTAATTTAAGCGAAAAGCATTTGCCACAGTTTTGCGGCAATTGGTGGGGCCAATTATTAATCATCGGGCACAGATAGGCGGTCATTTTGCCAAGTCTTTGGTTAATATATGCGGGTGTGGCTAATTGCAGTTGCCCAAATGCATATCAAAAGCAATTTATTTTATAATCGCCATGGATAAATTGGGGCTTAGATTATTTGGGTCTTAATATCAGGCGTTAAACACCATTTTAAATAATTATAAGGTTTTAAAAACTAAATTCATAAAATATTTATATTATATTATTATATTTCTTATATTATATTTATTATATTTTGAAATTACCGCCACTTATGTTAGAGATGGTACATTACCGATAAGTTTCACTAGAATCTAGTGTTGCAAAATATTTGTGGTTAACAGCGCTGTTAACATTCAAAATTGAGTATTTTCAGAGTTTTCTGTTAGTTATTGTACTGTTAAATTATAATTGTATCAGGGAATTGTTATCAGTAGTTTGATTTTTTTGCCAGTGTGTTGTTTCCTAAAAGATATTTATAGCCAGCGTGTCTTAAGTCGACGTGGTACTTTCTGACCATCTTTCCACCACTTATGACAGCATGGAACAGTCCACGAAAAGCGAGAGAACTGTGCTAATTAAAGTATTGGTTTTTCCTTATAGATTTTAGTTTTTATCGGTCTTCTATTTACTAACAAACAAAATTATCCTCCAATATTTCCAGATAAGTGCCAATGGCACTTCGCATTTCTACACGCCAGTGGCGGGCTATCCTGGCCCGGGACCAGCCGGCAATGGACCACCGCACTTCCATCTGCCGCCGGTGCCACCGCCGCAGCAACCATCCCAGGGGGCAGCACCCCAGCCTCCGCCGCCGGGCGGCACTGGGGCTACTGTGACTGTGGCAGCTGTTCCTCCGCCCCCGACACCGGTTTCGGTCCACCCACATCCGCATCCACAACACACACATTCCCCGCACTCGCCCTCGCCTCCTAATTACAGGGACGAGCGTAGCCAGCGGCAGCACACCAAACTTTTGAGGAAACTGGAAAAGCAAAGGGAGTCGAGTAAGGATTTTCGGAGATTTCTTCTTATTTTCCAATCCTCCAAAGAACTACCAACTAATTATTGTATTCCACCGACAGATCCTCCTCTGACGACGCCCACACACTCGCCCTCACCGCGTCGTGCCACGGAAATCAATGGACACAACGGCAATAACATTCCTATGGGCGCTCATCTCAATAATCACCATCCAGGACGGCGGATACCCCATCAACAGCAAGGCCAACCGGTCCCACAGATGCAGCAAGCACCGCCAGGCCATCATCAGATTCACCAGCACCATCACCAACAGCAGCTGCAGAGGAATGGAACCCCGCAGCATGCCCAGCGTACGGGTAGCAGTGTCGGGACTTCCGAGGATGGCGAAGACAATTCCAGTTTGGCCGGCGAGGAGGACGAGGAGGACTATCAGGCCAACATTGTTGAGCAACTCTCGGCTATGGAGAAGCCCGAGGTGATAGATATAACCTCTAGAGCCGCCAAGATCATTTGGGAGTCGCCAAGCCTAATAGACTCCCTCCTGGATATGCAGCAGTTGCGCTACCAAGTCCTCCTCAGTGACTCGGGAAAGCAGTGCAAGTACAAGAGCCTGTATCGCGGGGAAGCCAACGAGTGCATTGTTCAGGATCTGCAGCCCGGTCAGGATTACCTGGTGCGTTTGCAGGTGCACTACCAGAAGCTGCAGGGAGCGGTCAGTGATCCTACCGAGTTTCGGACACCGGCCTGTGAACCGGATCAGCCGCCGCCACCCAAACTAGTGTCGCGCACCAAAAGCTCCATTAACCTGCGATGGGCTGCGCCGGCGTCGAACGGCTCCAGCATTCTCCACTACCTTCTGGAGTACGACGAAGGACGAACGGTGGCCGGGCAGCCGCAAAAGTTTGTGGAGCTGGCCAAGATCAAGGCCAAGCACTATGTGATTGGAAAACTGCAACCAACAACCGTTTACAGTTTTCGTTTGGCGGCCGTGAATGAAGTGGGCCAGAGTCCCTATTCCCCAATTGCCAGTTACAGCACCTCGGGAACACCGCCTCCAGTGCCAAGGCCTCCTCAACTGATCGGAAGCAGTTCCAACTCCTTGAAACTGGGCTGGGAGCGCCGGGCTCAGGATGGTGACTTCCTGTTGCAGCTGCAGGACGCCGAGTCGGGACATGGCTACCTGAACACCTACAAGGGAACGGAGCTGCAGACCGAGTGCCTCCAGCTGAAGCGCGCCAGTAGCTATCAGTTCCGTTTGCGTTCCGAAAACGAGGCTGGAGTTTCGCCCTGGTCACCTGAGGTGAGCTACAGGACCTTGGCGGAGCGACCTGGTAGACCCGGAAAGCCCCAGGCGAAGGGCAAGATTCATGGCACACACTTCAAGGCCCGCTGGGATGCCCCCAGCGACGCCGGTGGCGCTGAGATTCTTCGCTATCACCTGGAGCTGAGTGCCGCTGGTCCGGCCTTTGAAAGGATCTACAGTGGTGGCGAAACGGAGGCCATGTGCGAGCGCCTCCAGCCTGGCACCACCTACGCCCTGCGTGCCTGCTGCGAGGGCCCAGCCGGACAGAGTCCCTACTCCGACATTGGACATGTGACTACGGAGGCAGTGCCTCCGTCTGCCCCGCCACCGCCTCACTGCAGCGATCCACCGTCACCGTATGCTGCTCTGCTGAAGCTCCAGCAACCGGAATACAATGGCGGGGCACCCATCCTGGAGTTTGAGGCACAGATGCGACGCCTGGAACAGGTGCAGGCACCCCAGCTGGTGTACCGCGGCAAGCCGGCGTACTTCGTGGCCCAGGACCTTACTCCAGGTGGCATGTACGAGGTCCAGGTGAGGGCCATCAATCGCATCGGAGCCGGCAACTGGTCGCAGTGGATGAGATTCACGGCGGCTGCCGCTGCGCCCGGAGTTCCCGAGGAGCTGCGCGTGCAGGTGAAATCGGCCACCCATTTGAGTGTCAGCTGGCAGCCACCGCTGCTGGACAATGGAGCGGCGGTCACCGGGTATACGCTGAAAAGTGCCAGCCAAGAGCGAAAGGAACAGGAGGAACCGGAGGAGCTGAAGGAGCCGGCGAGCTCGGAGTTCCACAACTGCTACCAGGGAGCTCAGACCTGTGCCGAGTTGCGCAACCTGGTTCCATTCACGCGCTACCATTTCCGCATCCTGGCCAGCAACTCTGCTGGCAGCGGACTACCCTCCGATGTGATAACCGTGTGCACCCCGGCCGCCGTGCCCGGAGCTCCGCAGATGCAGGGCTACGAGTTCACCGCCCAGGAGGTGACCCTAAACTGGACCCAGCCGGCGGCTCACGGCTCGGCCATTTGTTCGTACAACATTGAGTACGGAGAGCGAACCATCGCTACTCCGGATGCCTGCACCCGATACACGGTGAGTGGCCTTCTCCCCGAGACGGGCTACAAGTTCCGTGTCCAGGCGGTGAACGCCATCGGAGCGGGAGCCTTTAGTGCCTATGCCAAGCTGACCACCCAGCCAGCTCCACCGGCGCCGCCGCGTCTGGAGTGCAGCGGAGCTGGTCACAACTACATCAAGCTAAAGTGGGGCGAGAACCCGAGCGGAAAGGTGGGCAATGGAAACTCCTCGTCCTCCGGCGGCAACGGCGGTGACTTTACCAAGTACTTTGTGGAGATGTACGTGGCCCGGGCGAAGCAGTTCCAGGCCGTCTACTCCGGCACCAATTGCATGTGCAAGATCCACAAGCTGCAGGAGCGCAGCAGCTACACCTTCCGGATCTATGCCCACACGGATCGGGCCGGCGATGGTGACTACTCCGAGGAGTTTGTGTTTGAGACTACGGCCACCCTGCCGGCGAACATAAAGCCACCCCGGGTGGTCCATGAGGGTAGCGTGTGTCTCATGGAACTCCCCGGCCAACTGGGCATGCAACTGACGCTGGAGTGGCAGCACTCAAAGAACTCCTTCCACGACCGTGTGGAGTACGAACTGCAGTACGCCGTTTTGGGAGCAGCCGACCTCGAGGGAGAGTCCCCCACGCCCAAGGGACGCAGCAGCAGTTCCAGCGGCAGCGCCAGCGGTGCACCCGTTAACCTGGCCAACCAGGACTACAGGGAGCTGTACCGCGGACCCGAAAACAAGTTCACCATTGAGAATCTGGCGGCCGGGACTTGCTACCAATTCCGCGTGTGTCCCATAAGGATAGCCGCGGGTGGCGAGCTCCTCTACGGCCAGCCGTCGAGTCCTTTACGCTACCAGGTGCCCAGCGATCTGGACGCCAGCTCGGTGACCTGCCACCATCATCTGCACGGCTCGACGGCACCACCAGCGGCCGTGGCCACCACGAGTCAGAGGAGCAGCCGAAAACTGTCGGCCGGCAATGGCTCCGCCAATGGACTGCACTTGAGGTCGGTGAGTGCCTCGGCGATAAGCGGGGCTAGTGGAGTGGGAGCGGATCCGCTGGCCATCGGACGACTGCAGCAGGAACTGTCCGGTTTCAATGCGTGCGGGGATCCCCTGCACCATCATCATCATCATCACCATCACCACCATCAGCCGTGTGGGGGTGCCGGGCCATCTGGCGGTGGATCCGCGGACGGTGGACATCACCATCAGCATCACATGCATCAACACCACTCGCATCACATGCACCATGCCCACCATCCGCACACTGGTATGGGCATGGGCACTTCCAACTCCTTCGGCGCCGGCTCCTCATCCGTAACCTACTCCTCCTCCGGCTCCTCGGCGGCGGCGGCGGCACTCTCCTGCAGTTTGGCGCAGGCGGGTGGCCTGAGGCGACTCCTGGGCAAGCTCACGTCGCTGTACTCGAACCGGAGGCGACTCAGCGACCAGCAGAAGGCGGTGTGCATTGTGGTCTCCTTCCTGGTGGGCACATTCCTGGTGGCCATGCTCGTCAACATGCTGAGGGGCTAAGGAAACCACATCCTTGATTCACAAACAAAAAAAAAAAGGACTCCCAAGGAAAAGTTAAAACAAAAAAAGAAAAAAAAAACACTTTATGTCTCAAAGAAGTGATTTAAAAGAATTAGTTGTAATTATGTATTTTTTATATGTATACTGTAACAGAATCAAACAAAATCAAATTGTATATTATATAATTTTAAACAAAACAGCAGAACACACAGGAAAAAAATTTAGCAAAAAAAAACAAAAAAGTGAAGAAATTATAAAGAAAAATTCCCATAAATGTATTAAATGTACACAAAACCAACAAAAAACAGCAACATTCACACACACATACACATACAGCTAAATGTTAATAATGGTATTTACTTATAAATATTTGTTGTCACAAAAAAAAAACGAAAGTTTAATCTCCATATGTGCTATAAACAAAAACTAAAAAATAATATGCTCGCCAATACTTGTCAAACCTGTTCCGCAAATGCTTCTCAAACTGTTACTCGTATGTGTCGCGGTGTTGTAATTTGCATTTGAATTTCGTGTAAAATACGTTTAGAACTTTTTTACCAAAAACATCTTTTTCAACAACAAAAATAAGTAAAACAACAACAACAACAAAAATGGGATCTAGATAGCTGGTCAACAAATTGCACCAACTACGTATAGGCCTAAAAGTATATAAACACACTCCTAAGTAGCTAAAAATGATGTAACAGAATTGATGGGGAATTAAAGGTAACATTGAATGGAGAGCAAGTGCAGAATGCAGAACGAATAATTAAACGAAAAGTATGAATTTATTAGACTACTAGCAACAGGATTCAGTGCTGTACTATACAATTGTTTACCCTATCGCTCCAATCTACGCAGATATACATATATATATATATATATTTTATATGTATATATATGTATGTAATACAGCAGACGCTTCTTTCATTCTCACAAAACTTTTTATACGAATTATTAAACAATTTATTATATAAACATATTATACGACAACAACAAACAAAATAAAAACAAATTATTGAAACCAAGGCAACCCCAGTTGGGGCTGCTATATTCGAGTTGGAAAAAAAATAATACGGAATTAAACAAACAACTGTTGCATTTCACCAACCGAACTAAACTAAAAACTAAAAAACGAAAAAACTATAAACAAATCGATCCCGACATTTTTTTGTAGGCTGTCCATCTGGCTATAGCAGCCCCAACTAGGCAAAGTGATTTATATTCCAATTATTATTATTTTTCTAATTAAATAAATTAAACTAAATGTAATTGTTTCTTTCCATAGCATTTAATGTGAATTATACAAAACGGAATCTTATCTAAAAAAATCACAAAACCGAAAAAAAAATCCACAAATACACAAGCAAAGCAAATGTTTGTTCATGTAAACCATAAACATTTGCTTAATGCAAATTAAAAAAAAAATTATATATATAAAAAATATATATATATATAAATAAATAAATAAACTTAAATCGAAATCAAATGATAAAATAATAAATGGAAATTATGTATGTTTCTATGTTTACAACTTATAAAATTTATTTGCAAAATATATATATATATATGAAACATTTAAAATAAATGCGATATACAAAAAAAAACTGTGCTTTTTATTTAATAGAAAAGATAAAATTGGGTTTTCTGACTATATGATACCCGGTACTCTTCTTTAACCAAACCCTTTCTTTGAAGTTCCTTAGCATACTTTTCTGGGCTTCGGAACAAAACAACTGCAACAATACTGTAGGATATCAGAATAAAAATTCAGTAACTCATCTATAAATCTAACCTTAAGTAGAGTTTTCCATAAAAGCTTTTTCAAAAACTATTTTTGAACCAGTCTCAAAATTGTTAAAGAAACATGAACTGTGTACAAGTCTTCCTTCCAATTCTTATAGCTTAATCTCTTATAATATTTAAGATCTCTGAGGAATAAAAACTATTTTTATTGCCATTTCCATATACTTTATTATGTTTTGTGCAAATAACAATTTTATTTTTATAATCTAACATGTATTGGTATTTCTATAGCTTCCTTAATTTGTGTTTGGGTTTCGTTATAAATTACCTATTACAATATTATTATAATTTTATTAAACAGCAGATGTGCTACATAATTCTGCCTTTACACAAATATTCCGTTTTTATAAAAGTATTCCTTGTTATTGTTTTCGTTGATATTCCGTTTATAGTTGGTGAGTTTTTTTAGTTTAGTTATTATGAGTGTGGGTACTTTATTTATTTATTTTTTGTCTACTTCAAACGCAAAAATCATCTAAAAATTGTCGAGTATTCATATTTTTGTATTCTATATAATATTTAAATATATTATATACTTGCTCTGCTAAAATCGGTGTGGTTGCAGAATAAGGATGTGCACATCCTCAAAATGCAAACACATTAATAGTATGCCGTTTTGATTATTTTAATTTATATATGTATTTTTGGTTAAAATCGGTGTATAAAATTGTGGTATCTTATTCGTTTACTCCTTAGCTTTGCGGTTTGCTTTGCTTTGTGTCGTTTTGCTTTGCTTTCTTTGCTGGCTAGCATGCTTGCTTGCTTTTTTCAAATCCATACTCTCAAATCAACAAATACACAGCGCTTCCTTCATTACGAGTACAGTACGTTTCAGTAATGCAATGTTCATCCAAAACTTATGTATATAAAAAATATTTTTCATGCTAAGGCAACGTTCAACATCGATATGGGATAGTTTAGTTTTCTTTTTTTAGTTGTATTCGTAATCATTATATTTATTTTTTTTTTGTGTAAAGGGTTCCTCTATAAAGCGTCTGCATGATATGTGTGTGCTCAGGAGGTTCGAGTGATGTGTCATTCGGAAATGGGTTTTGTAAAAATTAAATTTGTAAAATAATAAACAAGATTAAGGCTTGAGGTCTGTGGTGCAAAGTATTTGTGTCTTCAGATATCGAGTGTTTTGGTGCTTTTTGGTTTTCTGATATTTATTTCTAATCGAGGTGAGGTTCTTTACGATCTAGGCTGTGTTGGTTGAATTTTAGATTCTTTGGTTAGTTTTAGCTTTCTCTGGTTAAGTGTCTTCATATCAAAACTGCCAACAACTTGTGTCTGTATAGTATTGTTTTTGTATAATATGCTTTTTGTTGCGCTTTTCCAAAAAATTAGCTGACTTTCTTTGGTATTTTTTTTTTTTTGGGCCAATCCTTAGCCAATGGCTCCCGTGTTGGATACACAACTATTGCTGATCAATGGTTCCCGAGAATTCACAGAAGTATTGGATGGATCAATGGACAGCGTAAAGGTCGATGTCTCCACCGAATCGTGCTGGCTTTGGGTCTGTTCGTGTCGCCTCGGCTTCACCAACTGAGCTGGATCCTTGTTTTGTACTCCGGCCTCGGCTGCCGGATAGCTAGAAACCCGTTTAAGGGTCTAAGAAATGATTACATTTAATCTTAAATATAAATAATATTTAAACTAAGCAATACCTTATCACTTAGTATTTCAGCTGCATTGGCAGCCGCCACTGATTCCGTAACAGGACAAATATTTTTGCTTGAGGAAAACTTTTTACGTTTTCGTTTCAGAGCAGCAATGGCAGTGAGTCCTAAAATAGTTTATATTATTTTTTAATATATTTTTAAAATATTTTATAGATATTAAAGACCCACCACTTGTTGTATGAAAGAAATGTGTGCCCACGCTCATATGTCCTGCCGATCCTGTAGAGGCTGTAGCTGGTGAACTGCTGCCCACCGAAGGAGTTGTGGAACTATTTGACTCTCCGTGGTATCCGTATCCTTGCTGGGTGGAATTTTGGGCATAGGAGACCCTCGTTTGCCCATGAACCGGTGTGGATGCGTGGGAGGAATTGCAAACCGAATCTTCGGACTTTGAGCGACCCAACATCTTACTCACATTGCCCACCTTGGCGGCTTCTATTAGGGTGCCTGTGGGATACAGGGCGTATGAGTAATATTTTTGTTTACATTCCAAGACCACCTTACCCCATCTCTTTTTGTGTCCTGCAATGCGTTTGTTGTAAGGCTTTAATGCGGACTTGTTGTACTTTGTGGCGATTTGGCCAGTGACCCCCAAGGCCGTCCCCTGAACACCCTGAGTGGGCGAGGTGGGTGAGTCCCCGGATCCTCCGCCTCCACTGCCAGCCTGACTTTGCTGTCGCTTATGCATGAAGTTGGGTGTAAACAAAGTAGACAATGTGGAGCTCAAAATCTCGTGCTGATTATCATAGTTGTCAAGGGATGTGGAGAACTCTGCCACAGGAGCCAGGGATCCAGTGGAGCCAGGCGGGGCTATGTTGAAGCCCTTCATCAGGCGGCGCTCCTTTTGGCGATTCTTTTTTCCCCCGCCTCCTAAGTAATGTTTAATTAGTTATACAATTTTAGTATACGACTTCAGAGGGCTTACCACCACCTTGACCAGCCGTGACATTTGTGTCCATTCCACTATTTTTCAGTATTTCCACCAACTCGCATCGGAAAGCCGAGATGTCCTGTTTGATCTCATTGACATCGTCCTCTGTGACACCTTGGGACTCTGCCTTGCGCTGCTCCACGGTTACATAACGCCTTACCAGATTTCGCATTATTTGCTGATATTTAAAGTCGCGATCGCTGGCCTGCTGAGCTTTTCGCTAAGGATTTTGGATTTGATTCAATAAGATTAATTAAGTCTTTTAGACTATAACTTACTCGTATAGTTTTTAAATGCTCTCGGCGAGCTGCAGAGGATCCACTACAAAATACACGACGTATCCACTTGCCGGCATACCAAATGGACTTGGGAGTGGGGATGATATTGAAGGGCGGAGGACAAGTGCCACCCTCCTCAAAGTAACTAATCCAAAGTTTGGAGCGAGCAAACTTCCACTCCACATCAGCTCGTTCCTAAAAATATAATTTCTTATAGTTTTGAGCCAAGACAAAAAAAGAAAGCTAACTTTCGGGCGGAGCCGAAGTACCCCTGCGGTTAGGATCGGATATTTATCGCAAACATCGCATAGAGTCATAAAGTCCATCGTTTTTAAGGGTATTCCCCTATACGGCCCACAGTGATGGCTACATCTTCCCCAATTCTCATCCGATTCTCAAGCGGAATACCTTAAACGATTTCTAGATCGATTCTCCACCATTCTGCATCAAAATCCTGAGACGAAATATTTTGTAGATTTTTTTCCATTTTTTGTGATGGGATCCCTTGAAAATGGGGTTTTCCCCTACAGGGTCCACAGCGATGGCTATATCTTCCCCAATTCTGATTCGATTCTCAAGCGGAATACCTTAAACGATTTCTAGATCGATTCTCCACCATTCTGCATCAAAATCTCAAGACGAAATATTTTTTAGATTTTTTTCCCTTTTTTGTGATGGGATCCCTTTAAAATGGGGTTTTCCCCTATAGGGTCCACAGCGATGGCTATATCTTCTACAATTCTCATCCGATTCTCAAGCGGAATACCTTAAACGATTTCTAGATCGATTCTCCACCATTCTGCATCAAAATCCTGAGACGAAATATTTTTTAGATTTTTTTCCATTTTTTGTGATGGGATTCCTTGAAAATGGGGTTTTCCCCTATAGGGTCCACAGCGATGGCTATAGCTTCTACAATTCTCATCCGATTCTCAAGTGGAATACCTTAAACGATTTCTAGATCGATTCTCCACCATTCTGCATCAAAATCCTGAGACGAAATATTTTGTAGATTTTTTTCCATTTTTTGTGATGGGATCCCTTGAAAATGGGGTTTTTCCCTATAGGGTCCACAGCGATGGCAATATCTTCTACAATTCTCATCCGATTCTCAAGCGGAATACCTTAAACGATTTCTAGATCGATTCTCCACCATTCTGCATCAAAATCCTGAGACGAAATATTTTTAAGATTTTTTTCCATTTTTTGTGATGGGATCCCTTGAAAATGGGGTTTTCCCCTATAGGGTCCACAGCGATGGCTATATCTTCTACAATTCTCATCCGATTGTAAAGCGGAATACCTTAAACGATTTCTAGATCGATTTTCCACCATTCTGCATCAAAATCTCAAGACGAAATATTTTTTAGATTTTTTTCCATTTTTTGTGATGGGATCCCTTGAAAATGGGGTTTTCCCATTTGGCGATGGCTATATCTTCTACAATTCTCATCCGATTCTCAAGCGGAATACCTTAAACAATTTCTAGATCGATTCTCCACCATTCTGCATCAAAATCCTGAGACGAAATATTTTTAAGATTTTTTTCCATTTTTTGTGATGGGATCCCTTGAAAATGGGGTTTTCCCCTATAGGGTCCACAGCTATGGCTATATCTTCCCCAATTCTGATCCGATTCTCAAGCGGAATACCTTAAACGATTTCTAAATCGATTCTCCACCATTCTGCATCAAAATCTCAAGACGAAATATTTTTTAGATTTTTTTTCATTTTTTGTGATGGGATCCCTTGAAAATGGGGTTTTCCCATTTGGCGATGGCTATATCTTCTACAATTCTCATCCGATTCTCAAGCGGAATACCTTAAATGATTTCTAGATCGATTCTCCACCATTCTGCATCAAAATCCTGAGACGAAATATTTTTTAGATTTTTTTCCATTTTTTGTGATGGGATCCCTTGAAAATGGGGTTTTCCCCTATAGGGTCCACAGCGATGGCTATATCTTCTACAATTCTCATCCGATTGTAAAGCAGAATACCTTAAACGATTTCTAGATCGATTCTCCATCATTCTGCATCCAAATCTCAAGACGAAATATTTTTTAGATTTTTTTCCATTTTTTGTGATGGGATCCCTTGAAAATGGGGTTTTCCCCTATAGGGTCCACAGCGATGGCTATATCTTCTACAATTCTCATCCGATTCTCAAGCGGAATACCTTAAACGATTTCTAGATCGATTCTCCACCATTCTGCATCAAAATCCTGAGACGAAATATTTTTTAGATTTTTTTCCATTTTTTGTGATGGGATCCCTTGAAAATGGGGTTTTTCCCTATAGGGTCCACAGCGATGGCTATATCTTCTACAATTCTCATCCGATTGTAAAGCGGAATACCTTAAACGATTTCTAGATCGATTCTCCATCATTCTGCATCCAAATCTCAAGACGAAATATTTTTTAGATTTTTTTCCATTTTTTGTGATGGGATCCCTTGAAAATGTGGTTTTCCCCTATAGGGTCCACAGCGATGGCTATATCTTCTACAATTCTCATCCGATTGTAAAGCGGAATACCTTAAACGATTTCTAGATCGATTCTCCACCATTCTGCATCAAAATCTCAAGACGAAATATTTTTTAGATTTTTTTCCATTTTTTGTGATGGGATCCCTTGAAAATGGGGTTTTCCCATTTGGCGATGGCTATATCTTCTACAATTCTCATCCGATTCTCAAGCGGAATACCTTAAATGATTTCTAGATCGATTCTCCACCATTCTGCATCAAAATCCTGAGACGAAATATTTTTAAGATTTTTTTCCATTTTTTGTGATGGGATCCCTTGAAAATGGGGTTTTCCCCTATAGGGTCCACAGCTATGGCTATATCTTCCCCAATTCTGATCCGATTCTCAAGCGGAATACCTTAAACGATTTCTAAATCGATTCTCCACCATTCTGCATCAAAATCTCAAGACGAAATATTTTTTAGATTTTTTTCCATTTTTTGTGATGGGATCCCTTGAAAATGGGGTTTTTCCCTATAGGGTCCACAGCGATGGCTATATCTTCTACAATTCTCATCCGATTGTAAAGCGGAATACCTTAAACGATTTCTAGATCGATTCTCCACCATTCTGCATCAAAATCCTGAGACGAAATATTTTTTAGATTTTTTTCCATTTTTTGTGATGGGATCCCTTGAAAATGGGGTTTTCCCCTATAGGGTCCACAGCGATGGCTATATCTTCTACAATTCTCATCCGATTGTAAAGCGGAATACCTTAAACGATTTCTAGATCGATTCTCCATCATTCTGCATCCAAATCTCAAGACGAAATATTTTTTAGATTTTTTTCCATTTTTTGTGATGGGATCCCTTGAAAATGGGGTTTTCCCCTATAGGGTCCACAGCGATGGCTATATCTTCTACAATTCTCATCCGATTCTCAAGCGGAATACCTTAAACGATTTCTAGATCGATTCTCCACCATTCTGCATCAAAATCCTGAGACGAAATATTTTTTAGATTTTTTTCCATTTTTTGTGATGGGATCCCTTGAAAATGGGGTTTTTCCCTATAGGGTCCACAGCGATGGCTATATCTTCTACAATTCTCATCCGATTGTAAAGCGGAATACCTTAAACGATTTCTAGATCGATTCTCCATCATTCTGCATCCAAATCTCAAGACGAAATATTTTTTAGATTTTTTTCCATTTTTTGTGATGGGATCCCTTGAAAATGTGGTTTTCCCCTATAGGGTCCACAGCGATGGCTATATCTTCTACAATTCTCATCCGATTGTAAAGCGGAATACCTTAAACGATTTCTAGATCGATTCTCCATCATTCTGCATCCAAATCTCAAGACGAAATATTTTTTAGATTTTTTTCCATTTTTTGTGATGGGATCCCTTGAAAATGGGGTTTTCCCCTATAGGGTCCACAGCGATGGCTATATCTTCTACAATTCTCATCCGATTCTCAAGCGGAATACCTTAAACGATTTCTAGATCGATTCTCCACCATTCTGCATCAAAATCCTGAGACGAAATATTTTTTAGATTTTTTTCCATTTTTTGTGATGGGATCCCTTGAAAATGGGGTTTTCCCCTATAGGGTCCACAGCGATGGCTATATCTTCTACAATTCTCATCCGATTGTAAAGCGGAATACCTTAAACGATTTCTAGATCGATTCTCCATCATTCTGCATCCAAATCTCAAGACGAAATATTTTTTAGATTTTTTTCCATTTTTTGTGATGGGATCCCTTGAAAATGGGGTTTTCCCCTATAGGGTCCACAGCGATGGCTATATCTTCTACAATTCTCATCCGATTGTAAAGCGGAATACCTTAAACGATTTCTAGATCGATTCTCCATCATTCTGCATCCAAATCTCAAGACGAAATATTTTTTAGATTTTTTTCCATTTTTTGTGATGGGATCCCTTGAAAATGGGGTTTTCCCCTATAGGGTCCACAGCGATGGCTATATCTTCTACAATTCTCATCCGATTGTAAAGCGGAATACCTTGAACGATTTCTAGATCGATTCTCCATCATTCTGCATCCAAATCTCAAGACGAAATATTTTTTAGATTTTTTTCCATTTTTTGTGATGGGATCCTTTGAAAATGGGGTTTTCCCCTATAGGGTCCACAGCGATGGCTATATCTTCTACAATTCTCATCCGATTGTAAAGCGGAATACCTTAAACGATTTCTAGATCGATTCTCCATCATTCTGCATCCAAATCTCAAGACGAAATATTTTTTAGATTTTTTTCCATTTTTTGTGATGGGATCCCTTGAAAATGGGGTTTTCCCCTATAGGGTCCACAGCGATGGCTATATCTTCTACAATTCTCATCCGATTGTAAAGCGGAATACCTTAAACGATTTCTAGATCGATTCTCCATCATTCTGCATCCAAATCTCAAGACGAAATATTTTTTAGATTTTTTTCCATTTTTTGTGATGGGATCCCTTGAAAATGGGGTTTTCCCCTATAGGGTCCACAGCGATGGCTATATCTTCTACAATTCCCATCCGATTCTCAAGCGGAGTAGCTTTTAAACTGAGGGACTAGGTCGCGTAAAAACAGACAGAAAGACGGACATGCTTATATCAACTAAGGAGGTGATCCTGATTATGAATGTATGTATCTACTTTATAGGGTCTGAGATGTCTCCCTTACTGCGTTTCACACTTTTGGCTAAAATTATAATACCCTGAGCAAGGGTATATTATAGGCAATAGATAACCTACCGATATAAGTTGATAGGAATGATTCATCATAGCTATGAGCAAGTTGAGCAGGACCACAATATTGATCACCGAGTAAGTACCAAACATCAGCATTCCCCAAAAACGAGTGAAGATCTTAATGCCATCCAATTCAAAGCTGTCCAAGTCGATCAGGCCGAACACTGCCCAAAATAGGGTTTGTGTGGTTTCAAAAAGGCTATAAAAGAAAATATTTAAAATTGATTTTAGGAAAAAGTAAAAAATTTGAAGTCTTACTTGGAGAATCTTCGCCAAACTATACAAGCATTGGGATCATTAGTGCCATTCATGTTGAGTAAAGCACTCATTGGTGAAACCTCTGGGCAACGCTTCTTCTCCAGATCCGCATAGTACCTGAAAAAATGTTGTTTTTTTTATTTTAAAGTATTTTTTATAGTTTAGTGAACAACCCACCATAGCAATTGATTTAGACCACTTCCAAAGGCAAAAAGCACCAGGACATAGAGGAAAAAGAATTTCATAATGTCCATCACCATCCGGGACAGCGACACCTGCAGTGGCCCCAAATGCGGATTTACGGAGAATATGTAAACCAACTTCAGGCTACTGAAGATGTTCGCCGCACTGAACAGGCCCTCAGATATGAGCATCGGATCCCAGGCATCCCATCGCTCTCGCGGCAAATCAGTGGCATGTGAATTAAAGATCATTTCCTTCTGAACCTGAAAAAAGGACACCACCCTGAGAGCCACCGTGGCCACATACAGGGAGTTCGTGACAAAATCAATCACATTCCACATGTCATTCAGATACTCCTGGAGACCCACGTCCCACAGCTGCTTCACCTCGCTCCAGATGAGTCCACTGACCCAGGCCAGGATCAGCCACTCGATGAAGGTGGGCTTGGCACCGCGTTTGGTGGGCACCTCCACCTCCTCCACCTTGTTCAGCAGCCCTGAAGTGTCGGCAAAGAACCAGCCGCCAATAAACGTCTCGATCCTTTGAGAGGCCAGCATCAAAAGGACTATAAAGGGATTTAATTATTAAATATTTTCTATTAAAGGTCACAACTATATACATAGGTACTCACACAAAAAAGTAAAGTACGAGGCGCTGTGACAAATAAACTTGATGAAGGGCTTTCGCATGGTCTGTCCAATGCTGGAATAGGGTGCCAGGATGTAGGCCAGGGAGAAGATGGGAAACATGATGCCAATCCTTATGATGTCCACTGCCTGGAGGGCCATGTTCTTTCGTCGAAAACCAGGCAATCCTTCGTACCAAATGCTGGCCAGCAGCTGTTGAACATTGGAGTGGGCCACAAACTGAAATATATCAGATTTTATAACTAAAATCTTAAAGCCTTTACTTTTAAGTAGCTAACCTTTTTCTGTCGCAACTTTATGGCCAACTTCAGGCGGTTTAAATGCATCCTTTCGCCGTGCTCGTACACCGGACCGGTGGGATCATGGTTGAGCAGGATCTCCAGCTCGTGGGAGGTGCGAGTGTGGTCCAGCAGGGCGGTGGCAAAGTCCTGGCACTGCTTGCGCAGCTCCTGGTACTCATTCTAAAGTAAACCAACATTCGTTAGGAATTACCTTAATATCATAGTAGACTATGCAGTACTGACCTTAAATTCGTGCTCGAGAAAGCTGAGTCGACGCAGTTCCCAGGATAACTCAAAGGCCGTCAGAATAGGGTCCTTGGAGGAGAGGGCTATCAAACTGGGGCTGGCCAGAGCCCGGTAGGCGTTGATCCGGGACCTGGAGTGCCGAAGAGAGTCCTCCTGCCTGGACTGGACGCACTCGTCACAACCACAGCGCACATCATGCGGCATCGGAAGGACGGCTCCTCGATCCAGCAGAATCTTAATGATTTCATAGTTGTCCCGGTGAGCCGCCAGGATCAGGGGCGTAATGTCCGGCGTAAAAGTCGATGTGTCCTCCGAAGCGGACTCCCAGCTCTAATCAGAATAAAATTAAAAGTCATTCAGATCAGAAACTATCCTTTAACTCACATGATTGCCTTCGCTGTGGAAAGTAACATTTTCATGGTCCAGGAGCACCTCCACAGCCTCGACAAATTCCTCGGAAATGGAGTGCAGGAGTGCGTCCTTGGTGTCCACATTGTAGTTGATCAGGAGCTCGACCATTTCCAGGTTCTCATTATCGATGGCCATTAGGAGGGCGGTGCGTCCCAAAGGATCCACGCAGTTCACGTTTATGTAGTCCGTGTCCTGGGCCTTTTGTAGCATCCTTCGGGTGCCGGCCATGTCGCCCCGCTCCACCGCCAGCAGGAACTTCTTCTCCTCCAGCGTCAGCTGTCGGATCTCCTGATGGGGCCGAATGGTGTTCTCCTCCTCCATCATGCCGTGGATGCTGTGACGCTATAAATAAGGGTAGGAATGTTTTTTTAAACTCTGAAAGCTTAACATAACCTTTGACCTACCTTGACCCGCCGTGCCGGCTCAATTTGCACCGCAATGTGTCCACTGCCGCTGCTCTCGCTTCCCAGTTTCTTCTCGGCACTGTCCGCCGCATCCGTGCCATTTTTGATCTTATTTAGGATCGGGGCCAGCACCGATTTCCGCCGGGCAGGACTCACAAAATGAAGTTTTTTTCCTTCGTCTATATTAAAAAAAAATTTTTTAATTCTTTTTATAGCAGAAATAATAAACTGCTTTAAAAACAACTCCTACTCTTGAAGAGTGGTGCTTTATTAACATTTTCTGTAGTTCAAGCCAGAGGACCATAAGGCGGTGCAGACTCTTTTAATCACCACCAGACAGACCTTCAATTACAACCACATTCACCTTTCCGGCCCCCTCCCTGGCCGCGCAGATGTCTGGCGCAGATAATCCAGTAAATCCCATACCGATTCGACCTTGAACAGAACGCTATAGTATATCCACCTACAATGTGGCGGAGAGATTTCGTTCAAGGATGCCCGGTTGGGAATCATGAAAGCGCCATTAAATTGTATTTTCTCTGGTTTTTCGATAGCCTTGGCCAATCGTTATCGTTATCAACGCCGACAACGGTAAATCAAATAATAATCTTCAAAAGCAAAAGGGAGGTGGTAGGAGGGACAACAACTGAAGAGCAAACACAAAAAAACACGCGGCGTATACGCGATATTCAATGGCAGGGAGGGTGGTGGTGCCATCAGAAATCTGGGTCAATTATTGCCATATTCCTATTTTTTTTTTTGTTGCATATTAAAAGGCAATACACGCACACATGCAACCAATGAATGATAGTGTGGGTGTTTGTGGGCGGTTCGATGTGTCACATTTTGGCATTTAATTTCAAATGACATTGACTGCATCGCCAGCCGAAATAAATATCCTCAGCCTGTCAACAAAAAAAAAAGTATTTTCAAATCACTACACTATGCATTTTTTTCTGAAATATATGAAAAAAAGTTTTAGGGACTTTTCCAAGAGTTTGAACAAATATAAACCCCTTTTGAATTAGATACTATTCTAAAATCTGCTTAAAAATTATTCAAGTTGAACCCAAGTAATTGAAGTTTCTCGTGTGATTATTTTCTGGTCTGGCAATTATTCTTTGCCTTCCACGTGCGTTGAACTCTCATTGATTGCTTTACCAACACCATAATACTATTTGGCATAGTATATAGTACATATCCTCCCAGGAGTGCCGTTGTATGAGTCTGCGCAGGACCTAACCTAGGCAACTTTTGTTCAGATTGTCGTAGGTCGCGACCACAACCGAGCACATGTAAACTGTGCCACTAAGCCAACCAAAATGGCGTCGTCAGTGCCGCCATTTTGCACACAACTAAGCCACCTACACATCCACACACACACGTGTATACGTATACCTCCATATTCACACAGACACTCGGCTGTTTCACGGTTGGCATACTAATCACATCGGAACACTATCGATTGACCTGAAAACCCAAACTCGCACACCTGCAATTTCGAATGCAAATGCAGTTGCCTCAGAAAGTTCGATGAAAAGTTAAACCAGCGATGAGGTAGGCTTGGTTAATTGTTAATTAGGATTTAAGCTAACAAAATATCTATAATTATAACTACTAGAATTATGAGCGACAGGGCGTATACTTAATGTAGTTCTTGTTAATCAAAACTTACCTTCGCCTTCTTCGCCGGTGTTCGCTTCGCTCCATTTCGACAACTGAAAAGTGAGAAGCGAAAAGCAATTGGTTAAATATTAGTATTATTAGTAGGCTTAAATCCATATTAAAATAATAATAATTATTACTATACCAAGTAATGTATCTTCTTGAATCCAAAATGTTTAAAATTCCACCTTGAATATTTTTGTTGAATTTTATGGGCGACCTTGGCAGCACTTCACCTTAACGTTCCGCCTCACCACCCTGCGTACCTGCCACACCCACCCGCTCCGTAGGGCTACCCAGCAGCTGCGTTTCCTGCCAGCGGCCGAAAACAAACCAAAGACCTTGACACACAGCCGGGCCATAACAACAACAACAACAAAAATAGTGGAAGCTGCAGCCAAGAGCAGATAATTAAATGTCAAGACTGCAAGTAACTACATCCGAGTGGGTTGTGGGACAAAAAAAAAAATAAAAATTAAATGCAACCACAAAACCAGTGTTATACAAACAAATTATAAAAAGGATTAAAACGATTTCAAAAATTTAACAAAAGAAAAGAAAGTTGCAAAGACCATTAAAAAGAAAAAATAAAAAAAAGATATAGATAAAAGACAGAAATTAAAAAAACAAAAAAAAAAAATCACTTTAATGGCCGACCTTTCTAGTCAAGAACCACAATTCAGAAAGGCTATTGTGAATTGAAAAAAAATATAATAAATATGTTAATGAGCTTTGCCAAACCCCAAACCACTGATGGGCGACCACCAAGAAGACTCTAAAGGAGACTCCCAAGAAGACTCCAAAGAAGAAAACGATAAAAGAAAATATTAAAAGACAGTAAAAGCTCACATATAGATCTGAAACTTTTTAAAATACTAAAGTTATATTGAAATTAAAATAACTAAAAAAACTCAAATGAAAAAAATATTTTTAAAAATAGAAAGACGTTGCTCTGGTTTGAAAAAAACTAAAATAATTTATAAAGATCGCAAACAATAAAAATTTGTTTGATCCGTATGGACCAAAAGTTAATAATGCATTAAATTGTTAAAAAAATAAATATAAAATAAAAATTTCAAATAATTAAGAAGACCAAAAAGGACAAGATGAACCCCAAGATGAAATAGAGGAGAGACCGAAAGCTAATAATGCATTTAATTATAAAAAAAATAAATATAAAGTATAAAAAAAATACAATTATGTAAGAAGACCAAAAAGATGAAGATGAAGGTTAGCAAGGTGAAGTGGTTAGCATTAAATTATAAAAAAAAAAATATATAAAATAAAATTACAAATATGTAAGAGAAAAAAACCAGGGTGAAGGGGACGAAGACGACATAGAAGAGGAAGGACCGATAGTTAATAACGCATTTAATTATAAAAAAATAAATATAAAATAAAAATTAAAAATATATATAAGAGAATCAATGACCATGAGCCCTGGGAAGTAAGAAGATTCCAACGAAAACTAATTCAAAAAAAAATTCAAATAGCAATATATATTTAAATGTAATAATCCTTCGCTTTTTGCAGTTTTTACAAAAATTGTAAATCAAGATTCACTAAGAATTCAATTCCACCAAGCCTTAAAAATGAAGCTTACAAAGACAATAATACAAAATCGAAAAAATAAAATAAAAAAAATAAAAGAAGCAATATATATTTAAATGTAATAATCCTTCGCTTTTTATATATAATACAAAAATTGTAAATCAAGATCCACTAAGAATTCAATTCCACCAAGCCTTAAAAATGAAGCTTACAATAACAATAACACAAAATCGAAAAAATAAAATAAAAAAAATAAAAGAAGCAATATATATTTAAATGTAATAATCCTTCGCTTTTTAAATATAATAATACGAAAATTCAAAGCAAGATCCACAAAAAATCAAATTCCACCAAGCCTCAAAAATGAAGCTTACAACGACAATAATACAAAATCCTTCGCTTCTTAAATATAATAATACAAACATTTTACAAGCCTAAAAAATGTGAGTTCCAAAGAAAAGAATAATAATAATAAAAAGAAAAAAATAAAATAAAAAAAAATAATAGAAGAGACGAGATGTGCCTTGTCCAACAGCTCGAGATTGACTGAGGAAACATTTTGTGTTTGCCGAGAGGTCGACTTTTGGATATTTGATTTAAAAATGATATTAATTATGCCACATATTATGGTCTCACTACAATAAATATATGGCTACTCTAAAGGGTGGCACTAATTTTTTTTCTTAAGGGTCACACTCTTGTAAAAGAAATTTAATATTTATAATCACAAACAATTAAAGATGGTCCTGATTTTAATTTCACGAATTTAGTTTTTCTACAAAATAATATTTTTTGTAATTTTTTTATAAAGATCGAGAAGAAAGAATTAGTTCCTGGCTGCCAAGATAGAAGGTTCTTTTGGGAGGCTGTTGCTTAAGGAGCTCTCATGGCGGGAAGCATGGAAAATCTGGCATGCATGCCACCAGAGTGTCGAGTGTCCTTGTGGCGGGCAACAAACGCCGACGACTTGTGGCTGCTTGCCACTAACATAGAACAGACGCACACCCACACACCCGAGCGCAGACACAAAGTGCGTGTCCTTGGGAAATTCAGCTGGCAAAGACAGCGTCGAGGACGAAAGTCAGAAACAACAACAAGAAACTGAAAACCCAGATAAACACTCCACAAATTGCAACCTCGACCAAAGGAAAAGAGATATAGAGGCCTTAGAGGAAGTCTCTTTTATGTTGCAGTTTGCATATGAAGGAATTTATTTAGAAGGATCCATAAAAAAACCACTCTTAAATTAAAATATATTATATTTATTATCCAAATGGAGATGGAAAATATTTTGTGAAAGAATATAATTTATAAATTCATACATTTTGTAACCATTTGAAAGAGTATTTAAATTATCCTTACATTCGTCTATAAATTCATAGTTTCTTTTGACTTTGTTTTGGTTTTTCCTAAAATTTGTGTTTTTGTTTATATTTGCGGCAGTAACTTGAATCTGAAGATGGGCCAAAGGATGGCAAAAGGATTCTAGCCAAGGCAACGCCAACTACTTGAAGCTTACAGCTCACCGCCCTCGGCCCACTTTTAACCCTTCGACTCTTTAACCCTTTGGCAACCCCTAATTTTTTGTGGAGAAGGCCAAACGCGGGCTTCTTGAGAAACAGTTGAAGGTGGCAGAGGGCAGCCGTAGAAATCAAGACTCTCTCACACACACAAACATACACCATACACATATTTGTAATCTACATATTTATGGCAGCGATTCCCATATGGAAATGCAGGTCGACGTTACGTATACGCCATGTTGTCGGCAATTAAAGGCGACCAGCTGTTGTTGTTTCTTTCGTTGCAGCTGTTTGGGCCGCTGTCCTTGGGCGCCTTCTAATTGAGGGCACTGCACTCGCCTGCGGTGACCCCAAGGCACCCCTATTTTTTTAACCACGCCTCCCCAGCCCATTGCGCCCCTCTAGCCAACCCTTTTGTGTGTTTTGTTTTTTTTTGCATGAAAGCTGTTTAACTGTCCCCAACCCATTGTCACCTTGAAACAGCAGATATGGTCATAATATTAGGGACTTGTTATATAAGTCCGTAATAAGTTGTTATATAAGTATATATTATAAGTATAATAATATATATTGTTATAGATATTTGAATTTATGATACATTTAGTTCAAATATATCTTTTATATCCTGTCCATCAATTTTTCTCGTCCTGTTTTTTTGCAAGGATTGTAATGTTTTGTGTAATTGTGTAAATTGGAGGTGTGTTTGTGTGTGAGTGTTGTGTGTATTTGTGTCCACCTTTGTGCAGTCTCCTCTGTTAGCAACATGCAACGGTAAATGAATCAAATTACTTGCCCCTGTTCGTGCCCGTATTTGTGTTTGTTTTTGTTTGTTTATTTGCATGCAACGCTAACAGCAGCGCTCGAATGCAACGCACACACACAGAACTAAACAACACACCCACAGTTCACCCAAAGAGATCCTCATCCATCAGAGAGAGGATCTTAAAAAAAAATTATTTCAAAAACAAACTTTTATTTAAAAATATGATAACCATCCTAACTAAAGAGTCAAATTTTTTAATTTTTAATTAATATTGTTTGTATTTATGGCCTAAAAATAGACTCTACTTAAGATAAGCCACTTGCATTTGATAAGCTTTTAGATTCTCCTCATTTGAATTAAGTGAGTCGACAACTTCAGATAGCTCAGCACTCACTGCACTATGACCTTCCCGCCGCCACCCACAAAGGAACTCTTACAACCCTTCGCGATAAAGTCCATAGCCCTTTTACACAAAAAAACATAGCTTGGAAATCGAGAAACTGGCACAAGTGGACACTGAAGAGTCATCGACACAGGACTTGAACGAGGATGCAGATGCTCAAAATGGGAATTAGGGTCTGAGGACGACCCCACCTGGCCAAAGGGTCAAAGGCCACTGGGCAAACAAAGGTATTAGAAAAGCACACAAGCTGTAATTCTCTTCCCCTTGTTGCAGTAAACCAAGAAGGATAGTATTTATTTAATAAAACCATGAAATTATTAAATATTAGTTATGTATTTTTGTATGATTGAAATTTTATTTTAAAAAGTATTAACTTGCGATTATTCATTACTATGAATACTAATTATTATTCATCATTTTCTTCAAGTAATTATATGAATATTATGCTTAAAATTTACTTTTTTTGCAGTCAGAGAAATGGACTCCGACTAAGTGATATATATTTTTTTCTGTGTAAGGACACCCCTTCACTCACCTTGAGTTGAGATTTCCTCTTGAGGGCGGCAATTGAACGAGTTTGCTGTCGTAGAACCTCCAGGGCGTTGGCGGTTACGCCAGCAGAGACTTTGGCGTCGAATTTGAATTAAAATTTGATTTTGATTTTGTTTTCGTTTATATTTTCAAAGATCTCAAATCAAATAGCAAAATAAAACTTTAAATCTGACTGAAAACCAGCAATCTATAAAATGGGAGATAGTATTTCAATAGAAGCTCTCAAAAAATATAATTCGTTTTCAGAGGATATTCATATGTACATATGTATACTCTATATTCTTCCTTAAAAAAAAAAACATATATATACATATATGAAGGAAAAAGAGAAAAAATAGCAAATATGTATAATTAAAAATCTTAAAAATTGTAATTTTTTTAAGAGTTGTTTTAGAGTATTTTGTATCCCGTCATCTTATTCTTCTTAAATGTTTACGTCTGCATGAGAAACGGCCCGAACGAAGATGAAAAACATTTCGTTTGCATTATAAACAATTAGCAGCTAAATTTGTTTTTAATATTTTCATATAATTTCCACGATTGTTATGTTTTGGCTTTAATCGCACGTTTCGACTGACTTATGAGTGGGCGAAAATGAGATTTTTGAGAATTTCGATATTTAGAAATAATTGAAAATACTCAAGTTTTCTCTTTCACTTCGGATAACCTTGCGCAATTTAGCAAATTTTCAAGAAAAAAGGAAAACATATTGATGGTTTGGGGGTGGTTGGGGTATGTGGACTTATATACTGCATATTTCCGTTTCGTGCTGTGCAACCGGAAGTGCACTAACACACAAGCACAAACACAAACACAAAGGTACACCAACCAACACACTCAAGTGCATCGGTTTCGTTTTTGTTGTTTTTTTTTTTTAGCCATGGTTTGGTAACTTTCGAGAGGGTGTTTGACCTATAAATGAATTTATGCCAATTTAGAAAGCCAAACACAATTGGCGGCCCCCGGGGAGGGTTAATGAAAACGGGGGACGGGGCGGTTGCCCTGGGGCCAAGCAATTAAAACATATATTTTTTTCCAGCAGGGGGTTGGTTGTTTGTATCCCTTGTTATGTATTTTTTTATCGTCCGCCAGCATAACCGGATAAACTTTTGCAATTATTTTAATGGCCTAAACCACCAACACCAGGCTCCTGGCCAAGCCCTTTTTCCTTTGAAATTTTACTCTTCTACCTTCAAGTTTTTAGTTGGTCAAATTTCACTGGGTTAATAGATTTTTTTCCTGTATTTATTTTTTGTTTTTGATATTTTTTTTTTGTATGGGGTTTTCTATTTCCGTGGGCGTTGTGCGCTTCTTGCGGCGGTTTTTCCCGAGTTTTCCGTGCGCCTTGGCCAGCTGTCGACTTGCAACTGAGCGAGCGAGCAACTTGGAAAAGCTGAAAAACTGCAAGGACTCGTGACTGTTCGATCCGATCCGAGACCGAGCCTTGCAGCCAAGTCGAACTCCAAGCCGAACAAGATTACGGCAAGAGGGGCAACTGGGCAACCGGGGCTGTCCATTGAGATTTTCGCAAAAACTGAATGAAACTGAATGGCAATAAGCCGGCTGCTGCAGTTGCAATGCGCATGTGTCCTGTAGTAAGACCGCTGCCAGGATAATGAACTCTGGCAAAAACACACTGGCTGCAAGTGGGCTATATATATTTTAAAGGATAAACTTTTAGCATCCGATTAAGGCGTTTGCATTCTTTTTTTTATAGGGACTACATACATAGTTAACTAGTAAACAAGATAAGGAGGCCTACAAGGATAACCAAAAATCCTGGAAAACCATCTGGTGTTTTTGTTGAAGCCTCTGGCCAACATCTACTGCTTCGAAAGCCCAAATACGACGCCTCGCGCAGGTCACCACGACCACGCGGAGAACACCTAGAAGCCCCAAGAACAAGACCCAATTACTATATATATATAAATATACATATATATATTAAAATATTACTATATATATTTATTTATGGGGTATTTTATTTAAAATTACGTTCGAAGGTCCATGAAAGAAAAAATCTTTGTGAAAAGCCTACTTCTCATGACCATAACTTGGCGAATTCCTTATCTTAGCTCTTTGAGAATTGTATCCAACAAAATGTTGACCTATTTTTTCAAATTCTTCAAGGGGTTACATCACGTTTTTGGCCGAAATTGGTTAAAATTTTGTCCACCTTATATTTCTTATATTTTTATGAAGATTTAAGAACCTTCAATCGCTGATTCATAAATGACATTCATTTCTCAAAGTTTGCATCGGTTGTAATATGACTGAAATATTGACTAAAAAGTGTCTTAAAAAATGCAAAAGTTTGCATATTCCCCATAAGTCATAATTTAGAATAATCATATATGTATGTACATTAGGTCATCAGTTTAAACCACAAAAACTGATTATTTTCGAATGATTTATTTGTTATATTTTTTGTTCACCCCCAATAAATGGTATAATTAATTAGCTTAATTGGCTTAATGATTATAATGTAGATGGATGAAAATAAAAACGGTAGATGATTAGCTTTAAATTTTGTAGAAAAAGAAGATATTTATTTAAATTTAACAAAATGTTTAGTAATTAAGCAACAAGAATAGATAAAAATACAAAAAAAAGATTCTATTGACCGCAGAAGTAGTTAGAATTTATCCAACTGGCAAATGTAATTAAATTTCCTGCCACATTGATGTACCCACAATTCACCGTCCTTTAAGGAAACGCAGTTCTTCTCTCTAGTGTTTTGTTTGGAAAGATCTTCACCCCATTTCATGTAAGAATCTGATGCTTGAGTTGCCGCAGAGACGAATTTTTTCTCATTGACTATATCATTAAGACCCGTCCAGTAATTTAAGCCCTTGGTGGTGACTTCTTTGATGGCAATCAGTTCCTTCTCATTAAGGAAGACTGCCGAAAATCCTCCCTTGGATTTACAAAATTGTTCAGCCTCTGACCCCGCCACTTCGCTTTTATGCGAGATATAGAAGAGTCTGGTACCAACCCGCACAAAGTTCATCGAGATGTAGATCTGTTTATCCAAGCTAATCAGGGTGCTATTCTGGTACTGTAGTCCTTTATTCAAAATTATAACTTTCTCCTGAAGTTCTTCCAGCTGGTTGATAATCAGATTCAGCTTCTGTTGAGTTTCGTCTTGCTTTGCGGCATGCTGATCAGCCCACTTATTCTGGTGGAGTTCAATGTGATTCGTAAGTGGTTGCAGAAGTTTTAAACAAAAATTATCACATTGTTCTCGTGGATCTGTCAGAACGCACAAGGATGTTTTATTTTCCAGGAATCCTGTTGAAAATCCAAGAAGATTCCAAGCGAGTAACGCGAAAAATCCAAACTTTGCCAACACGAACATTTTAAATTTGTATGACCAAATCTAACGAAAGACCGATTTAAATTAAATTCTAATTCTTCTCAATCCTGTAAAGAAATCTCGGTTTCTCACACAATATTAAAACTTTCTACTTGAAAACCACAAAAAAAAATATATATGTATTTGTCATGATTCATTGGATATTGTGTTTTATTTGTAGATAAAAGATGTGACAAACTTTTAATAATAAAAGAATAAACAAGTAAGTGAGTAAACAATTTAGAAAAAAAACATCTTTTTTAGTTTTTTAAATGAATAATAACTAATGATTAAAGCAGTTTTAAAGTTTTAAAAAACAGTTTTTAAAAATTTTTGAAATTATTTTTGCGTTTCTCAACCCTTAAAAAAGTGACGGTGACGTGGTATTTTTTGTTGGCTAAAGTTATCGATGTTATCGAAGGGTGTACCTGGTCACACCAAATAAAATATAATGGGCCGAATTTGTTTTGATTTCTTTTAAATTCCATTATTTTGTTGTTTTTGCTCCCCTTTCAAGTATTAGAAACTTAATTCTGCAACAGACCAAGGAACTTTGTCGCACGAATCCCACAAAAGATTTTTATTGGCGACCTGCAATGCTTGGAGAAAATCTGGAAACAGGAAAAACTGATACGACGAAAACCCAGGAGCTTCGATGCAACATTCCCAGATGCCCATATCGGACGAATCGGGCTTATAACTTATGGCGACATGAAGAGCGCCATACTCTGCCCTTGGAAACCAAATTGTAAGAGACTTAAAATAAAAAAAAAAATACGAAAATAAAACCAATCTTTATCAGGTTGTCTTGCCCATTCTGCATCTACAGCACTGATAAGGTATCTAACCTGAAGCGGCATATAGGCATCCGTCATCCAAGCACTATGGATGACCCCGACGATCCCGAGTCGGGAAAAATGATTCAAACCATACCGGTGGAGCGCTCTACCAAAGTTCATTGTTTGGTAATAGGATGTAAGTACGAGACGAATCGGCCCTATGACATGAAACGTCATATGATGGTGCACAACAATCGGGAGAAGAGCCACCGTGACTACAAGTGCTCGCTGTGCATGTATAGCTCGGATAGGAAGGCCAATCTTAAGCGGCACCACGAGCTGCGTCACTCAGGCATCGAGGACGCCATCAAAACGGCCGATGAACTGGAATATGAGGAACGCCTGCTAGAAGAACAAGCGCAAGAGCAACTTGACCAGGTCGCTGCTCCGGCAAAATCCATGAAACACCTTTTTTCCAGCTTTGAGGATGATATTCAAGACAATTCTTCAGCAGTGCAGGAGGAGGAGCTTAAAGCAGACTATATATATGGCGAGAATGCACCACTGATCACAATATCCACTGGCAAGTCGGAGATTCTTCAGGGAAGAAGAATTGAAAAGCAAGTGATTGTAAGTTTCGAACTCTAAGACCCAAGTAGGTGCCACAAACTAAAAGTTTTGCTTTCAATCCAGGCTGTTAACGTGAACGGCGAGCTACGCTGGTTCCAGTCGATAGATCCGCCGCCAGGAGCATCCAATAAATTACAGCTCGCCATGCAAGAAGAACAAGAGCAGTTGGACGACGAGTTGGCCCTGTCCTTGGCCGAAGAGGATCAGAAGTCTATGATGGAACTACTTCCAGAAGATGAGCCAATTAAAGAAGAGCCTAAGGCTGTGGTTTGGAGCTGGAGTACACCAAACGTAAGATACACTTAAAGAAACTAGAAATGAAAGTTTATGACGCAGCTTTTCCATTTTATTTAAGGGTATACATCACTTTTCGACGGTGGACTTGGAAACTCCCACAACAGAAATTCAGAAAATCGATGACCTCGAAGAGGTGCTGCTGGACAGTAAAGTCACACCCTCAGACTTTCCGGCTTGGTGGGACGATGGCCAGTATACAAAAATGCAAAAGAATCAAACGTTCCGAGATCTACGCACTAAGCCCTCGCAGGCAAGTGTGCAGCGCATCCTTCGCATCATATACGATATATACTACAAGCCTTTCAAGGAAAAACGCAAAAGATCGGAGGTGTTTCAAATTAAGGATTCGTGGCTATGCGCCACTCGAATGTCCCGCATGCAGATTATTAAGGACATGTATTCAAAGCAAGGAACATGAACCCTATAACTCCTTCTATAAAGGCTTTAAAGGGCAAAGCAATGAGTACACAAGTATAAACTACAATTCCAATAAATATAATTACTTTTAAGGCGTCCTCATGTATACATATGCATGTATATAAAATTAAAAATATATATTACAATTCTATTTTTTTTTTTTTTTAACTTTAAGATCTATTAATAAGATAATAAGAAAACAAGATAGAAAATTCTTTAAATTTCAAATGTTTTAATTCTATACTTTTATTTGGAAAAACTAAGAAATTATAGAACTCGAAACAATGCAAATGGTTCTTTATATTTTTCTTTAAAAAAAGATTTGTTTGTTTTTATTAAATTAGCTTTTTGTTGTATCGTTAATGATTTAATTTATAATTTTTTATGCCAAGTGCTATTTAAATTAGTTGCGCGCCATTTCTGCCTGAAATTAGTGTGGCCATATATTGTATAAGACAAAATAGCATTGAAATACGATAAGAAAAAGTTATCGATAGTGACTGCCCTGGTAGGGTGATTATTTCTAGCCCCCTGTTGGTCACTCTGTTATAGTTTTGCAAAGTAAATTTTGGCCGAGTTGCAGATTTTTCTCCTTTGAATAAATTGCTGCTTGTAAATGCAGGCATGCATGTATTTGTTAAAAAGTGTTTTGCAACCAAGTGACTGAGTATAAAAGTAAATGAGAAGTTGAAGTAACATCAAGCAACAAAAGGAAGCAGACGAAGTGTGCAAAACCGACGCCGCCGGTGAGTTGCAAAGTTAGCCTGATTTCAACAAAAAACAGAAGCATGTACATAATTCCAAGAAAAATATGAAAAAATGTGACTTTGTTTGTACAACTTTCCGGTGGAACACATTCTCTGCCCCATAGTTGTCATTTCCCTTTTGTTTTACGTTTTGGCGCAATATTATTTGCCACACCGGTGCACGGAAACCACCATAGCAGTTTAGCACTAACGCATAGTTCGGCGCCACGCTGTGTGGCAACGCTGCCGTTCACTTTAAACTGAATTCCACGAAAATAAATCAGTTTTCTTTGTTTTTTTTATTCGTGTCTTTGCTGTTACCAAGTTAGTCCACAGTTAAGCTGTAAGTTCCTTGCCCTTGGTGGGGTAACGGTTGCCTGCTGCCCTCGTTTGAGGTTAGGTTCTGGGCATTGGATACTTTTTTTTTGCTGACGCGCGTTGTAATTGAAAATTGTTTCTCGCAGTAGAAGAAAGGAAACATGGCGTGGGTTCCCAGCTCACGGTTCGAGGACGACCTGGTCGATATGGAGCCGAATTTCAATTTCGTTTACGGCCAGTTGGCCTATGAGGTGCAGAAGAAACGGGAGAATACTCCCCGGCCGAAGAGCACCTACGAGTACCTATCGGCCAGGAGGGAGAGGAATGAAGAGTTGGATAAGCAGCATGGTCACTCGTCGGGGAAAGGCCGGGAAATTCGATCCTGCCTGCAGATGATGGAGAAGATACAAACCATAGCGGGCACCAAGCCTCTGGGGGAGCACGCCACAATGGCTGATTGGGAGGATACCAGCACCGTGGAACAGGAGGCGGTGGCAATGATGCGGCACTTTGGTCTCATGTCCATGGACGTGGAAGCACGATCGACCAAACCAAAGCTACTGCCGAACGAAAAAGAAGAAGAATCTCAACCTGAAAAGGTAAAGATCACTAGAAATGGCCGTCGAACATTCCCATTGATCACGGATCCCGATTACTTCAGACCCCGCAAGACCCGAAAACCCAAAGATGCTGACTCCAGCGATACTACTAGTGATACCTCCTATCACACCGCACCAAGCGAGAGTAGCTTCATAAGTTTATATGGTTCAGCGCAGTCTACACTAAGCAACAGCTATGAATCGAAAGATAGAACTCGAGACTGCAAGGAGTACCTGGAGATTCCTTACGAACCTTTAGAGGAGAGTTTCACGGATGAGGCTCCCAAGGAGCAGTCTGAAAAAGTACTAGATTCTGGTACAATCGCTCCGAAGAAGAAAAAGAAACAGAGGCCCAGCCAGAAGAAGAGGCTTCAAAGTGCCAGCCAAGGAAAGCAATATCAGCTTTAAATAGAAATTCAAGATAGCAACATAAACAAATAAATAATAGTTCCCTTGTTAATATTGTTATTTGGTTTATTTAACAATTTTTTTTTATAATAATACTCTTGTGCTCTACGATATAAATTTTAAGTGAAAACAAATGAAATTTAAATAGAAACATACCAACATCATTGCTTTAATAAATATTTTATACCTTCATCATTATAACCATATATGTATTTGTAATCTCTTCCAGTAGAAGTTCCATTATTTCCATTTAATTTCACTAATTCAATCAACGGAGGCTGGGGTTTATTTTGCAGACTAATCTCAAATAAGATAAACAAAATAATACCCCCAAATCAATACACATTCCCCACCCCCTACCAGTAATGGTTATTGTTTTTGTGTGAGGAACTATTATTAATTTGGCGAAACCGACGCGCCAATCAATTAAGTCTAATAATCTGTCCCCCTGATGGTAGAATATAATCACATTGAGAAATTTGCTCACAGCATGACAACCCTATGAAGGCTACAACCCCCCACTATAGGCAACACTTTGTTAAAAAAGTATCTTGAAAGACTTAAGCCCTAAATAAAATTAAAAACAATTTTTTTAATTAAATCTCATTTTTCTTTCTTTGTTGATGATATTTAGTTACCACTGTAATAGGCGGTGGGAGTAGCTGCCTCGTTTTTTCGTCTGTTGCTCTCGTCTTGTATCGTCTCCTTGTCTTTCTCCCTCCAAGCTTCCTCTCTCGCTCGAAAGTGTGAACATACGCATATAACTGCAAGTTTTCGGTTTTCAGTGGCAACCGCGTGCGTCTTTTGTTTGTTGCTTTGTTTTTGGGCTTTTTCTTTGAAGGGTTGTCAAGCCGTCGTTGTTGGCCCGAGATGCTGAAATTCTGTTCTAGGTATTGTGTTGTTACGCAGTTCTACATAAATACCAACATGTGTATGCATGTATACACGGACATGCATGGACAAATATTGATGTAGAAGTCAGTCTAGTCAGCGAAAAAAGGGGGGAAAAATTGGGAGATGCGAGTGCTACATGTCGTCTATATGTAAACGAGTCTGGAGTGTCTCGGCTCCACGAACAAGGCCTGAGCGAAAGGCGAAATCAAAAATGAAGGAGTTCGACAAATGGCTCGAGCTATTAAAATAAATATGCTTTTGGGGAGACCCTCAATTCAGTCTTGATGTTTCTTAAATATCTTAAACGATATTCAATCAAAGGGAAGAAAAACCACAGCTCTTTTAGGTATTTATTATCCATTTATGAAAGAAGAAAAAAAAAATATCAGGTTTCCCCAATTGGCATTTTGTGAGGGCCACCCCAATTCCTACGCACACACGAGTTGCGGCGAGAGTTGCCAAAGCTGCCGAAAGGTGAGCTTAGGTGGAAGAGAGAGGGCAGAGCCTAAAGGAGCAACAGCCCTCGCCGGACCGGCAGCCGGCTTTCTGTTGCTGGGGAAGAGCTGTGTTTGGGGCACAGTGGGGCAGGAAGCTACAAAACTTTGGTAAAATATTAAATTAAATATTTAGAGCCATAAATGGGCTTTGACATAAAATATGAACTTTTAAATCAAATTACAAAATATTGTAAAAACATAAACTCTCCACTGTACTTTGAGAGTTGAACTTGCTGCGATGCTGTGAGAGCGAGAGCTTAGCGAGAGAGAACCACCACCGATTCTCCGGCATCCCTCCATTCCCCTTTTTTGGCGCGCAAGCGTAAGCTCTCTCGCTCTGCCGCCTCGCTCTTGAAATTTCGAGTCTCTAGGAAGGCTTTTCGGTTCACAGCCGCGACAGTTTCATTTGGAAGCTCAGACAGGACATAACGCCTTCGAAAGGATAAGGAAAATTCAACACAAAAGGATTGAAAAAAAAAGGACCAAAACTATCGCATCGTTATAGTAAACTAATAGTAGCCATACTATCCACAGTAGTAAACGTTTTTCAATTAAATCGCCATGGAATGGCCCCAGAGAGGTGCGAGAGGTGGACGGAGGCCCAAGGACCACGAGGATGTTTCATTAAAATTGGGATACAGACAAGACGCGGCTCGGCAGGATACCACCGGATACCGCGTTATTCGTGTGCGTGTGTGTTATGGCAGTGTGTGTGTGCGAGTGTCGCATCCATTCAGGAGACACAAAAAAAGAGACGGAAGAACCGAGAACTTATTCCAAGACTCCTCCGGCTGAGACACATTTCTCAGTGGTGACTTTCTGGACAAAAAAAAAAATCGCAAAAAAAAAATAAAGAAACGGTTCGGTACTTTTTCGGTTTCTTGGGGTTGTTCCTCCCAGAAGCTCTAAATCTCATAAAAGAATGAAAATCTGAAGAAGGTTCTACGACAAAAAATCTAAAGAATGGAATCCGCACAAAATCGTAAGAATATTTTATTTAAAGAACGAGGTCTTCCTATTAAGATCTGGAATATTAAACCTTAAAATCAAATTCTAGTCTATAACTTTGCCATTTCTTGAAATCTTAAGGCTTTGAGACACTTTCCAAGACATTTAAAATTAATATTCCCATAGCCTTTAATTAATTTTTTTAATTTTTAATTAACTTAACCCTGTGAATCGTACAAAAACCACAACAAATTGCATGTCAGGCTTTTAATTTTTAATTTTTTTTAATTTCTTTTAATTTCTTTTAATTTCTTGCAACGCTTGCAAAATGAAAAGGAAAAACTCGAGGTTACGACGAGCCTCACAAGAAATACAATTTTTTTTTTATATATATTTTTTATAAAAAAAAAAAAAAAAAAAAACTTGCACCGCTGGTCTGGCCACTTGTCCGTCGGCTGCCACAGCCTGTTAAGCCCGTCCTTCTCCCTCCCTAGTCGGGGCGAGTGAGTGTGTGTAAGTGTGTATCTGTGTGTGTGTCTTTTTTTTATGGCCATGCAATATCTTTTTTCATTTCTGGCTTTCCTGTTCGCAGCCTCCTCCTGCTGCTGTTGGCTTCATCTTCTGGAGAGGGGGGGGAAGGTACAAAAAAAAAAAAGAAAAAAAAAAGCGAATGTTCAAATTGAAATACTTTACAAAACTCGTATTTGCTTAGCCTTATCGGCGGCCGTGCAGCCACACAGATACAAACGCACACTTCTGAAGTAACTTGAAGTTTTCTACCCCGCTGTTGCCAAGGGCCTTCTTCAGGTCTGGTCTCCTTCCAGTCATATAAGCCGGAGCTAGTACCAGGCCCTGCGCTGCATCTGCATAATCGTCCAGCAATTAGTGGGCTTTAACATCCATCACAAATGAGACAGATCATAATACATACCTCTATAATTATGATTGGACAATTACTTATGGGATATAACTAAACAGAATCTATAGCTCTTAAACGGAGGTCCTTCATCTTTCCATAAAATCATAATGGCATCTTACGGTCATTTATTTCTTGAGATCCTTGCATCCTCCCACTGCCCCACTAGACTATATCCTAGCCATTACAGGATTTTGGGGGCATTAGCCATTAAAGCCAACTGGCTGGACCTGGCCCTAGCCCTGGCCTGGACTTGTTCCTGCACTCGAGATCCCCTGACTTTACCGACAATGTCATTAATTTTTCTCAGCTCCTTTCTACTACCTCCCTTGACCCCCAGACCAGCTTTGGTCTTATGTCCAAGACCCCTATCCCAGCACTATCCTCACCACTCCCACCTTCTGGGAGTCTCTGGTCTGGTCTGCTGTGTGTGCGCTTCGTTTGACTCTTTAATTTTATTTGATTTCTGCTCTGGAACTTGTTTGTTTAGGATTTCGTTTACAAGGGTCTCGGTATCCTTTTCCAGATGTCCAGATGACTCATACTCCTTTCTGGACTGTGAACTTCATTAACTACAAAATGGTTTGTTTAAAGGAATCTCTCTTTAGCTAATCAAAAGTGTGTTTCCTAAAACAGGACATTTATCTGATCGGACTGGGTTTTCTAAAAGAAAAAGGGAAATCCCTTTCCAATTTTCTTTTCTGAGAGTCATTTATTTTTTTGGCTGATAAAAAAAGGGTTTCCCCCGAAACTTCGATGAAAGGCAAGACAAATTTATGGTGTTTTTTTTGTTCAACATTTTCATATCATTTATTAAGCGTTGCCCGGCTTGACAGGTGACAATTTTTTAATGATTTGGGTTCAAAGGACACCTTAAAAAGGTCCTTTTATTTAGATTTCCATTAAAGTTTTTAAAGTATTTCCTAGGCATGTTTAAAACTTTAGTTTGGAAATCCTTTTGAAACTAATTTGGACGCCCACTGGGGGGTTACACCCCCTTTTTCTCTATTATCCGTGATATGTCCGTAACATACTTTTCCAACTTTCATACTTTTTTTTTTTTCAGAGAAAACTTGTCAAAGTTTTTAGTGGAGTTTCATTACTCATCCGGTGGTATCATCTGTCCCCTGGTTTCCTCCTTATCTCGTATTGGGTGGAAAGTGCTTTTGATGTTGAAGTGCTTTCTTCGAGCTGCCGACACGTCCTGTGACAGGCCCCATTTTCCAGATTTTTTTTTTCTTTCGAAAGTTTAAATAGTGCAACACATGTTATCCTGTTTCCCATGCTCGGAGGCCATTTATCTTATGTCCTGTCATCTTTTAAAATGTTATCTTAAAGCTACAAAGTTTAGGTATCTCTTTTTATCTTAAGAGAACCATAGTTATCCTTCCCATCTTATCATAATCCTTAAATTCAATTTGCATGACAATCGAAACTCAGGAACTCCGTTCCCAAAACTTTTCAATTATTTAAACATTTTTAAAGAAAAAAAAAAAAAACGCCAAATGGCAGAAAAGCTAAAAATAGACCTAGAAAAAGTTTGCGGCGCATAGGAAACCCTCACAGGAGGAGGAGGAGGAGGCAACGCAGGCACAAAAAATTCCACTCTGTTGAATGTACAAGGAAAAGTACACTCGCACGAGTACGAGTACTCACTCACACTCACACTAACACTCACAAACGAGGTATAAAAATGTTAATAGTGGCCTGTTGAAGGCAGAGCAACAGCGGCAGAGCAGCGACAGTGACGCGACAGCACAGCTTCACCGGCAAAAAATACAAAGAAGAAGCATTGAAATCCTCTCTCGCTATTACCTTGAGCGGCGCAAGCTCAGAGAGCCAAAGACTTGGTCATTAAATTAACGACGTCATATTTTTGCATGAGAGAGAGAGCGGGGCCTAAAGGTTAGAAAGAGAAAGGGTGGTGGGAGATGGTGGGAGGTAGGGGGAAAAAATGCCACAAGAGTCAAGTTCGCTGACTGTTGATGCTGCGCTGCCCCAGCTTCCTGCTCCTGCTCCTGCTCCACCTTCTCCTCTCGCTCTGTCTCGCTCTAACCAACTAAATCAAATCACCACCCACTCAAAGGAGTTGCAAGCATGGATACAAACAGACTAGCCCACGCAAAATGTACAAGCACAGTGGAACAAAACCAATAAAAATGTTATCAGAAAAACTTTATTGAACTTTATTGAAAATTATATTATTTGGGTTAAAAATATTTTTTAATGTTTAATATTTAATACAAAAATTTTTTATATCCTTTTCACTGTTTAGCCCACTGTTCTTCCTTTTTCTACTCCCTATACTTTGGCGCTCTTTTTCGCTTAGCTTTTTGTGCCGCCAAGTTGGCACAGCGCATGCGCATGACGACAGGACAATGAATCGAACGGGAAAGCCGAAGTGCTGTAGAAACGAACGAACCATGACCATGCCAAAGGATGAAATATTAGCGGCAACTCAACAAAGAAGAGGGCGCAAAAATAGTTGAATCCTGCTCGTCTCATGTCCCTCTGTCTCTCATCTCCTTCTCTACACTGGCAAACTTTGAACTCGAATTCCCAGCATCCCCATGTGCTTTTCATCTTTCTTTTGCTCTATGTGTGTGTGTGTGTCAGTGTGTGCATAAATGTGAATGACAGTGCGGAACGCAGTGGAAGTGGAACACTGCTTCGCTTTGAAATTATTATTTTTCTTTGTTTTATTTTACTTTCATTTTTTTATTTTGTCTTTTATTTACTTTATTTTACTAATAAAAGGATTATATTTTGCCTTATTACAGTTTGTATCTTACCTTATTAAATACTGATAGTTTTGGTTTAAAAGAAACTTTTAGGTTAGTATCTAAGCCATGAATCATGTTGGTTCTTGTCTGAAATTGTTTGCTTTTCTGAGTTCTAACCTCATAATCTTATAGAATAAGTTCTTAGAGCTGTTTTATTTTCGAAAAAATGTTAAAAAAATGCCTATTACATGGATTAGTTCTTATATCCAACATTAAATGATCTCCTGGGACGCTTCTTGGCTTTTTCAAAAGGATAAGGCGCCTAATCTGAACTTTCGAGAAGTAAGGGGCTCTAATTTTAGGCCATAACAGTAACATCATGATTTCTCTTAAGATCTTAGATCTTAGGGTCTTTGAAATAGTTTTGAGAAAGTCTGTAAATAGTTATTCCAAATACCAAGATAAAGAAACAATAATTACAGTTATAAATAGGACTTAGATCAAGAATTCCTTGACCTATATAGAGATACCTATATCATTCTATGAAAAACGAAACCTTATTTTAAGTTTTTTAATCATATTAAATAAAAATCTTAATTTTTATAATATTTAAGAAATAAATTTATTTTAAAAAATCCTTTCTATTATCAACAGGGTATGCAGAAGGTGACAAAAGCTCAGCAAGGACTCTGCGGCAGATGACGAGAGCGGAAACGGGCAAGGACAAAGTACCGCACATGGCGGCAGGGATACAACGCCACAGGATACGGCCAACAGGATATTAAACTAGCAGAAGGTCCACCAGTCCACCAGCCAGCTAGCCAGCAAAGAAAAACAAAGCCGAGGAAGGCCCAAAGCGTGGATTTGGGGAGAAAGGGAGAAGCCAACAAATGGCAGCCATTGTTGCGGGTGGAGGAACCGGACCGGGAAGTAATGGATCAGGTCCCGGTGCTGCTGCTACCCGAGAGTTTGTGGATGGCTGGACTTTGGCTCAAACTTTAGGCGAAGGGGCCTATGGCGAGTGAGTATTATTAATATTTATCTTAAAGATACTTTTTGTTGCATACATTGAGGTAGTACATCCTGTGTGCGTTGTGCCTGTGTGTGAGTGTGAGAAGTCAATAAACCGGAAATGCAGCCCAGAGTAGGAAAAAACGCACTTTTCCGGCGTATTCCGCTGTATACGTTCACCCCGAAATCCACCCACTTGGGAGCCGTTTAGATGCCCACTGCGCATGTCCTTGCCACAAAGGCGATCCGAGTGTGCGGGTCCGGGGAATACGGAATACGGAATACGATGGCATACGGCATCCACACACTCACTGCACCCGGACCTCGAACAGTCGATACCCAGACACCAGACAGCGTTGCAACAACTGCGTTGCTGAACTGCAACTAGCATTTGAGATTTCTGTATCTCATAGATACACCTAACTCTAATCCCTCCGATAATATCTCTATGATGCAGGGTAAAGTTGCTAATCAACCGTCAGACTGGCGAGGCTGTGGCCATGAAAATGGTGGACCTGAAGAAGCATCCGGATGCCGTCAACTCGGTCCGCAAGGAGGTCTGCATCCAGAAGATGCTCCAGCACACAAATATCCTGCGATTTTTCGGCAAACGGTCGCAGGGCAATGTGGAGTACATATTCCTGGAATATGCCGCCGGTGGAGAGCTATTTGATCGAATCGGTGAGTGAATATAATGGATTTTAATAGAAAAATAAATCAAGTGGTTTTGCTTTTTATTTTTAGTATTTTTTTTTAAATTTATTAGGTGTTTATTTAATACTCCTATTTACACCGTCATAAAATCTTTTATTTCTTCTCAAATACCACCTAGAATCTTGTTTAATAGCCTTCTAAACTTTTATTCGAAAATAAGCTCTTCCCTAAAATTGTCAGCCACTTGAGACCACCAAGTCAAGTCAGTCAAGACACTAAAACTTTGTTGGCCATAAGCCTGGGATCAGGCATCTAAAATCTGGCCACAAAGAGGCCACTAAAATGCAATAACTTGAATGCAATTTATCCTTGAAAGTGACTTTCGGAAATTGGATTAAAAATTTTTAGTGAAAAGTTTCATATTCAACAAGATTCCATAACAGATTCCAGACCATATCCATATAGACGACGCCCAGACGAAGCAAATATGCCAATATGTGAACTGTGAACCCAAAGAAATGTCACCCAACTGACTGACAGGGTGGTGGGTTGTGGTGGGTGGTGAAGTGGCGGAATGGTCCTGTTCATCCTTGGGCCAAACTGCAATCTAATGATATTAAATGGAACAGCGGCAGACTGACAAGATACGGATCTTGATTACTCCACTTTTCTGTCTCATGACAATTTGCCAATTTTTCCACGAAGGGTGGGACAGTGGTGTAGGTGCCAAGTTTGTGGCATTTTCATAAATATTAACAACTGAACGAAAGGTCAGGCGGCAAGACGAGGGAAATCGAGTGAGATTGCCACTAATGGAAGTGGCGTCCTTGCATTGATTGCCTGGCCTGCCTGCCTGACTGCCACCACCTCTCCTTGCTCTCATTTGCTGCCACATCCCAGTGTCCCAATCATCATCATCCTGATTCTCCATTTTCGCGGCATGGGCTTGGGAGACTATGGTGTAATAATCAATGTGGCAGCCATATTTAGACCCTGGTTGCTAAGCCATTTTTAATGATATCTAGTGATGGGGCAGGGGCAAGTGATGTGGCATATTATATTTCCCAAAAAAAAAAAATTAGCATATCAGAGAAAAGCCAACACTGATAAGAGCATTAATTTAAATGAATGAAAATTTGAATATTATGACTAATGATTTTCCAATCCAATTTGAAGACAAAATAATGAAACATTATCCTTGTCAGCACGTCCTGTATTGCATTCCTCTGTGGAATTTCATCATCATCCAGTCACGCTCTCATCTCTTGCCATTTTTTCGAAACCGCGCCAGGGATACTGCACTGCACTGCACTGGAAGGATAATAGCCTAGGATGGGTGTGCCATAAATAGGTTCAATATGCAAATGAAACATAATGGAGATGCACCGTCGCCATCCAGATGTCCTCACTCATAAATGCGTATGATGGAGGCCCGTATGTGCCAGAGTGCCAGAGTGGGAGTGTGCGAGTTTAATTGTCTATTTGCCCAGAAATGCATTCATTAAGCTTATGTATGTGCCACAGACCCCAACGAGGGGTCGTGGGGTTATAGATTATCAAACGATTCGGCTGGCGGTGGTCTGATTTAAATTATGTTTCAATTACAAATTTAATTTTCGAGTAATTTCCTTCATTTGGAAGATGGGCCTCTCACTTTATGGAAAAGCAATTAATTATGATAAAATGTTACTGACATCCTTATGCAGTTTTAATGCTTTCATCTGGATGGAGGCTCTTTATTTCCATTTTTGCCATTTTGTAGATTCTCCTCGAGCTTAAAGTCAATAAATATCTCAATATTTGCCAATCAGTGAGATAAAAAATTTCAAAAAAAATATAGAGCTTTAACTTATGTCAATATATGTTTGTAGTTATAGTGTTTTTCTTTTTTAAGTGCATCTACTGTACACTCGCCTCCATTTAATTTCATCCGTGGCAGAAGAGTTGTGCAAATGGCAGCAACACCAGCAACCAGCCACCAGCAGCCTGCAACAGCAACATGCCACATGATAAATGAATGGCAAACAATGTGCCAGCCCAGAACGAGGGTCGACAGGCAGGCGGGATGCTAAAGGGGTTTTCATAGTTGTGGGTGGATGTGAGTCTCAAACTGCACCTGCTCCACAACATTATCTCCGACACATTTGACTTTTCCGAGACAAGACTGTAAATTGGGAGAGATAGAATATACAAATATATATTAAGATTAGATCTGTGAAGTAAAAGGATTTTAATTGTTGTTATTTTATGAGGTTTCCTAGATAGGCTAAATGGAAATAAATTATTATTTTATAATAAAATGGCTTTTAGAATAAATTTAAGACAATAATGCCAAAGGACGCAGACAACTTGGAACTAAATGTGTTAAAATCTTATCATCTCTTGGAAAATTTCTAAACACTATATAGCCTTTGTCTTAACCTCTGACCTGCTGCCAACAAAAAGGGAAGTAAAGCCAAAGAAAAGCATTCCAGGGAGGAGGAAAATCAATACCAGAGAGGTGGGAAATGAAATGAAATTATGTTTGATCCCCCAACCTCTGGGATGTAACCTCCGCCTTTGACAGTCAATCAAGTGAAAGGCGGGTTGGAAATGCAATCTGTCTAGCTTTTGGGTTGCCCCGGGGTTAAAGGTCTCTCCTTCTCCAAATATCCTTTGTGATTATCTCGATGCATTTATCCCCAAAGTGGTTGCTCCTTTTGTAAATATTTGGGGCTTTGCAGGTCACTGAATAACATTAGCTTCGACTATCAGCTCAAATACGAAAGTGAAGCTTCAAGTAAATATTTTATAATGGCAGGAGTTTTTTAAAATGCATATTTAAGAGTGGAAACCAACAGGTAAACACACTGTATTGTCATTGTTTTCCATCCGGACTGGACTTTGATTAAAATTGCATAAAACTGTTGATTGAATTTTTGTTGGCACCAGGACACACACACACACAGACACACGAGCAGGATGCATTACATTTGTTTTTCCCACCTGTCCCGAGTACCCAGTTTTTGCTCGGCTGCACAAATTTTCCATTTTCCGTGCGTGCAGCTCTCGGAGGGTTTTTCACACGGAAATACCTACAAAAAAAAAATAGTAAAGGATATTTTTTTTTTTTGTAATAGCAGGGTAATGTTTATTTAAAACTGTCCATTAGGGACAACCATTAAATTTTATCACGTAAACTTCACGTATAGATATTTTTAAATATTAATATGGTAGAAAAAAAAAAAATTAGAGTAGTAAGGGGAGGTCCAGCGGGTGTGTCCTTTTAAGTCTTCTGGGTTGCTCGCTGCTGTCCAGCAGGGAGCTGGCCAACCGGTTCGGGTGATTATGAAGCCTCTGCATGTAACGTGCGCTGCTTCTTTGTATCTCGTCCTTGACCCAAGGGAAGTTGAGAACCTCGTGGATGGTGCGATTATCATGATAGACGTGGGCCCCAGTGGCGATTCGAAGGGCTCTATTTTCGAAAGCTTGCATAGTTCGGACATTCGTCTTGCTCGCAGTTCCCCAGAGCTGTATGCCGTACGTCCAGATAGGGCGTATTATTGCCTTGTAAATGAGGAGTTTAGTGGAAGTTCTCAGCTTCGATCTCCTACCCATAAGCCAGTTGAAGGATCGAAGTCTTTGAATAGCCTGTTTCCTCTTCTTAATCAGATGGGGCTTCCAGGTGAGCCTCCTGTCTAGGGTGAATCCCAGGTACCTGGGATTGTCTACCTGTGGGATTGGAGAGCAGTTAAGGTTAACTGGAGGGCAGTTGCCTTTGCAGAGAGAAAATGTGGAGGCAGTGGACTTCTCGTTATTGACGGCAATGTTCCATCGCTTTTGCCAGTCGCTGAGCAAGTCAAGTTGCAATTGCATCGTATCGGCTGCCCCCAATGCGCTATCGGCGGTGGTAAGGAAGGCGGTGTCGTCTGCATAGGTTGCTGCGAGCAGGTCAGGCCTCTGAAGAACAGGGAGGTCGGCCGTGTAAGCATTGTACATCAACGGGCCAAGAACGCTGCCTTGGGGTACACCAGCGTGAGCTTCTCTAATACCGGAGATGGCCTCGCCACATCTAACAGCAAATTTACGGTCTTCCAAGAACGACTTTAGGAACTGGAAGTATGGTCGGGGTAGGCCAGTCTTTAATTTATATAGAAGACCGGGATGCCAGACTCGGTCAAACGCCTGCTTCACGTCCAGCATGACGGCCATGCAGTACTTCTTGGTTTCAAACGCGTCCAGGATGCACTGCACTACCCGATGGCACTGCTCTGGCGTACCGTGTCGCCGCCTGAAGCCAAACTGGTGGTCAGGGATCAGTCCAGCCTCGTCAAATACTGGCAGTGCTCTGCTTAAAAACACTCGTTCAAGTATTTTGGAGAGCGTTGGTAACAAACTTATTGGTCGGTAGGACGAAAGGTTTGCTTCGGGTTTCCCGGGCTTAGGTATCATAGTTACCTGGGCACGTTTCCATGTGGACGGGAAGTACCCTATCTCCAAGCATCTATTATAGATCCTCGTAATTAGCTGAATGCTTGGAGGTGGTAACATTTTTAATGCAATTGCATTGATACCATCATCGCCCGGGGCCTTGTTGTTGCTCATGATGGTTATAAGCTCAGCTGTTTCCTCCTCAGTCACTGGTGGTATTGGATCGGCGTCCCTAGAAGGCTCGGCTAGCAGACGGGCAGTTTCAGCAGCATCCTCCGGTGAGCAGCGATCGAAAGGCGTAAAGACACCTTCGAGGTGTTCGGCGAAAGCGTTGGCCCTGTCCATCTCCGATCTGCACCAGCTGCCGTCGGTTCTTTGTACAGGTGGGATCCTTTTCAGCGGCTGTCTGATAGATTTGGTGACTCGCCATAAGTTATGTTGAGGGTCGCCTGGCTCGAGTTGTTCGACGAACCCGTCAAAGGCCTGCTTCCTTAGTCTTGCCAGAGTTTCTGTCAGACATTTGGTCGCTCTATTGAAGGCGGTTTTGTCCAAAGGATTCCTTGAGAGCATCCACACTCTTCGGAGTCGTCGCTTTTCAAGTTTGAGTTCTTCGACTTCTGGGCTCCAAAATGGATGTCCCTGTCAGTGGCTCTTGGGCGGTTGGAGGGCCTTGGTGCTGCTTCAGAAGCTGCCGCCTGAATATGGGCTGTTAACTCTTCTACAACGGTGTCGATGTCAACCGGGGAGTCAAGTGTCGGGCTGGGGTCGGTAACGTTGTTCAGGTAGGATTGGTACTTGTCAACGTCTGTTGTCTTGTAGATCAGCTTTTTGCGGGCTGACCTGAGCAAGGCTGGGGTGAAAAGTGACACGGCAAAGGCGCTGTGGTCCGAGAAGAGGTCTTCTACTTCTCTCGCTTGAATTCCGGCAGAATCCAGTCCTCTGGAGATGGCGAAGTCTAGCACATCAGGGATTTTGTGGGGATCCGTAGGCCAGTATGTGGGTGCACCGGTTGCGTGACAGCTCAAGATTCGGGACTGAATCTGCCTGTATAGGGCCGAGCCCTTTGGGTTTGTAATCCTGGAGCCCCACCAGGGGTGTTTAGCATTAAAGTCCCCTCCGATTATGAACTTGGGGCCGAGGCAATCCAGTAGCAAGCCGAATTCCTGTTCGTGGATGTTGTGCCTGGGGGGGCAATATGCTGCGGCGATTGTTATGTCACCGTTGGTAGTGGAGATTTTAATTTGGGCACATTGTACCCAGTCTTCGCACATGGCTGGAAGTGCCTCATACTTGATGCAGCTGCGAATAAGGATGGCCGCGCCCCCGCGACCTCTACCGTTCGGGTGGTTAGCGGCAATGAGGTCGTATCCTCTAATAGTCAAGTATGATCTGTTGGTAAAATGCGTTTCTGATATGAGGAGAACGTCTGCTTGGAGGGTCTTGCAATATAGCTCGACCTCTGGCCTTCTTTTTACCAGGCCGTTAGCATTCCATATGGTTATATTTAATTGCGTATGCACAAGGATTTGCAAACGGTGGCCATCATTTGGGCTATTTGGCTCAAGACCTTCTCCATCATGCGCTCAAACATAGATTCCATCCTAGCCGTTAGGGCGTCCATTGGATTACTTGAAAGACTGGGATCGGGATTGGGGTTGGAGTCAAACTGTGGTGCTCCGTTTTTGACTGCGCTAGCATAGCTGATGTTAGGGTTAATTTTGCTGAATTGAGGTTGCTGGCGTCTTGGGGCAGCCTGTTTGGGGGCGAACGTGCTCTTTGCCTTTTTGTAGGCTGGACAGCCCTTGTAAGAGGCCGCATGTGATCCGTCGCAGTGGAGGCAGACTGCTGGTTCACTGGCAATTTTGGTGCATTCGGAGGATGGGTGCCTATCTCCACACTTTACGCATCTGTACTCCAGATGGCAGTACCGTTTCGTGTGACCGAAGCCCTGGCAGCGATGGCATTGGGGCACATCGTCGAATTTTTTTGGTGGCTCAACCGTAACCACCGTGCTGCATAGCCGCTTGACTTGAAAGGCCTCCTTGTTGTTTTTGGCTGGCTCGAGGTTAATAAAGAAAATGTTTAGTGGCTTCTTTGTACCTTTTTGCATAGGATTGTGTATATCCCTGACTTTGTGTCCATGGCTGCTGAAACCCACCTTAATATCCTCCGGGTCGGTGGAGAAGTGGAGGCCTTTAACGACGATCCGATAAGCGCGCTCGTCTCGGGGCTGGAATGTGTGGTATCGATGGTTATTTTCGCTCAGGAACTTTTTCAGAGTTGAGTAAGTATCCTTATCTGGAGTCATGACGCGAATTGTGTTGTTAGTGCTTGCTTTGTAGGTCACTTCAACATCCCCGCCTAAGAGGTGGGAAATGTCTTTGGAAAGGCCCTTGATGCTGGATACGTCCGGGATAAAAATTGGGGGCGGTTTGATGATTTTCGCCGTTTTTACCGCAGATTGCTTGGTTTTCTTATCATCTTTTTTCTTCATAACGTCAACCTCCATGTCGCTGACACGATCTTCATCGTCTAAATCAGAAAGAATTGCATAATAATTTTTTTCAATATTAGCTTTAAGTGCAGCTCTGGCTGCTTCGCTGGTGGTAGGTTCGTCTTCCATAATGGGTTTTTAGCAGACTTCCGCTTCATTTCTCCATGCTCGGAGTCGCTGGAATCGACATCTTGAAAATTAGAATAGGCTTTCTTTTTCGAAGGCGGCTTGATTTTGATGGAACTGGGAGGGTTTTGCCAGCCCATTAAGTTGGTTTTGCCCGAGAATGGCCGCAAGATTAGGTAAATAAGAGTGGTTTTATATTTTTTTGGTGGTTGGAAAAAAAAAAAATTTAAATTTTTCTTTTTATTTTTTTAACAAACAATAAAACGATGCTTTCAGTTCAAAGCCTACCTCAACCAAGCCTACCTTCAAGTAAAGGATATAAGGCAGGATAACAGGATAAATTGCATTGCGAAAATATGCCACAAAGTTTAATTCAATTTCCTTGAATGCCAATCGATTATGAAAATGATTTTAAAACCAAAACCCCATTTCGTTGCAGAACCCGATGTTGGAATGCCCCAGCATGAGGCCCAGAGATATTTCCTCCAGCTCCTGTCCGGCATCAACTATCTGCATCAGCGTGGAATAGCTCATCGGGACCTGAAGCCGGAGAATCTCCTGCTGGACGAGCACGACAATGTGAAGATCTCGGACTTTGGCATGGCCACCATGTTTAGGTATTTAGGTACATTAATTAGTTCCAAAATTATAATAAGAACAGGGGTTTTTAGTCTTTAATTTGAAAAAAAAACGCAGAATATCCATTAAAATGTGGAAAGTTTTTCGCTGAAAACTGACCAACAAGCAGAATTGTTAATTGAAAACGCTCAGGGCCATGGCATCCAACATTCAAACTAAACATGCCCACAGAGATTTTAGTTTGAAACTAAGTGGAAACTCATTTAAATAGTTTGCCAGTTGGCCCGAAGTAGTTGCTTGAAATGGTTTGAAATTAAATATTTAAATATTATCAATTTTAAGATTAATTTTAAACAAAAACTATGGAAAAGCTATTAAATATGGTATGCTGTACTAATTTCAATAAGAACTAAAAAATATTTAATAGAAAAATGGTTTCTGTGATTTATAGAAGCTTTAGATTACATTTTTCCAACTTATAGTGGTACGAGGGAGTGATATATATACTGATATATATACCTGTGCAGTCAAATATCAAGAAAATCTAATATATAGCGCAAAATCATAAATGATATTTTTGAGTGAAAAAAATTAAATATATAAAAATAATAATTATTCATGATTTTAATATTTCGCTCAGAGAATAATCATTATTTTGTGATTTTAATATTTCGCTCCCTGCTATTAATATTTAATATTTATAAGCCTACCCCCTATTTCTGTCTGTGTAAAAGCTCTATGAAAATATTTAAACTTTAAACCTTTCTTTGATTTTTTTTCTCCTCCACTCCACCACTTTGGCATTCCCGCGGAGCAGGTGCAAAGGCAAGGAGCGACTGCTGGACAAGCGCTGCGGTACTTTGCCGTACGTTGCCCCAGAGGTTCTCCAGAAACCGTATCATGCCCAGCCGGCGGATATCTGGTCGTGTGGTGTGATTCTCATCACCATGCTGGCGGGTGGTAAGTCCATCAATAAAAATTTAAAACTGTAAAAAATAAAAAGAAATAAAATATTAAGTGAAAAAAAAATAAAGAGGAAGAAATCCAAAGCATTATCATCGCCTTGCATCTAACGGAAGTCATCAGTCACATGCCCAAGTACTCTATATACCCAAAACTGGTCATGAGAAATATTCAAAAATCAAAGATTATAAATGATAAAAACCTTATAAGAGAGGGAGGTATAACCTTGATCAGTTGGGTATATCTTGTACTCCCTATATATAATATATATTTTTTGGTTCACTCTTCTCCTCACCGCACCTCCTTCTACTTTTTTCATTATTTTTGCTGTTTCTTTGGTATTCTAGCTGTAGATTGTTTTCACGCACATTGTATATCATCTAAAGCTTTTATACCAAAGCTCCAGCTTAAATTGCTTAACAACGCACCACCAAACAACAACAACATCAACAAATATATATACTATAATTAATATAGTAACGGAATGATAAAAAAAAGAACTCGATTGGATGCACGTTTCTGAAAAAAAAAAAACACAAAAATTGCTTTACATTTCCTGAACACGGCTCACGTTCGCACGTTCTCTCGCATCATTTCCATGTCTATTTGCATAATTGTGTTTAATTCTTAATTTTAAATTAAAATTTTTCCAAACAATTTAATTAATGTTTTGCGGGGTATTATTACAGAATTACCCTGGGATCAGCCTTCGGCCAATTGTGTGGAGTTTATTAACTGGAAGGATAACGACCATTGGCAAACGCAAACGCCATGGAGCAAGCTGGACACTTTGGCCATTTCCCTGCTACGAAAGGTCCTTGCCACCAGTCCGGGGACACGTCTGACTTTACCCAAAATCCTCAATCACAAATGGTGCAACATGCAATTCGTGGACAATGGTAAGGATTTGCTGATTAAATGGAAAAATATTGTGAAAGGTCACCCGAAAAGTCCACTTAATGGTTCAGGTACTTAGTGACTCTCAATGTATTTGACATTTTGAGAGCCACTTTGTGCCTGGGCCATCAGTGAGGCTATATCTTCTATATAATCGAGGTAATATAGTGTTGAAATATATAGTATCTGCTCTACCTGAGCTTTGGCGCTTTAGCTGTATGATAGATTTAAATACTTCATAAAGCTAGATTACCAAAGCATGGGTTTTCGCAGGATAATCTTCATTAAATAATATAATAATATATTTATTCTTTTTTTAATTTCAGTTAATTTATTTATGAGTTGCTCTTTGGTTTGCACATTATTTGCTCTTTGGTGATTTTAGCTGTATGGTGGTTTCTGATTCCATAGAGCTTTATTACCAAAAACCAAATGGTTTTTTGCATTTTTCTTGAGTTGCTTTTTATGATTTTCTTAAAATTTTTAGTTATAATATATTGAAAATATATTTTATTCTAAAATTTGGTTTCCCTCCTTATAGAACGCTCTTTGGACCTGGTGGACTCGGCAGCTGCCTTGGAGATTTGTTCTCCGAAAGCCAAGCGCCAGCGGCTGCAGTCTAATGGAAATCTCAACAATGTCTTGGATGACTCTATATCCCGCAACTATTGCTCTCAGCCCTCGATGAGGAACGACAATGATGACTTCGATCTAAGACTGCGCACCGGCCGGCCCAAGAATGGTGACGAGGTTATGGCCCAGGAGGCTCGACTCGGCTTCTGTTTCTCGCAGCCCGCCCTCCTGGATGATCTGCTGCTGGCCACGCAAATGAACCAGACCCAGAGTGCCTCGCAGAACTACTTCCAGCGCTTGGTGCGCCGCATGACCCGCTTCTTTGTGACCACCCGATGGGACGACACGATCAAGCTTTTGGTCAACACCATCGAGCGACTGGGTGGCTATACCTGCAAGGTCGGCGAGGACGGTGTGGTCACCGTGTCCACCGTCGATCGGCACAAGCTGAGACTGGTCTTCAAGGCCCATATCATCGAGATGGACGGAAAGATACTGGTGGACTTCCGGCTGTCCAAGGGCTGTGGCCTGGAGTTCAAGCGGCGCTTCATCAAGATCAAGAACGCCCTGGAGGGCTTTGTGCAGAAGGGACCCACCACCTGGCCCATTGCAATTGCCACGAACTCGGTGCCTTAGTTTGTAATTACCTCTTAAACTTTAAAGACGCACCCACCTCCTGGTGGGATTTCATCACGTTTAGTTTTAATGAAAATTCTCAATGTGCTAACTTATTTTTTAAATCCATTGCATTATTTACGATTAAGTTTTGTGTTAGTATTGCATTTCTATCGGACGATTTGAATTTTGTTAAATTGTTAATGTCTCTAGTATTGAATGTAACTAGTTTAGGTCGTTATCGAACAATAAATCGAAGCTGATTTGGATTGAAAGTGGTATGTTTTTTCATTTTTCAAAAAAGGTTCTCAAAATAGCTTTCAAAATAAGACAATTATTCTGCAAAAAAGCGTTATAATGGTAACGTTAGCAGAAAATGGGAATGAAATGGTCTTCAAAACTACTGAAACTATAACAAATGGATCAAAGAAATCGAAGCTGATATTTTTAGGTATTTTATTTTCAAAGAAGGTTCTTAAAAATTCCTTTTTTTTGGGCTACATAACAGGACCAATACGTTTTTTCTGAATAATCATACAATGAAAGAGTATCGTAAGAGGGATATGGATATAAAATGGTCTAAAAAAGAATTCTACAATTTGAGTTTTAAAGGAGAAGATTAAGAAAAGTTTTAACATAAAAAGTATAAATATTTCTAAAAAAAGGTTTCAAGAGAAAATTTGGGGAGAAAAGTAACGTAAGGAGAAAATGGACAAAACTTCAAGAAATATTTAACAAATTTAAGATTTTGAAAAGGTTTAACCTTAAAAGTTCAACAATTTGTACTAAATTGTTTTCTGACTACGTAGCAGGACCAATACGTTACGTATGCCAATACGTTGAAAAAAGGTTCCGTTGAACATACGTTGAAATTTTCCTGAAAATTCGAAAATAGGACATTTTTCTAAAAAAAAAAACAATTTTAAAAAGTAAAGTAAGCAAAAAATATATATAAAACGGTCGTAAAACCATTGAAAGTTTAAAAAATCAAAGATTTGAACAAGTTTTAGAATAAAAATGTGTTATTCAACAATAAATCGAAGCTTATGGTATTTCATTTTCCAAAAGTGGCCCTAAAAAATTATACTTATTTGACAACGTAACAGGACCAGTAAGTCACGTAAGGGTCTTTTCTGGATATATAATAATTTTTTTCTGAATTACACAAAAAAGGAGAAACGTAAGCAGAAAATTGAGAGAAAAATCTCTAAAAAATATTTTAAATTCAAAACTAGAAACAGTTTAGAAAATTAGGACCATAAAAACTATAAGTATTATCAGAAAAGAGGTTTTGATTTTTTTGAAACATAATTGAGGAGAAAATGTACAGAGAAAAGTAACGTAAGCAAGAAAAGGGATATAAAATGGTCTACAAAGATAAAGAAAAAATAAAATCTTAAAAATCTAAGATTGAAAGAAATTGAAATTAAAGAATAGACAAAGTTTTTAGCATAAATAGTACAAAGATTTCAAAAAAATAATGCAAAGAATAAAAAAAAGTTAAATCTCATTTCAAAACTTTTCAAAAACACTTCAAAAAGACATGTTTTTTTAAGACGTTTATTTGACATCAACTAACCAATTAAATATTTGTACGCACTCTTAATCTGTTTAACGTTTTGGTGTACTGACTTTACCTATGGGCTGTATATTAAATCGATCCGAGTGATTTCAACGATTTTCTGCTTAAATTCTATGTCTCAACAATTTTGTAACCATTAACTGCATTTTATGTTTTGTATATGGTGTTGTCTTGTGTGTAGATCAATATATAATTTCAAATGAATTACAGCGACTACAATAACGATATTCCAAGCTGTTGATAGGTTTTTCTTTTTCTTTTTGTTTGTAATTGGTTTTTTAATATAAATAATGATTAGATCAATGGTGTAACATTAATAATAATGTCTTATAAAGAAGCATAGAGACAGTAAAGGTTTAGTAATTTATGATTCATTTGTGCGCCAGACACAAATTCCGATGGTGAAGGTTGACGAACACGTGCACCGTCATATCTCTTGACGACTCCTGCCTCCATTCATCCTCCAGGAACGTGTTCCAGGATGCAGTTCTCATAATGGGCGCCGTCTCGACGGTGTGGTTGGAATTTTGAAGTGGCCTGCACCTTACTGGGGCTTCCTGAAGTTCTTGCCGGCAAACTTGACTCCGGAGCCGATCTCCTCCTCGATGCGCAGAATCTGGTTGTATTTGGCCAGACGCTCCGAACGGCAAGGAGCACCGGTCTTGATCTGGCCAGTGGACAGACCCACCACCAAGTCACCGATGAAGGAGTCCTCGGTCTCGCCGGAGCGGTGAGACACCATGGTGCCCCAGCCGTTCTTCTTGGCCAGCAGATGAGCATCAATGGACTCGGTGACGGTACCGATCTGGTTGACCTTCAGCAACAGGCAGTTGCAGGCCTTCTTCTCCACAGCGGTGGCAATGCGCTTGGGGTTGGTGACGGTCAAATCATCACCAACGATCTGGATCTTGGTGGCGCCAGTCAGGGCAGTCCAGGCCTCCCAGTGGTCCTGGTCGAAGGGATCCTCAATCGAGACGATGGGGAAGTCCTTGATGAACTCCTGGTACAGGTTGCTCAGCTTCTCGGGGGCCAGCCACTGGGCCTTGTCACTGGCGGGGTTCTTGAAGTCCAGATCGTACAGACCGTCCCTGAAGAACTCAGAAGCAGCGACATCCATGCCGATTTCGATCTGTTGGGATGGGAATTAATATCTTTATAAGGATATCTAACTGAGGATTGCCAGGACACTCACCTTGCCGGTGTAGCCAGCCTTGGCGATGGCATCGGTGATCAGGCAGAGGGCCTCCTTGTTGGACTGGATGTTGGGGGCGAAACCACCCTCATCGCCTACAGAGGTGGCATCCAGACCGAACTTGGCCTTGATCACGTTCTTAAGGTGGTGGTACACCTCAGAGCCCATCTTCATGGCCTCGGTGAAGCTGGTGGCGCCGGTGGGCAGGATCATGAACTCCTGCATGGCCAGCTTGTTGCCAGCGTGGCTGCCACCGTTGATCACGTTGAAAGCGGGCACGGGCAGGATGATGTCGGTGTTGCCAGCCAGATCAGCGATGTGTTTGTACAGGGGCACGTTCTTCTTGGCGGCACCGGCCTTGGCCACAGCCAAAGAAACACCCAGGATGGCGTTGGCACCGAACTTGCTCTTGTTCTCAGTACCGTCCAGTTTAAGCATGAAGTTGTCAATGGCGGCCTGATCGACCACATCCAGGTTGGCCTTGATCAGCTCGGGTCCCAAAGTGTCGTTGACATGACCGACAGCCTTCAGCACCGACTTGCCATGGTAGTTGGCCTTGTCGTTGTCACGGAGCTCCAGAGCCTCGTGGACACCGGTGGAGGCACCAGAGGGCACGGCAGCACGGAACAGACCCAGCTCGGTGGTCAGGTCAACCTCCACGGTGGGGTTGCCACGGGAGTCGTAGATTTGACGGGCCTTGATCGACTTGATGGTCATATTGCTGCTGTCACTGCAAAAAAATATAATTATAAAATTAATACAAAATAAATTTTAAAAAACCTAACCGCAGATAAGGGTTTTTTGAAGTCTATACATTATATTTTATTATATTTATAGTATGTATGACTTTTAAATGATGTCTTGGTTCCAAAGTTTAAAATTATTTTGTTTAAAAAAAAAAACCAGCTGCCCACAGATAAGGGTTCTATAAATGACAAGATATATAGCTTTATATGAGGAATATTCCTGAAATCAGGACTATAATGTCTTGAAAGAATACTAATAATTAAAGCTTAAACTTAAAGTTAAAGTTTATAGGTTTATACATTTTTAAAAAAGATCAAAATATTAAAAATGTATAAAACATGAAAAACTTTATAGGAAACTTTTAAAGAAAAATATAATGACAAATTTTAAAAATTCATTTGTTTCCTATCTAGGTTTAAGGTTTCTAATATTTTAAAGATAAGTTTATAAGTAAGATAGGTAGTTTTTAAGATAAGAATTTATAAATTTATAGAATTTGTAAAGATAGGAAACTTTTCCCTTTTCCTATATTTATAATTATTACTACTAAAAAAGCTAGTATAATTTAGTAGACAAATTAATATTTTATTTTCCTAAAACATAGCCTAAATTTGAGCCATTTTTGAGTCAAAAACTCCAAACATTTCCATTTCCAACTTTTTCTATGGAATATTCCCGAGAATATCTCTACTACTATCTCTACTTTCTATATTTAAATCTTCTTCGAATTTCAATTAAATAATTCTAAAATTATTTAGAGTCAGTGACACGCGCTCGGCATTTCCCGAAAGCGAAAATAAAATTTGATTCGCAGCGGGAGAGGCTTTCCCCGCCGACCAACATCGTACGAGCAACGGTATGACCTCTACGGTGCTTTTGGAGGTCAAACGAAAAGTGAGGCTCGCAGCCAAGCCGGAATATGTGGAAAAGTTGCGAAAAAAACAAAAGCGAAAGTATACAAATTACTTAGATATTACGATTAGCTCTGATTAGAAATGATTTCGTTTTAAAAATAAAAATCAATTAGAAAAAACGGAAAAGGAAAGGCCCACTTGAAAATTTGCACAATTTGTTAGATAATCGCGTGGGAATCGCAAGTTGCATTTCTGTCATTTTAGCTTTCTTTAAAAGGGAGTATTATTTAAATTGGTAGAGGCACTTTTTAGATAAAAATTATTAAAAAATTTAAGACACCAACACTTATACATACCAATTACTATTGAACCTCACAAAATTAAATCCAGACGGAAGAATCGCTTGCGACTTTCTGGCTGCTGATTTCGTTCTGACAGTGACTAAAAACGCTGAGAAAACGCCCGCTGCCGACTCGCTGCTTTTGCGACAGAGCCGGGGAGCAACCCCGAGAGAGCTGCGCAGCCCCAAAATGTGCGCCATTGTTGTTGTCGGCTGGGATGAACGACAGCTGAGAGAGAGTAATTCCAGGTGCTCGCCGGCCTGTTGTTGTTGCTGTTTTTTACTATTTTTTTGAATTTTGTTGCTTTTTTTTTGGGAAATTGACCTTCGTACAAGGTTAGTGTTTAGATTCCACACGCAGAAGTGGATTTCATGTTTGGCTGCAAGAGAGCATAAGACTCAGTTAATCGTAAAACATGGCATTATTAATGAAATTGAGGGAACATCAAGCCATGGCAACAATCGCAAAACATGATGTAAATAATCTCAGGTCATTCAAAGTCGTATTCTTCATAAATGTCATTAATTTGGGGAAATAAATACAAAAAGCTAATGAAAGCCCTTAAAACAGCTGATTTGACATTATGTATGAATGTTAAATAACATTGTCGCCCACATTTTATTTATAGGGGTCTGTTAAGTAAATTGATTTTATTTTTAACCATAAATATGTATGTAATGCAGTTATGGAATCAATATTTTTCTAAAATTAAAACTTAAAATTACAGGTATTATTTTAAATTAGCTTAAGCTATTATGTTTTTAACAAAACAGAAGTAACAGGCAAATTTTAGAAATAATAACTTTAAATAAATGCACTATATATGAATGAGTTTCTAATAAAACTATAATTTAGCATTCAATAATCCTTATATTATGTATTTTAGTTTACCTTCGATAAAAACAAATGTTATTCCAGCTGATCTTTACACAAAACCCTAAAACAGTGCTGAGAACCGTATTAAAATCAGTGTTAGAAAACTTATTTGGTAAACATCTGTTTTGAACCGCACACGCGGAATTTTTGTTTAAAACTTTTTAAGAGAAAAATAGAATAAAATGGCCACAAGCGGAACTATAGTAATGCCTGGAGAAAGAATTACTTCTATAGAGGAGGTGGCCAAAACCAAGAGGGTAATCCTAGGACCGGGATTGCGGAGATTGGACGACACTGTAGTGGCCAGCAAAGCCGGACCGTTGCGCCACAAGGAACCCAACACCTTTTGGGTGGACAACTACCAGAGAAGATACGTTCCTGCCCGTGGAGACTTAGTCCTGGGCATCGTCAAAGCCAAGGCGGGGGATCTGTATCGCGTGGACATCGGAGCCCCGGAAACTGCCTCGATTTCCTACCTTGCTTTCGAAGCGGCCACTAAAAAGAATCGCCCGGATCTCAATCCCGGAGATCTAATCTACGCCCGTGTCCTCAACGCCAGCGCGGACATAGAACCTGAATTGGTATGCGTGAATTCCAATGGGAAGCGCGGAAAATTGGGTGTATTGCCCGATGGATTCTTCTTTAAGTGCAGCCTCAATCTGGGCCGCGTGCTTCTCCGAGAGAACTGCCCGGTTCTAGCTGCCATCACCCGTCAGCTGCCGTACGAGATCGCCGTTGGAGTGAATGGCAGAATCTGGGTGAAGGCCCACTCGCTGCGAGAAACCATTGGCCTGGCCAAGGCCATTTTGGCGCTGGAGCAGGCCGGATATGCGGAAATAGACAAGCTCTGCGACAACCTGGGAGACTTCCTGCAGGAATAGGTTGCATTCGGGATTAGTTCTTAGCTTATACTTACTGTTAATAAAAAATTTCCCTACAAAATGTATAAATTTTGAATTTTATGAAACATGAAGCGAAGGGTGTACAGAAAAACTGATTTGAAATCTGGGTGTGATATTAATATTTTGAAATTTATAAAAACAAGAAAGGAAAGCCTTCTTAGGGGAGGAGTACCTGAAGGGATTTCTGGATCAATTCTCCAAAAGACAAAATATTTTTTAGATTTTTAGTCCATTTTCGTCAGGGTATCCTTTGAAAATGGGTTTTTTCCCTACATGGCCCACAGTGATGGCTATATCTTCACCAATTCTCATCCGATTCTCAAGCGGAGTACCTTAAACGATTTCTGGATCGATTCTCCACCATTCTGCATCAAAATCCTGAGACAAAATATTTCTTAGATTTTTTGTCCATTTTTCGTGATGGGATCCCTTGAAAATGGGGTTTTCCCCTATACGGCCCACAGTGATGGCTATATCTTCACCAATTCTCATCCGATTCTCAAGCGGAGTACCTTAAACGATTTCTGGATCGATTCTCCACCATTCTGCATCAAAATCCTGAGACAAAATATTTTTCAGATTTTTTATCCATTTTCCCTGATGGGTCCCCATGAAAATGGCGTTTTCCCCTATACGGCCCACAGTGATGGCTATATCTTCACCAATTCTCATCCGATTCTCAAGCGGAGTACCTTTAACGATTTCTGGATCGATTCTTCACCATTCTGCATCAAAATCCTGAGACAAAATGTGTTTCAGATCTTTTGTCCATTTTTCGTAATGGGATCCCTTGAAATCTTTCCCAATATAATTGTTTACATATTTTTGAGTCAAAAAGTATCAACTTTTTAAGAAAATATTTGATATATTTTGTCGAATATATTGTAGAAAATTAAAAAAGCATATGAAAGTCTCAAAACAAGTTATTAGCTTTATAAAATGAGCAGTCACTGCGTCATCTCTGATGCCGCCAACAGCTGATCTGGCGCACCTTCTATGGCCATTATCTGGCTATACTGATTATACAGATTTCAGTCTCTCCTGTTGCGGCAAAGGGCAAAGGTTTTCCGATCCGATCCGACCTACTCTCGTTTCGGTTTCCAGTCTCAAGATGACCTTCCTGGAGTTCCTGCTCTTTCTGTTGGTGCTCTACTATGTGATCTATGTCCTCCTTTGGATCGTGCTCGATTGCAATGTGGCGCTGTGGTACAAGTCCCGGTTTGGAGCTTCCCTCTCCTCGATGCGCGGACAGGTGGTTTGGATAACCGGTGCCTCGAGTGGAATTGGCCGAGCCCTGGCCGTCAGCCTAGCCAAACAGGGAGTTAAGCTGGTGCTCAGTGCCCGCCGAGTGGAGCAACTGGAACAGGTGCAGGAAGAATGCCTGGCCGCTGCCAAGGGGCTGCTTGCCACCAAGGATGTTTTTATTCTGCCCATGGATATGCTGGATGTGGACGAGCACCGAGTGCATCTATACACAGTGCTTAACCATTTCGAGCGCCTCGATGTTCTGGTTAACAATGCTGGGAGATCGCAGAGAGCCAACTGGACTGATATCGATATAGAGGTGGATCGGGAACTCTTCGAACTGGACGTCTTCTCAGTGGTCCACCTATCCAGACTGGTGGTCCGGTACTTTGTCGAGCAACGAGGAGGTCGTGGCCACTTGGCGGCCACTTCCAGCATTGCTGGCTTTAGTCCAGTGCCATTTTCGGCCACCTATTGCGCCGCCAAGCATGCCCTCAACGCCTATCTCCTCTCCTTGAAAGTGGAGATGCGAAAACTGGACATTACCATCTTTGCTCCAGGCCCCGTTGCCACGGATTTCCTCCAGGAGGCCTTCACGGGCTCCCAGGGCACTAAAGTGGGTCAGAGCACGGCTAATCAAAAACGCTTGACGGCGGAGCGATGCGGGGAACTATTCGCTGTCGCCTTGGCCAATAAGATGGATCTCACCTGGTGTGGCCTCTTTCCTGTTAATGTCCTGGCCTATTGCGCCCGGAATCCTACGCTGACCAAGATCGTGGGTCTCTTTATGACCGAGAAGACGCTGAACAAGATCCGTGAGGGCAAACTCTGAGATTTCGTAACCTGTCGCCCCATTCCTGACCTCTCTCCTCCATAGGTTCTCAGTCAAGATTTTTATACAATTGTACAACGTTGAGCTATACAAATATATACTGTATACACAAATGATAATGAGCAGTATGCTATGCGTTAAAGGGGGTAAGCCACTTTTAAAACGGTTGAAAATATAAATTACTTAAACTCGAAGCTCGAACATAATACAAAAGATGAGATGATAGAGTTACTTGTGTAAATATTAGTATACTCTTTTGCGTTTTTAAATTCAAAAATATCAAGAGTTAGCTTTCGTTATCTTCTATTTATTTTCTACGATAAAAAGGCCTATCTAACCACTAATCTTTTGCCAGTTCTGCCTTGACATGGGCTGGTATCTTAACCCGTTTTCTTTTCGTTTTCGCCTTGACCAATGAGGTTTGTTCCACACCCTTGAGCTCGGGCTTTGTCTTCTCTTTTTTGCTCTTTTTGCAGGACAGAGGATTTGGATTCTTCGGACCTTTACGCTTTTTAGGATTCGGTGTCGTTTCAGTGGGTTTCAATCCCTGTTTCTCTTTCATGTAGTCTATTTTCTCGACCTGCTTGCCCAGCATTAGATTTTTGGCACGCCTCTGCACCCATTTCTTGGATGCCTTGGATGGGGCTTCCAGAACGGGAGTGGCTTTGTGCAGGTAAAGCAAACAACGTCCGGGAATCTTGCGAAGACTCTCTTGTAGGAGACGATCCTGAGAAGCCACTATATAGCGATTGTCTTTTGTCTGAAATGGAAGATTATTTAAAAAAGAGTTTTAGTGCGAATGGGGCCCTTTGTTTACCATAGACTTGATACATTCTGCGGCTGCTACAGGTTTCCCTTCATGCCCACATTTGTGGACATGGAACCGCTTAACAATCGATGTGGCTCCTGTCAAGGGAGCTCCTAGTGCCTCGGCCTCCAAAATAACACACTGAGTAGTCAACAATTTAGCAGGACACTGGAAATACTTTTTTATTTGCTCATCTATGCCGATTTTGTGCTGAAAGGTATTAAAAAAAACGGCTATCAACCAACTTGTTGATGTTTGAAATTAAAAAGCTTACCTGCAGGGCTGCCTGACAGAAAGTGGCATCTATTAACACTTGATAGGGTTCTCGGTAGTCAAAGTTAGTGGCAAAGTATACCAGGGTTTTGTGGGATTTCTTGAAACGAGATATTTTCATTTTTATTCCTCTAACTTAGAATGTTTCCATAAAATACAACGTGCACCGTCAGTGTTGGTAAACTTTTAAAAATGAAACAGCTGACTGTTTAACAGTTCAGGTGAGTTTAACATGTACTGTTATGAAAATTCAAATATTTTAACATTTGGCGCCATTGAGAAAATAATCAGAGAATGCATTTTCAACCCCCTTCAATGACTTTCACCCTCTATACCTCAGAGCCCCGGCTATTACGCGTTTTGTTTTCGTTTCTTTTTTTTATATAGTTGTTAGTTGTTTGTCCACTGCAGTTGCTGGCGCATCCAGTAGCGCTGCTGTGTAAATATTATAAACGCCTTACAAGTGCGAAATTAGAGTTACGTTCGATATAAAGAAAGCGCGTGTAAGTAAATACGAAAAGCGTAATAAATTATCGAGACTCTAGTGCAAAGATTAATCCCTAATAGTTATTACCAATAAATATATAGTATTGTGAGTGTATGTGTGTATTGCAACGAGGACTTTTGAACTAATGGCTGTATAAATGTACTATTCATGGGAAAATCAAAGGAATATATGGCGGCGTATATAATCGAATGGTTTTGTTTTAGTGTCGTGACCTTAGTCCATTATTTCGATTTGTTTTTTCCCTAGGAGCGCAATTACCGACCTTCCCTTTTATTAGCCTTCTTTAGCTATTTTTCTTTTATTTTTTTCTATCATATGGCTTTTATCTGCTCCATTGATAATCCATTGGATTAAAAAATATTTTCTGCTAATCATTCTTATGGTTGGTTTCACATTAACGTCACTTCCATTACAAAAGACACCAAGAAAAATGTTAAAAAAATAATGTTTTGGTTAATTATTGTGATTTTTTACAAAAGAAATCATTGGAAAAATGTTTTCCGTCTAACATTGAATGTTTACATGAAAAACAATGCCAGTCACATATTAGAATTGTTTTTCCGTGTACGATAAAAAATATATTGGTCAAGTTTGCCTATAATGCCATACCGATAAAGACCCACCAGTTGCAGTGGCAGCAGCTGTGGGATCCAGTATTTTTTTCCTTGCTTTTCCAGCCTTAATCTCTCAAGGTTGAGCCATTGACAGCTGTGAGCTATGGATGCCACATGGAGGTCAAGTCGTGGGTGCAATCACCTCTCTGACTCCCCAGATCCCGATCCTCATCTCGATCTACCCACTTTACAGTTTTATTCTTGCAGTTTATTCAACTCGGGAGGGGTTTAAAGAACACAATGAAATGACCAAAACCTTATTGATATTCATATGCAAATCGAAGCCTCGTACTCGTTATTCCTTTCAGAACACACCTTTCTGGCCATAGGAAAATTTGGCTTTATTATATATTATGGTCATGTCTCGCGTGTCTGGCATTTTGAATTTTATTCCATTCTTTCGCTGTTTCCGGTGCTTTTTTTGGGCCCCTTTTTAGTATATTAGCCGGGTTGGTCGGTTGGCATGAAGAAAGTGACGCATAAGTTCTATATGGAGATGGTATTCCCAAAGGGTATATGTAAAGGGTCGGAAAAAACCCAATATATTTATCAGTGCCTTTAAAGTACATTAGTTATAGTAATTATTTTAATTGAAAGTACTGAAAACAAATTGATAAGTCGTGATGAAGCTATTGGATTATTCTAATTAGGCAATTAAAAAATTATAGAAAATATGCCCTAAAGATTTTGCTGATTATTATGGGAAATTAAGAAAAAAATATTTGAATTATAGGTTAAGAAATTGTTCACATAAATGTATTAAACCCACCTCAACACCCACAGCTTATATAATTCAGTTAAAAGTCAGGCCTTGCATTTTGAATTTTAAAACCATTTCCAGACACGGTTCGTATAATTCTGGAATTAAAAGCTTATTTTTAGAGCACATCTCCAGATGGTGAACTATATACCAGAGCGTGGGTAATTCATTCAATTGTGTCTACGTTACCAGAGTCACGACCACAGGAGTCCGTCCGATTGGAGCGTATCTCCTCCGATTCCATGCGATTATCATGATCATCATGGCGATCAGGCGGAGAGCAGACCAAAATTCCAAGTAGCTCAGACACTACTTTGCCAATTCAACTTATTCATTCATGGATCCCCGTTCACATTTATGTATCTAACGTCACGCCAATCCCACAGTACCTCACCGCCGTGTACCTCGTAGCACCCTCTCCAAAGTTTGTTGCAGTGTATGCATGTCAATCAGACAAAGCCTACCACTCCTTAACCCTTCGTCCCCGTGCCAGTACACCTTGCCTTACCTTACCTTAATTAGTTGCCAAATGGTATGTGTCGTGCATTTGGTACGTAAGCCGATTTGGTTCTGGCTATATATCCACACAAATACCTATAGCGACTCGTCTGTTTGAGTTTATGCCTCTCATTAGCAAAACATTTTGCGTCCAAAGTGGACTTTTAATAATACGATTTTATTTTCTTGCCGGACATAAAGAAAGACTTCTCATGTTCATTTGCCATTTTTTGTTTGTTTAGCTTTTACAAATTTAATTAGATTTCAAATTTCGCACTACCCTTGAAATAGTTTTTTATTTGAGCTAAACAAAAAAATGTCGCCTGAAAGCATTTTCTATTCGATCTTGACCCTCAGATTGACCCTTTGTTTTGAAAGATTTTTGCACGTCGGGATTAGATTTTGTTTTTGGGGTTTTTAACCCAAAGCACATGTTTTGAAAACATGTCACCCGGGCGTACTATCAACGGATTAATAAATAAAATACAATATATTTTAATAGAGTCTATAGAGATTCTTAGTTTAATCATTTAACGATTAATGACTGGAATCAATAGATTCATCAAGATGATAATGATCAGCTCTGGTTTGCGTAGATTGATTACTTTTTTGTAGCTTTTTTTTAACTTTAACTTTTAACCGAATTATATAAAAAACTACATTTTAAAGATCCAAATTGTTCAGCCTAATAGCCCACACAAATCAGAAAAATAGAAAAATACAGTAAATTATTTTTAAGCCGTGACATTAATAATAGACAAGGGTTATTTACACGTTTTTTCATTCAGGTTTGAGTTAGAGAGTTAGATTGTAAAACTAAAATTTTAAAATTCTCAAAATGTGTAGGCGTTACCCGCCACAGAATTTCATTTTGCATAATGATATGGTTTGTAAACAACTTTTGACACTGTTCTGGTTTGGTTGGTTTCATGTTTTGTAAGCAAGAAAGAACGCTTTACACTTTGTATTCTATTTTACAGGTCAACTACATAAAAGATCTTTAAAAACTATTAATTTCAATTAATAATTTTAGTGTCAAATGCACTATCCTTATGTAAAAATGACAGATTAGACAGGTAACTATTAATGTGCTCGGTGATTCATTTGTAATCTCCAATAAACAAATGGAACTTATTGACCATCAATAGTAGTGCTTCATTCAAAACCCAGAGCACCAGGGAATAGGCCAGGTGACGTTGACTCGCGAGTCGCGAGCTGCAAATTATAAATTTAAATTTAAGAACATTGAGCTCGCCCATTCGTGTGCCAAGGAAATCCACAGTTGTTGAGATACATCATCAGAGCAATTGAATAATAGTTATTGAATAATAACCCCAAAGTCCGTGGGAAATGCAACGGGTGTTTGAATTTTTGGGTATATTTGGTAGCCTAATCCCTGAATGGCCGAAAGTAAAGGTCCATAAACGGTCCTATCATCGGACAAGATTGGTAACAAAAGTCCACATAATTGGTAGTTGATAAGATTGTCACATAGCTGCATTATCTGTTTTCCAATCGCTATCACTATATGGTCGGATTACGCCAACTGCGCCATTTATCCGGGTTATGAGCCAACAACAATTGCTGGCCGGGTTCACGACACTGCGCCCAGCCCAATGACCACAATTTAAGGCTATAAAAATCGATGGCTTAACCTAATGCCTGGTTTTAACTACTGACGATAATATTTTTTCCGGCTTGCAGATCACGTAACTACGGACATGTATTACAGAATTCTAAAAAGTGTTGGATAATTTTTTGTATCTAAGCGGTTTCGACATGCATCTTAAAAAAAAGGGATTTGATTAGAAATGCTCAAGGGATGTTAGGGTTGGGCAGATGAGTCTCCGAATGAATTCCACTGAATTTATTGACATTTTTTTACTTTAAAGGGATTTGTTATGCGTATGACTGATCAAAGTATTATAACTCTAAGAGGGAACTAATTCTAAGTAATTTGAATCATCTTCCAAGCTGATTAAAAAACACCTAACGTGTACATTACGCAAACAGAAAGTCTTTGCGAACATCAATAAATTGTTAATATCAGAAGTGTGACGATTCAAACGTCTAATAAAAATGGTTAAATATAGCCTTTGCTAAGAAGGTAATTAACTTAGTTCGTCTTAATAGAATGAGAGATTTCCAACTCGGCCGGTGAATCCCACTAATTATTTAAAAAAACACTGTATTTAGTTAGAATCCCAAATTTGAATTGATTAAACTAAGTCGATAAATGATTTATAGCCAGTGGATTGAAGTTTCCAACTTAACCGTTAGTATCGAATAAAATCAATATCAAAAATCTATGAAATGCCCCACACTGCAACCGCAAGCAATTTTCCATCAGGTTTATACTAAAGCCCACACAGTAATCTATTCGAACCACAAAGTGAGTCAGAGAGAAAGAAAATCGTATGCAGATCGTATGCACGTCACCAGGGAAACTCGATTTTGGTTTGGCAAACCACGCATCAGAGCCCCAGGTAATTGCTGGCTGAGAAAAAAAAAAACCAGAAATCCACTAGAAGTTTTATTCAAGACAACTGATCTCTCTCACCTGAACGTAACGCTTACGGCGATCTATTAGAACAAGTATGAGGTCAAGTCTAGACGGTTAGTGCACCCTGCATTTAATGTAGTTTTTTTTTATATTTAGAGGAATCATAGCAAAGAAATATAGAATAAAAGTTATAGGAAACATAAGAAATAAAATAAAAATCTTTCACATTTTAAAGGAAAGCTTTTCGCCAAGATTTCTGATGAGAAAGATATTAAATTTAAGAGATTGGAAGAATTTAAGATTTGCAACATACATATTTCAACTTGGTCTTCAAAAAATTTTAGAAAAATACCTTTATTAATTTAAGACATTCTTTAGTTTTGATTTTAAATCAACCATGCTTCAGTGGATCTATAAAAAAACTGTAGAGAGTTATTATTTAATAAATATTTTGTATACATTTTTAAAGTAAACTTAAACCTAAAATAAAAACTATTTGTTTTTTCTAAAAGATTATAATCTATAAGATTATAGATATTTTCTAAATTATTAAAATTTTTGATGTTAAAATCCTTCAATAACCCTATGTACCCTTGACCTCTGTCGTCCATCAACAGGTATTACATTTGCTGTAATTGCGGAACGTATTGTAAGCAATTGGCCAAGTAACGTAAGCCGGCATGAGAGAGATCCGTAAGCAACGTAATGGGGAAATTGAGAGAGTGTTGTGGGGCAAATGGTTGGGGTCTGTTTTGGGGTCTGTTTTGGGGTCTTATAAGAGCCGTGTGGAGAGCGCTGTCGCAGTCGAACGACGACTGACGATCGGAGCGCACGTGCAGATACAATATAAAGCGATATAGCGGGAGAATCGGGCAAGTCGAGAATCGAACGGAGTCGGGGACGGTACTGAAATCGAAGCACATTATGTACAGTGCATAGCGCACACAATTGAAATTAATTTACGCGTCGCTGCCCATCTGCATAAGTTCAATGGAAACAGAAGCTAAAACAACAGCCCAGCCACAGTCAGAGCCAGAGCCAGCCACTAGTAGCCGTAGAGTGGAAAATTGTGAAGAAAGTGCAACCGAATCGAATTAAAAATCGAATCAAGAAGAGACAGCCAAAGAGTGCAAGCTAAAAAACAAAACAAAAACAAAGAAACGCGTGTTCGTGTCCCATATGTTAAAGGTCAATAATTAAAAGGACCTTTTTTTAATGCAATAATTTATGTGACTGTTTGTTTTCATTCACGAATTGTCGAAAACTTTGTCTCAATTAATGTTTGTCTAAAGAAGAGCTGCAATTAAGTTTGGAAATAAAAAGAGATATAAAAGAAATTGTGCCGAAAACTTTCAAAGAACTAAAAAGGTTAAAAAAAGGTTCGTAAACTTCATAAACCAGAAATTAAACTTTTGACCCGTAGAACTAGTGAGTGTCTCTACAAGAAATAGAGTTAGAGGAAGAAAGCAAAGAAAGCTTTTGGAAGAGTGTGTGCAGAGCAGAAAATCATAGACAAAGAACAGAGAAGAATCAACTTTGACACTGCGATTTAACTAAAGACTTGAAGAAAATTGTTAGATTTGTTTTAATAATTCAGTTGTTTGAAAAAAGTTAGAAACGGATAATATAATTTTTAATAAAAATAAAAATAATAACTTCAATCCATTTACTTTAAAGTTCAAATCATATTTTTCTCAGTGTAGTAGTGTGCAATACCAGCTGCACATTTTTCGTATTAGAAAAGCTTTCACACTCTCCATTCCACTCACTCTAATCTGTCTGTCCTACTCTTTCGGGCACACTCCCCCTATCGCCGCAGACAGAACTTGAAACCGGAAAATGTAGGCCATCGGAATAGAATCAACTTCGATCGTTTCATGTTTTGTATATCGTGAGAGATCCCCCGCTTCCACTTCCATAATACCATAGCGTTCGGTTATATCACTGCAGTTGCGTCTAACTTATTCATGAATTTTTAACTCGAGGGATGTCTGTTATGCAAATTTATTCAGTTTTCTATCAAATGGGTAATGAGCTTGTAATTGGCCTCCAGCACACAGTTGAGGTAATTATTTTCAACCGGGATGCTACTCTTAGATAATTTGAATCTCGTGGCAATCACAGTTGAAAAGTTTATTACTAAAATGCACTTGCATTTTTATTTGTCAGCCCTCCCCCGCATTAGAAACTTACTCCCATTGAATAACATTAATTTTGAATACGTGAGTGGGATCACACTCAGAAATTGCAAATGAATATATTCTCAGACCAGTGTAAACAAACCGAATATAGCGGTCATTGGCTGAGTGACCGAAAGACCACTCGAACAAGATAAACAGAACTCTCGAAAAGGCGATGAGAAATAGTATATTCAAAATCCAAATCAAACAAACTGTTTATGCCGGCTCCCAAACAATTGCGACGTTCTAGCTTTTCTAGGGCCACGCCCCCAATCACTATATAGGGTTCTATGATAAACCCTGATCCGTTAACATTAGGCTGGGCCACGTTCCGGCCTTGACGATGTCACTTTTCTTTATCGCAAGGCAAAAGCGGTTCTAGGGGTCGTATACGTAATAAATGGCTTAGTTTTTCTTCATTTTTTCTCCGCACAACATTTTTTTTATTTTTATTGTTTTTTTTTCTTACGATCAATTGCCTCATAATATATAGTGTACTCTTATACTTTTATTTTTGCTGCCGCTGAAGTTGTTCATGTTTTCTCAGATTCGTGACTTTAATTGAAATGGCGAGTGTTTTTCGTGTTTTATTTTTTGTAATTTTTTTTAGCTGACTTTTGTGTTGAGACATGGCAAAGTAACAATTTGCATTGAGTTATGAATACACTCAGAAAGTCTAAAGGTCCCCACGACCTTTGGGTTGATGGTGTAGACAACATTTCCAAAAATAAATTTAGACCCGGATTCCCGTAGTTTCGCTTTGATGATTCTGATTCTGAACTAATTTCAAAATTGTACCCATTTAGTTGTCTGGCCTGTGATTCATTATCAGGCGAAAATTTGATTAAAGTTCAATCGTACTTAGTATTATTCGGTTTTTTTAATCATACCGAAATGGTAAATTTTCCAAGCCTTCGCATAAACTCTTATATATTTTAGTGAATTATGTCATCCATAAATAATTCAACCTTATGCTGAACTCAATTGTCTCCTCCATCGGCTCAATTCAATTAATAAAAATCTCAATAAAAATGCACTCGATTTGCACTTGGCTGAGAACCAGTTGAACTTTTATTTAGCATCAAGATCAAACTAATTCTTTGGCCAGACTTGATCGGCTTCGATCGGTTTATTTTTTGGCCAATTATAGTCTGCAAAAAAAAAAAATAGACGTTGTCATTCCCCATTCTTGTTGTAAAACTGGTTTGGCCGACACAATCTCTTTACATCAAAGTCAATATCAGTTAACTACTCGAGACTTGTTTGCCAAACATAAACAAAACGCTAAGTATGGACACCGTGCCATACAAAAAAGAGCCTAACGTTTTTATTGTAAATGGAAAAACTTTTGTGAAGTCGCCGAATTCAAGGCACCTTGTGTACGCAATTTGCATTTTGCACAGACTGCATTAAATGACATTCCAAGGTTCTTCGACGCAAAAATTAAAAATATATTCGATTTTGGTGTGGCGTGGAAAATTAGGACTCAACTAAGTTACATGATTTGAGTTACCAAAACTACACTGCATGACTATGTCTATTATTTTATTTGTTTACCTAGTCGTTTAGCTTCTAAGCTTAAATCGGCCATCTAGAAACTGACCTAAGCCAAGGGTATACGAAATTAGCAAACACCGACTAATTTTACCAGAACATTTCGAATAGAATTAGTTCCAATTTTCGAAAGGTGTTAATCTACATAAATATTTGGTTTTTGACGCAGTTCTAGGTGAACCAGTTTAGAAATGATGATTCCTTATTATCATTTTTGATATGGCTCTTTGGCCTTAGTCTTGTAATTTTAGCATAATGCAAAGTCATCGAAGTTTCCAAGAGAAACTTCTTCTAAGATGACTAGCAGAAAATATTTTTGGAGCCGTCTGATCTTCATCAGAAAAATCAAAGTTTAACGGCCTTTGGAAGAGATTCTTTTGCGAAAGTCCCTACATTAGACTGTCAAACTTCACTCACTGTAATGGAAAAATTCTTTATAAATGTGTTCATTATCCAGACAGTTTCGCATTACAATAACTTTCTTTGTTCCAGTCATACTTTTTAAACAAAAGCCAAGGCGGCAAAATGTAAAAAAATTATAAAAAAATTTTTAATGACGCATCTGTCGGGGTTTTGCGATTGGCATTGTGGACTATGATTCTATAAAGTGTCTAAAGCTAAATTGTGCAATAGCAACGAATCCGCCCCTAAATCTAATATTAATTTATAACTATTATTTTTTGATGGTTAACCATAAGGAATAAATGAAGTTAACGCCCCGTCGAGCAAACAGGTCGTTTAGTACTAGAACTATCATTAAAATTGTTACTATATGATTGAAAATGATTTTTTTCAGATGCTTGGGGTAATTAAAAATGTGAAATTTAAATAAACCGGTAAAGAGAAATCAATTTTCTATCATTAATTAATAGGGATATCTACAATTTTGTCGCTAAATTAATAGTTGTCACTCTCGTATATCATTTTATATAATCACACACGATTTATATTATTATAGATTGTTGACAAATAAATTCAGTGAATGCGTGTTTTTTTAAAAGCTAGACAGATTAATTGCAGATACACATTGTTTTTTTTCAGAAGTAGATCACTGTGCTCTCAAAAAAAAAAATGTTTGAACTGATAAGCCACATTTGGTGTGTTTTTTGAACTTGAAAATAGGGAATCTGTGCCATTTATTTTTGACTCATCTAATGAGCGTTTGTCGTGTTTTCTTTGCAGCTGTGTAACACCATTGTTGGAGTTTAATAATAGCCCACAAAATGACCCTCTTGCCAGATATTAAGGCTTCAGATGCCGCCTGCTGTGGCGGTGGGGCAAGCAGTGATGCCAGCAGCAGTTCCGGTAGCAGCCACAAAAACCACGATGGCCACGAAAGCGGTTGTCTGGGCATCAATTGCTGTGCCACCGCTGCCAGCTCGGAGATGTCCATCGACGATACCTCATCGACCTCCTCCCGGGGCTCAGCTGCACTGGCAACGAAAGTAACCAACAATCTGAATGGCTTCCAGGGGCCAAACTATCATCAGGCAGTGGCCCATGCCAATTTTGATCACTGCGAGCCGGTGGACATTGAGTTTTCCAATGTGCGCTATACTGTGAAAAAGTTTTCCTTCCCAGAAAGAAAATTCAGTAAGTTTTTGCTTAAAGAGAAACCAGTTTTCATCTTTGATTAATTGATTTTCCATTTTCATTGCAGTCAGCAAGGAAATCCTTCATGGCCTCAATGGTAGCTTCCGATCTGGCGAGCTGACAGCCATTATGGGTCCCTCGGGTGCAGGCAAGAGTACTCTTTTGAATGTCATGTCTGGGTTCTGGTGAGTATTTAAATATTAAACTTTAAATATTTATTTCTCCCAGTCAGCACTCATTACATTTATGTAAATTCCAAGTTAACTGCTGAGTCAGGCATTTTAGTTTGATTTAATTACATGTTGTTCATGCCATGCATGCCTAAAAAGTGCAGACGATGCAGTCTGTCAATCAGCACATTGTTCAAGTGTCAGTTGGGTTGAACAAATTGCTATTTTCACAATTGCACGATTTTGAATAAAGTTTGCAAATTGTAACGATACTTATAGGCCCTTTGCGAACTAAGATAAGGTCATTTTCACACTTCTAATATATATAGTATGAATCACAATCGCATGATTTTCATTTATACTTGGCCTCCCATCCCGGACATGATCGCATCCATTTCCTCTAGCTTTTGACAACAAAAAGTTCAAGATCTTTTGCCCACTGTCCATTGCATAAGTAGGACTTCAGACTGGGATCGGGATCGAGTTGGAATCGGAATCGGATGCAAAATTCTGTGAGTCACTCCCCACAAATTGAAGCATCTGGGGAGGGAAATCTGAGCTTAATCGCTTCGCTTTTTTTTGACGGCCAACTGACAGCTATTACAGCATATTTTTTGTAAATAAATATTAAATCATATACATATACAATGCACGTGCGGCAAAAAGGAAATCTTTTCGATCTCAATTTATAAAATATTAAAAAAAGTTTGCAAATTGCGGCGCTTGTGTTATTATCATAATTAAAAGTAATGGATGTTGGGGTAAAATGTGTGCCGGAGGCATTACACGATGTTTCATTGCTACACGTTATCGGTCAGTTAACTATGAACTTGAAAAACATATATGCCTCCAGTTCGGTTCACTACTCCGCTCCAGACATGTATGATATTTTTATGTCGTACATTGCTGAGCTTGTTTCCATTATAATAATTATTTTAATTGCTCGGTTTCGCAGATTTTTCTTTGCGATTTCTTTCACGTATTTTCACTTTATTTTATACCCCTATTTTATGTTGTTTATTCCGCAGTGCGACTGGAGTGTCTGGAGATATAAAGGTTAATGGCAAGGAGATGTCTCCCAGTTCAGAGAGATTCCGTCAGCTCCTTTGCTACATCCACCAGGATGACTTGCTGCGACCTCAGTTAATGGTGGGCGAAATAATGTTGATGGCCGCTCATCTGAAGTTGGGTTTCAAGGTGACCAAGGCGTACAAAATTGATCTGGTAAGTACATCAGAAAGCTATATGTACATTGCTTTTAAATAATAATGTATATTTTCTTTATTAATTTAAGATCAAACACATATTATCGCTGTTGGGTCTGGATCATCGCTATAATGTCTACACAGCCAAGCTATCCGGTGGTCAGAAGAAGCGTCTGGCGATTGCCCTGGAGCTGATAAGTAATCCTCCTGTACTATATCTGGACGAGCCGACAACGTGAGTGATAGTACATAAGTACACTGGCTGATGTAATTAGAGCCATTATAGCCCTGATAATGATCGTCATCTGATCGGAGATTGGGTCTGCGATGAATAAACTTTGACTAGAGGAAGTGCAGTAAAAAGTTTCTAGCAAAAGCCATGCGTGACCCACAAGTCAAGTTTGAACCCGTCTATATGGCTTTTGGCTTATCAATAGTCTATATGTAGGGTATAGACTAGGTTCTGGTTCGATTCATTAAGTAGGAAGCAGTGCCTCATTTACCATTTTTATACTGATTCAATCATTTAGTTGATCCATCTATTAATTGTGGGATTATAAAGAGATTATCTCGCCAGTAATTGTTTGTTTGTCAGATTAACAATCGATTGAGTTATTCAGTTGGGAATAGCTTTAATAGGTATTGAATGGTATATAATGGATTAATCTTAATAGTTCTACGATATGAATTCATTACTGTAGAATATTTATATTTAATTGTTTAGTAATTTTTGTTGAAACGTAGTATTCCGAATTATCTTAACCAGGCCAAATCGAAACAAGTGAACTGGCCTGTTGATCTGGTTCAATAAATTGCACTTTTCACGACGTTTTTTGCATCAAGTGTCAATCAAACAGGTGGCTTTCGTTGTCTAATGGACTTTTATTCAAAATAAACTGGTTTTTGTACTTTCGTTTAATTGCATTTCAAGTTCAAGGCCCAAAACATCCACCTAGCATTAAAGTTCTTAATGTTCTTTGTTGTCTTTTACTTCGAAGTCTTTTAATGGCGAGTTTTATTTGAATGACTTTTCTAAAAATTGGCAATTAAACAGAGTTTAATCATATATGAGAGTTAATTAACTTTGGATACTTTTTGTGTTCTTTTCTCAGGGGTCTGGATAGCTCTTCGTGCAGTTCCTGTGTGGCTCTGTTGAAAAAACTGGCCTCCCAGGGTCACACCATTGTCTGTACAATCCATCAGCCCAGTGCCCTGATTTTTGAGATGTTCGATAAGCTATATACCGTGGTGGACGGCTACTGCATGTACCAGGGTCCTGTGCGGGAATTGGTACCATTTTTGGCCGATCAGCAACTGGTTTGCCCCAGCTATCACAATCCAGCCGATTATCGTAAGTGTTCGAGAACTACTTACCATTGAAACATCAATCTTAAGTGCATTTTTTTATATATATATTTCCCACATCTATTTGCATACTCCATAGTCTTGGAAGTGGCCGTGGGGGAGCATCAACGTGATCTGAATGAACTGATCAGTGCGGCGAATAAAAAGTATTACGAGGATGTCGATAGGTATCGCTACATGAGCAGTGCGGATATGTCACGCCTCGTGGCAACAATTAAAGGTAAGTTTTATTCTGTTGCTATGCTTTCGGGCATTAAAATTAAAAAAAAAAACAAACTGGTTTTCATTAAAAAAAAACTAAAGATTGAATGAAACTTTATGTTTCTGATAAAATCTTTATGATCATATTTTTGTGATTAAATTGATAAAATCTTTGTGCTCAATTTTTTTTTGAGGATTATGCATATGGTTTCTGACACGTGTTTGACATAAAAATAATTACCAAAGTTTTTTCACCTCCCAACTACTAGCTACTAGCTTGCATTATTTAATCATATTTTTTTCGTTGCTTCCTGCCATTATAGACAATATTGCCGGCAAAACACTTAGCAAATCGGATCAAGATCTACCAACAGTTGCGCTGGCGCAATTTTCCAGCTTCGATTATGTGAAACCGGCGGCCCAGGAACTGGCGCTGGAGGAGATCAAGGCGCTCAGTGGCACCACAGACATCTCTGGTCAAGATCGCTTCCAAGACAAGAAACATCAACAGCCACTTGCCAATGTCAATGAGCTTGCCAGGCAGCCAAATGCAATTCAATCAGCCTCGTTCATCATGCAATATTTGCTCTTGATGAAGCGAATTTTGGTCTGCGCCAAACGCAACTATGTGAGTAGAAACTTTAACTTTTTTATATATAGTATGGATAGTAAAACTTCATAGTAATAACTTAAGTAGGTAACAATTACTTTTAAAAGCCGGTTTAGGGCTGTGTCGCTTCCACTTGATGGCTTGTCAAGTTGATTTGGTAATTTGCTCAACGTCCTCGACAAAAAGTGAATCCAGTTACTACTGATCTCGTTTTCTGCGTAATTCTTAATGGCTAATCTCTTTAATGGCTGGTTTTTATATAATTTGTATTTTTTCCCCTACCTGGGGTTAATTATGTTTTTTTTTTTCATTATCTTCACATTATTATTTTGTTGGGTAAGTGTACATACATTTATTATTTTAATTTCTGCTTTTGTGAGAAGGCCATGCGGTTATGCTTTCTGATTTAATTTCGAAGTTTTATACAAAAAAATGGGTCTTATGAATTCTTTTAATGTGTGCCGTTCCAAGCTGTATAATGGCATGCATGTTGCATATTATTTCCAAAATGGTAATTGCTGAGGGTTTTCATGGTAAAATAATTAAACAAAAAAATACGTCTGAGTGCAGGTTTAATATCTTAACCCCAATGAACTAAGTTGTTTTTAATGGTCTTTCTGATGAAATGAAATCATTTCATTTGCTCAAAAGTTTAACAATATTTGCTTGAGTATTTTTAATACCTAGTTTTCACTTGAAATGACTTGGAAATCTCACGTTAAGTCAATATTTGATTAGGTGATTTATTTGCTTTAAATCACGTTTCAAATATACATTTGTCTCAGAGGGCAGAAGAGTTAAATGTTTACCATTTGAAATAAAAAACTGGAGAACTGTAGAACTGTAGGAGGTTAGCAAGATTAATTGGATGTTATTTATCATTTGAATGTGCACAATTAGCACTTAACATATATGTTTAAAATGTGAAATTGAACAAAGTGTTTGATGTCCAATTAGCAGGTAAACCCGCCTTCAGTGACTGCACACGATTAATATGGATCTGCATATTCTGTGTTCTGTGTGCGCAGTGCATCCGAGGTTCGAGTGAATCTTTTAGCACCTCCAAGGCTGATATTGACTTGTCAGTGTCGCAGCAACCGGACAACCGCCGATCAATAATCTCAAAGCACTCAACCGTCTCGTAACTCAAAAAGTAATGCCCCAACCGCCACAATGGCAACGACAACCTTCACATAGATTTTGGTTTTTAGAGTGTTCTAATGACCAACATGCACAACTGCACGAGCGCTTGTTTGCTTGTTTATTTGCCTGCTGCCCCCACTCGAGTGCTTAGCTCAGCTGCTGACTACCCCAATACCCCAAGATATTGTAAAAAAAACAAATACTATATTCTAGCTGCTTTTTATACACTGCTAATTTTGTTTGCAGAAGATGGAAAACAAGTAATACGTGTACATATACGCAGTACACAACAAGTCACGGCCAAGATAGGAAGAATTTATTATGAAAACATAAAGAAATACGTAAAGATTTTATTAAGATTCTTAGAAAATCCATAATTTTAATAATTAAAGGCTTATTGGTTGGGTATTGTATTATTGTATTGTATTATGGATATTATTATATTTAATCCTTCTTCGTGGTCACATTTTAACTCATCATTCTTTCTGCTGTTTTTTTTTAAGGGGGTTTACCAGAAAATTTAATTAAACATTTAAAACACATTTTGCTTAAAGATTTTAATGCAGATTTATGGGAAATTAGTCCACAAACAATTTCAGGAACCCTGTTTATAAATCGGACGGTTATTGGCCAAGTTGTAGCCTTCTTAAAAGCTACCTTTTAGCTTTTTTAAAAAAGACCCAGACCCAGAAATTTTGATAAAAGTATGAAAAGTATTGAATTTCTACATTTTAATTTAGATTTATTGGAAATCGAGCAACGATTAATTTATTTGGGGTATTTCGCTTCAGAATCAAATGGATATTGGACAAGAAAAAGCTCCTACAGAGGTCAAAATTACACTGTACTTGCATTTATATTTTTTTTTAAAAGCCAGAAAATTGGAAAAAAAAAATTTTTTTAAATGTAGATTTTGATGCACATTTATGAAGAACTGATTTATAATTACTTTGAGCCTTAAAATCGCTTAAGAATCGGATGTATGTATATTGGCAAACTTATGGTCTCCACAGGGGTCACAATTTCCGCTTATGAATCGAATAGGTATTGGTCAAGTTATAACCTTAGCAGAGGATTCATTGCACTTTTCTGGTTAACAATAGAAAATTTTATTAAAAAATTTAAAAATATTTTATTTATAACTCATATTGATGCAGAGTGATCACGAATTTATATACAAAGCGTTTAAGGTATTTATCTTTAGAATTGGGTGTGTTCTGACCAAGATATAGGCTTTGCAGGGGACCTAGTTTAATACCGGTAGCTTGAACTTAACATTTAGCAAACTAGTTTAATTTATACCGCAAATTACCTATAAATGCCTATAAACTCATTTAAATTCATAAAATGTACCTAGAGTCTCAAGAAGGACGCCTAAAAAACCAAACCCGTTTGATTTATATCTACTACTGTAAAAGCTAACAAAAAATTGATTGTTCATGTGCAATTTTATTGAACTTTCCGCACCTGTATCTCATGAATCTTAATGGCTTTATTTTTTTTTCAGTTTCTACTGTTGGCCCGCATCGTTTCGCACATTTTCATCGGCGTCATCTTCGGCTACCTGTACATGAACGTGGGCAATAGTGCCACCAGTGTACTGGGCAATTACGTCTATTTGTACGGATCCACTCTGCTCTTGGTCTACACCGGAAAAATGGCTGTGGTCATGACATGTAAGTGCTTACTGGGTATCCACGAGATACTCGTACTTAAAGCCTCGAGTGCTAGTTGTTCTCGAGTGTTTTTAAGTGGTTTCTCGCCCAGACATTGCCTATCCCATTTCCCATTTAATGGATCTGCGGCCAACACAAATATGCAAAAGTTGTCGCCAATTTTGGGGCCAAGACTGCAGCTGGCATTCGTGATCTCTGGGCAAGTCTTGTGCAATTACTATTTATTTTGGCAACTTGGTGCTTTGTCTCTGCATTGGCGAATTCTAAAAATTTCGACAGTTTTTTCTGTATGTCTGTTTGAACTCCGGATTAGCCAATAAATTTTTTTTTTGGCATTTTTGCGAATTTAAATTGGCAAATAGAAAACGAGATTATGAGCTTAGATTGTGGATCATTAGCTAGTCAGAGTCTATTTAAAGTTAACTAAAATATTCATAGGAAGATTATGATAAAAGCAATAAATTTTAATCAAAATTAAAGCCAGTTAATGACTGTATCGATTGTGATGATTTATAAATAATGGTCCTGTTGCTTTTTAAAGGAAGATAATGTCAAGTTTTTGTTTCTCTCGATATCATATTCCGCGCATTAACCTTCTTAGCAAGGCCTGTTTATTCGAGTCACTTTGTCATTTATAATTTCCATGTAAAGTGCCCCAAAAAAAATTAATTTTCTCACTTAAAAAATAAACAACGTTCCTGGTTGGTGCCCACTGAGTAAATAATTATAAAATACAAGAAATACGGACAAGCGACACAAGCTTGAGATTATTGTATAATAAAACCGGTTCGCCAGCGATTCTCAAAGTATTTTACAATAAATTACTCCAGTCAGGAGAATCTGGGGGAATGGGGTTGCACATGGAGATGGAAATTGGGGTTTGGGGTGTGGGGTCTGAAGGGAGTATAAGCTACCGATTGTTACCGGTTTCGGTTTACTGACCTGACCTACATATGTATGCCTTCACCTTCGTGCGCTTTCGCATCGAATTTAAATGACATTTCTCAATTGAATTTTTTATTTACAGTTCCGCTGGAAATCGACATGCTAACCCGGGAGCACTTTAATCGCTGGTACAAGCTGGGTCCCTACTTCCTCTCATTGATCTCCTTCGAGATTCCATTCCAGGTTAGTTGTCATAATATGTGAATAATATGTACATATCTAATATTAGCATCCGATATGCCGGTGATCATTAATAATCATTTGATGGCGAGCCATCATAGGTAGCTGTTGTTGTTCAGTGATTTGCCAATCGGGTCATTAAGTCAAATTAACGATGTCCGAGATTTATTCGCGTGACAGCGTCAGATTATTTGCAATTTGTAGTAATTCTTTCCCATATTCTGCCGCATTATTCGGAGCGAAATTGCTTATATCTTCCACTAAAATAATTTTTTTTTTCTTTGTGATTCACAAACTTGTCCGAAATGTTGGTGAAAAAATTCTTTGTTATGTTGATGAAAGCTTGAAGCGTTGTTTAGAGTTTGATTAATTATCTTTTTGACAGCAAAAAAATTACAACTATATTTTAGGGAATTCTTGGAAAAAATGGGTTTGAAAGATTGAGGCAGAAATAGTTGAGGAATGCGAACATTTCATATAAAATACTTACAACACAAAGTGTGGGGCCTTTAAACAACATGTTACCCAAGCGAATTGAATTTTAATAAATTTTTTATATAAAACTATGGCTACTTTTAGTAATAAATCAGTCAACCGTTTGATCGAAGTTCAGCCAATAACGAATACATTTTTTAAATCTATAAATTTGAAATTTTTATTGTAGAGCTTCTGCACTGCCCTGTACATTGTGATCAGTGTACATCTTACGGGCAACGATCATGTGGACTCGTTCCGGATCTACTACTTCATGTTGTTGGGAATACTGGCCTCGCTGAGTGCCCAGGCCTGGGGCTTTTTCGTGGGAGCCACGCTGCCAACAAAGGTAGGTTCTTTGCTATTTTTTGTTGCTTCTTAGAAATGGAAATTAATATTATTTGAAAAAAATCCACACAGCTTGCCGTCTTTCTGGGACCCATTCTGGCGGTGATGTTCTCTGTTTTCGGATTCTGCACACGCTACATCGACATAACCCCCATTTTCCGTTGGATGTGGCACTTGAGCTACTTCCGGGCCGGATTCCATGGAGCTCTAAATGCAATCTACGGCATGGATCGACCCCTGCTGGAGTGTCCGGACACTGTAATGTATTGCCACTTCCGTAGCCCGAAGGTCTTCCTCAAGTACATGATGATCTCGGACGTGCACATGTCCGACTGCCTGCTCCTCATGGGCATCGTGATCGGTGTGATGCATGTGCTCACCGTGTTTACCCTTTGGCGGAAGTTGAACAAACGATAGAGTGTTGGTCACTATATATAGCCCTATTTATAGCCCAGTTTTTACTCCTATTGTACATAGTCTTGGGTGTCTTTAAGTTACAAATTGAATTTATATATTTAATTTTTGCGTTTTACAATTGATCAACAATCCATTCCACATGATTACGATGATGAACGAAAAATACCTAGCTTAATTATTTATTAAAATATTCAAAGAACTATTGTATGCAAGAAGGCTTTAGGGTAGCTTACTCCAGTTTAAGTGCTGATATACCAAAAAACAACAAAAAAATCTTTGGAAAAAATTATAATTTCAGACCCCATCACCCCCATAGTATCCATCTTGCCTAAAATTGTCATGCCCTGAGTTTGGTTTCCTCGAGAAATCCAAGCTATGCCAAATCTTGAATATCAATCTTTGTCTTCAGAGTACCCCATCAGAGCAAAGATACATTTGTGATCCATATTTTGTTTTCTATTTAGTGTCTAGGCTTAGTTCTATGATTAAGTTTGATTTATGTGTAAACGGAAGATGATAATGTATGTATAACTTGTATAGTGAACGCTTTAGATGTTTTTAACCTTTTTGATTTTGTAATAAAATTTTGGTAAATTTGAGTTTTTTTATTTTTTAAAAAAATACTTTTAATACACTTTATTAGTTGCAAAATGCAGATGCCAAACACAATAAGTTAAATACATTGATGGGGGTGACAAAGGTAATAAGCCTTATATCATGCTTACAGGCTAAGGACAATAATGTATAAAAATATATATCCCTTTATGGATACTCGATGAGGAATTGCACATAGAAGTAGCACACTACATGGTGGACATGCGTGCATATCGAATGATCTGATCGTGGTTAAGAGGAGCGTCTGTGGATAACTGAACCCTTTGCCACTGACGCGATTCGTTGGACTTCCTGATGGCCTCTACCACTGCCTGGACATAGAGACCATCCTCGAAGGTGGCTGCTGTGGAAACTGGTGCCTTAACCCATGACGATTCCTTGCTACCAAAGGCTTCCTTCAGGGCGCCCACCATCTTGCAGAGGCCTTTGATATAGGGACGAGGAAGCAAAGAATTGTTGGTGGAAAAGTGAAGATCCTGCACGTCCACATAGACAGCTTCCTCCTTGGGTTGTCCCTCTTTCAGTACAAACAAGTCCCCGCCCCGAACAACCAAGTGGCCTTTGCTGCCGTAGATGAGGACCTCCTGAGAGAAGGCTTTCGCCGGCACTGTATGACTGTGGAGAGCCACTGTCACCAAAGTACCGGTGTTGAGTTCCATTTGGAAGTTGCAGAAATCCGGTGCCGTGATCTGCCTTATTCCGTTTATTGCCGGTGTGGTTTTGGTGTATGAACGCAAGACTCCATGCACGCGGATGGCTTGTTGCTGGAGCAGGAAGGTCACCAGGTCCACCACAGATCCCACATGGTTAAGCGCCCCTCCACCCATCTGGGCATCGCACATCCAGTTGTACTTCTCCGGGAAGAGAGTGCCCATTTGGACGCGCACATCCATGAGCACTATTTCGCCCAAAGATCCGATTAGTTCCTCCTGCAAGCAGCGTCGCATGTGCGTAAAAGCGGGCAGGAATCTCAGCGGATGATTAACCAGGGAAATCAGAGTGGGATAATACTGCGATGCCCGAACCATCTTGAGGGCATCCTGTTGATGCAGACCCGCAGGTTTGTCGCAAACAACATGCTTCCCAATGCCCAACGCCTTCACCGAGATCTCTGCATGCAGGAAGGGTTGACAGACAATGAAGACCAAGTCCACATCTTTCCGCAGCAAGACATCATCGATGACGTTCGTGTGGAACTGAACATTCTGCGTGGTGGCAGTTTCTTTGGCCTCCTTCAGCGTCCGCCCCCAGATGGCCCGCACCTCGAATCCCTTCTCGCGAAGCAGTGGCACCAGCACATTGGCTATCTCGCCAGTTCCAAACACACCTACGCCCGGTAGCATTATTGGAAAATGTAAGAATGTGCCTAAAAGTATTTAATTTTAGTTATAAGTTTCACCTTGTTTTTAACGCTACTTGCCTTTTGCTCTCTATGGTTTGATCCCATTTACAAGTTCTATACGACTACAGAGCTTCAAGATCTTAATCTTATGGTTCGAGTTGCTTATTTTAGGTAAATTTGGGACTTGGTTTAAAAAATTGTTAAAAATATTTGTGGTCAAAGATGGGTGTTATTTGTTATTTATGGTTTGGTTATCGATAAACAGCTGGTAATGTTAAGATAACAGTGCAGTTAACAGTTTCTGTTAGTGTTAGTTTTATAGCGTTTAGCTTCTGTTAGTCAGGGTTTATGTCTTGGATGGTTCAACAAAAATTGTTCATACGACACGTTGGTTTTATTTAACATTTTATTAAAAAGTATATACAGTTTAGTTTTTATATAGCTATAAATTATTAATTATTAAATAATTAAACACATAAAAAATAACATTGGATCAAATCATTTAAAAAAGTAGGCTCATAGAACACGCTCATTTAATTTTTGGTTCGAAATCTCAAAATCTTAAAAGAATTTATTCTTTCAACACACACTGACACACAAAAACGGTAATGATTGCGATTGCTCAGTGGGTGGCATCCTTATCGGCCGGCATCCTGATCTCCACCCAAACGATGCGCTTCCTGAAAACAGTGAATGAACAGGAGTCGTCTGACAAGATAGCTGGGCAGCTGCACACAGCAGCCATTGATTCACAGGATTCAGAAGGAGCTCAGGTCCTGGGCTCTGAAAATCTGAGTTCAGCCTTGCAGCACATCATGAGTAGCGAAAACAACTCTTCTCACGTCTATATCGATGCTATGCACAACCCCAGTACTAAAGGAAAGCAGGATTATGCTTTGGGATCAGAGTCCTTGAATCGTATGTTGGAGGACATCATGGCGCCGGCTGGTTAGTTTTTTCTCGCCTATTCGAAATAGATGGTTTTTTTTATTTAATTTTCCTTTTCTTAGCCAACGAAAACAGACGGTCATTGATTTTCGATCCGGCCGTTCAAGCTTGAGTTCTTGTTTTGATTAAATTTAAGTTTTAACGCTTTTAAAAGCAAGTTAAGTTTTTTTTTTGGTTGGGAGATAAATTAATACGCAATGGTGAAATTTTTACCAAAATAAGTGACTATTTACCTTGATTGTTTTTACATTAGATCTTTACAAGCAACCATTTTGGACGAATAGGAGGATAACAAGACATTACATAGTCTGACACTGGTCAATACCACTTCAGGGCTCATAATCACAGCTTAAATAGCAACCGACCCGTCTTGAAATGTCCTGTTTAGTCCCACACAGTTACCAGATCTCTATACCTGTGATGGTTCCATATCGAATGCGGTCTAACTAGTTGGCTGGCCAACCATCCCAGCCCTTCATTAACCACCATTCCGTTTCGTTTCGCACCCTTCCACCCCATGGACCATGTGTGTTATTGCAGCTGTCAAAGCACCCGGCATGCGGAAAATGATTCTGCAGCTTATTACAAGCCGGCAAATGTGAACTTACTGACGATGGGCTTATGGCACGCTTCAGCGGCCATTTGCAAGTCGCAGGGAGTGTTTGGCTTAGAGATGCTACAAGGTTTATACAAGCTCTATATATAAATATCATAGATCATATAGAAAATTACAGATTTTAAGAAAATATTATAGGTTTAAAGTGCTCATAAAGGTTTGTCTTAAAAGTAATATTTTCTTGAAAGTAAGGGTCTAATTGGTATGAAAATAGTACTTTAAATCCCTAGACTTTTATTAGAATATCAAAAAAAACTATCATTAAGTTTTTTGTATTTACATCTTCCCTATATAGTTGTTTACATCGCAGAATGTTTGTGTACTATGAGTGGTTTCGCCGTGTGATGTGGAGGATGTGGGCGGACATAATGCAAGCATTGGCAAGCCAGGGCAAACAAATGTCACAGTCGACGCATTGCCTGTCATATGGTAACCCAATTAGTGTAATTTGGTTTAAGGCAGCTGCCGCCTGTCTGCCATCTCTCTCACGCTGTATATGGCCCCTTCGTTTGCTGCTTGTGGAGCTTTAATTAAACCGCACAAACTGCACAGGATCCAGTCAGTCAGCCAGCTGGCAAACAATCAACTTTAAAGCAAAACCAAAGCTAGGGGCTTGGGCAAACAGCTAATGAATGTTGCTCTCACTCTCTGGGCCCACAGGGCATAAGTTATTGCCACGGACTTGGTTTCGTCGTCAAAGGTGCAGCCGAAAGGCTTGCCCCGCCTAAGGGTAAAATGTGTGGACACTGCGGTGGGCTGACTGGGCACTTACCTCGTCTTATTGGATATTAAGACATTTAATCGAATAGATTACATACAGACTGTGTTCGAAAGGATTTATTTAATTGTTGCCTTAAGTTGGATAGAAAACTAAATAAAGTTTCCATTTAAATTTATTCCAGACATCCCTTATAGCCTAGACACCACAGAATTGTGGTTAATTGAAAACGTAGCGCTAATGAGAATATTGATTACACTGGCTGATCCCGGCTTAGTTTAGCTGAGACTCTGTCTGACCGCAGGATTCCTGAGGGCAAGAGAAACAGAAACTGAAACCTAAACCTTTCTGAGACCAAACATTAATCATATTTAAGCCAGATTAATACTAAATGTATGGCCCGAAAACAGAACGAAAACTGGAGGGTAGACAACTAAACATTTAATAAGCCAAACAAGCGAACGTCGACGCAATTGTACGTGACCTCATCTCGAGGTCTGAAACTCCTAGTCCAATTCCGCGTCTGGGCTTCAGACCGAGTCTGAGTCTGAGACTGGGACTGGGACTTGAATGAATCAGACCGCACATAGATCTCTGTCAGAGGCATTAGCATTAGTAGCGAAACAGGGGCGACCAGGCAAAGATAGTTCATCAAAACTGACAAGCCCATTTCGCTGTTGGGAGTCTCGGCTTGCTTTCTCTTCCTATCTAGTGACATAAACTGCAAGAAATAGAAATAATGGAATATGCTCCAAAATGTATGCTACAGTTTTTGATAAACTAAATAAGGTGGTGGCCTAGGCCAAAATGATTCATGTTGAAGTTTTTATGCTTTAAGAAAGGTTTTCTAAAGGAGTATGTATGTAAATGCAGTATTTATAGTAAATATTTCTAATAAAGTTTATTTTATTTAAGTGTAGCCATGTTGGAAGCCATCTCTGAATATCCACGACATATAACAAAACTGCTGGGAAACCCGCGCCACTCGCCATCGTCATCGCCATCGCCTTCCTCCACTCCACCCAAGCCTCTTCAGCTGGAGAACCACAGACAACAGATGAGAAATATTCATCAGCATTTACGTCACGCAGCGTGCAAAAGTCGCTAGGGAAAGAGTGAGATAGATGGAGAGAGACGGAGTATAGCGGGGAAAAGAGCATTGGGTACGGGAGGAGAGAGTACCCGACACTGGCTGTCAGTAGATTTATGTTGACATTTCAATGACAGTTGTGAAAATGCTTCCATTTTGCCCGAGTATGTTGGTTGTGACGGTGGCCGGGCGACTCGCCTGTCTTCTCTTTCATCTTAAATTTGCGCAAATTGGTTTATCACCGAAAGCTTAAATTATTTCCAATCACGTATCAGTCACGAATTGTGGGAAAGGATGTGTCGCGCCGGTCACGCGGATGTCACGATCCTGCCAGTTCAATAATCATGCCACACGCACTTTTCCTCAATTGCAAAGCCTTGTAAGTTCAGGAAAAAATGTCCTTTAATGAAAGAAATAAATAAACTGAAACTCTTAAATCATTAATCATTCCAATATTTTTGGGAAGAATGGGTATCTGTATAATTATGAAATCTTTAAATTGACATCAAATTGAAATAATCAAAACTTACTATCCTTAAGGATCTTATGAATTTACCGCCCAACCTTCTGAGAGTCAAAAAACAAATTACTTTCGTGTCAGCCATCAATTTTTATTAACTTGATTAAGTGCTTTATGGCAGGCCTTGGGGAATTCTGGTTAAGCAACAAGTTATTAGCAACGGAACGGAAATTCCAAGTGGGTGGAGGCGGTTGCCGAAAGACCAGAGGCAAAGCCCGCCCAAACACCCCTCGCCCATGGGATCCTGTGACAGCAGCTGGCAGAGTCGCCTCTTATACAGCTGGTGTCAAGGAATAATATTTGCATTGTTGTAGCTGAAAGGGGGACGACTTAAGTGGGGCTTTCGAGGGCTGAAGGCAGCATGAGGTGGTTGCTGGTGGGCCCAACGTTTCAGCATTTCAATAAGCTAAAGCTCAGCCTTGGATAAGGATATCGTGGATTTGGGGAAAAGGACGGGTGCAGTGCAGACTGTGTGCTGCCGACGGTAGAATTTCATTAAGAAAATAACATGAAGTTATGAAACAGTTACCTTCATAGTTAACTGCATGGGGAATTCCTAGAGTTTCATGAATGTAACTTCCTTTTTCCTCAAAAAATTTGTCGGAAAATTGCAAATTTATGACGGTCTCATATTTTCAACAAGTTTTAAATTCCATTTCAGAAAAGAATCTACAAAATGTGTAATAAAAAATTAAAGTAAATCGTTTACACATCGATTAAACAACTAGATAACTTAATTAAGTTTTGAGAAAACAATTTACTTGGAAAAGGTTGTATTAAATAACTCAGAACCAGATCCAGGGGGATAATGTGGATGAACCAATATTTGTTCCAAGCTTTTCAGGAAACTGGAAAATTTCATTTACTTTCCCTCAAACACAGACAGACAAACGTATCCAAAGTAGAAATTTTACATTTGAATGCATTCTGGATTGTCTGGGTGAATTCCATTAGCAGAGATAACGCCCTGCATATGAAGTTATCCTGAACAAACGAACCCATGGCTATACATACAATACATTTATACAAATAAAGCCTGAATAAAGCTGGGAATAAAGCTGGTCACTTGCCTTAATTAAGCTTGAAGGTGGGAGCTCCCTTTGTGCATGCCGTATCAAGAGTGTGGATGCCATGCACTAATTGAAGCATACAAATGCATATGAAAGGATGTGCAAGAACAGCAGAGGATACATTATTACACTTTCGGACAAGATTTTCTTAAAATAAATTATAAAAGAGTTACCTTATTATTCCTATATGTTTGAAAAATATAGAATTTTCTTATTGAGTTAAAATATAGCTATTATTATGGCCATATATGTTTTGTGTCGGCTTGGATGTTTCAACAACAGCTTGACCGAATGTCCGACAACCATATAAAATGTAATTCACAAATGAAGATTCATGTTTTGGCTCTGTCCAGCTCCTCCCTCTTTCTGACTTCTGCTGGACATAAATCAATGCATCCTGACTCGGCTCAGCATCCTGGCATGCATGTAGCGTCCATATGTCCAGGGTTATGTGGAGGTTTTCTCCCAATTCCATTTGGTTATTTGCCAAGCTCGTTAAATGTTTTCCATAGGCTCGAAATGCAAGTGAGTTTTGCATTTAAAGTGCCTCATTGCGTGCACAACCATATTGTGTATGACAAAGCCAAAATTTGTGTCGAATACAATTAATTAACTTGTCAAGCTTTAATTATGATTACTATCTCATGATGGTTTTTTTTTAATAAAAAACTATCAGAACTATTTTCCCGGCACCAACTGAACTCGGATCTAGCTTTTGTTAACAAGGATATCAATATTTATGTTTATTAAGATCAAGATTTACAAATCATAATTTATAAATATGTATTTGTAATATACATTTGGTAAAATAAAGAAATTTTGATATATTCACCTAGGTTTGTATGTGATAGGTGATCTAATAGTTTAAGCGATTGGTAAAAGTCGTAATCAAATAATTACGATGCCTTGTCATCACTAAAAAGCTTGTTTAATGCAGATTTCCTGTGTTTTATTCAGTTTTTGAAGAAATATTGAAGAACGGGAGACATTATCCGAGTAGATGTATTTAAAGTTTGTCTATGGTTACCAATGTAATATAAGAAGAAATTTCCTGCATTCGTCGTATCTGCAGGAAAAATGGATTATTTAGAATCCTAGTTATGTTTATGATGATTTTTGACTTACATTTCTGTAACTGGTTCTATTTTTTTGGTGGATTCTTACGTGATTCCTTGCGCCAGACATCCATAAGGTTCTTTTGATGAATTTTCTGCCAGACGACAATTTTTTTTCGGTTTTCCAACGAAATGCGATTTTGCTCGTGTGTGGAAGCGACTGGCAACGGGCGTCCAAAGTCGGGAAAATCATAATATTCAATACCCATGTTGACTGATATTTCAACATCAGTAGTTAAGGGGTCTTCTACGGGCTTGGGCGAAGATGGAACCACTATACACTCCTTGACTCTTACTTTGGTAGCCCCAATGCGCTGAAAAAAAAAAGTGACAGCTTATCGATACATACATACATTCTGTAATTGTGACCATTACCTTATTTCGTGGCTTATTCCTTATTGTTGTCCTTGATCTTTTGGCGATCTGTTTATAACGCTCCTCGGGCATTATATAATCGTCGCGGAAGGTAAAATCTACACTAACCTTCATTTTAACTTTTGTTCGAGTTTGTCGTCTGACTAACTGATGCCAAGAGAATGAATAAAGAGAATAAATGTCAATTATTTCAATGCTGCCTTGTCACAAAAATTAATCGAAAAGGGTTGCCAATAGCACATACACATCGATTAGGTCAAATTAGTCAATTCTGGTTGTTTTCTATCCTGCTACCCGCTAAAAGCTTTTTCCCTCCAAAAACAAATCCTTGAAGCGAGTTGCTGGATTATTTATATGGTAAATGCAGATAAAGTTTCGTTTTTAAGGCTTCGGGACCGGACTTTTCTAACCGGTATTCCGGACCTTTCTATGCACTTTGCTGAGGGGGCCGAAAAATAAAATTTATTTACAGTTTTGCCAGCTTCCTAGCCCCTAGCCAAACGGATGGAATGGCAAAATAGCGGAAGCCACTGAATTTTTTTTAGTAGGAGAAAAAGTGGAGTCGAGGGTTTGGAAATTCAGTCACGTTTTGTGCAAAACGGCAACGGTTCGGAATTTACGGCAAAATTTTGTACTCCCCCAGCAAGAAAAAAAAATAAGAAAAGAAAGTTTAATTCGGGCACAGACGAAGTTGATATACCCTTATATATACAGAAATATACTGCAAAGGTCGTCTATATATGATACATAGGTGGCTTTAAGAGTTATTATTAAAATCAAGCTTCTATCTTCAATGGATATTGTAGATATAAGATAAAGTTGGATATAATTGCAATTGAAATATGAATGCCAGATTTATAATATACAAACAAACATGTTTTCTTAAAGAAATTATAGAAGAATTAAGTTAGAATTGATTAGATTAGAATACCCTCTGCAAGGGTATAAAAATGTAAACCAACCGAGGAATCCTAATCGTAGTGAACGTCTCCTAGTCTATTATTTTACTTTTATCTTATACATTTTTTTTTCGTTTTAAGTCAGGCCTAATGAAATTTTCGGTTTTATAGACAAGTGCAGCTGAGTAAATTGCAGGTGAAAACTTTTCCTGTCAGTTTTGGATCCCTGAAAGATTCCCTGTCCGGTGCGTCGTTTAATTTGAGTGCTCTCCGGCTCCATCATAAATAAACAAAAGCTGTAAACCATCTGATGTTCGAGCCGGAGTTGTTGATGTTTTTCCTTGTTTCTTTTTTTATCTTTTACATTTTATTGCCGGCTCTGGTTTCTGGCTAGCCGCCTCTTGCATATTCCGTGCGTAAGTTTATTTTTGTCCCGGACAGCAACATTTTGCGGGCCGTGTGGTCTCCGGGGGGTTCAGAGATGTCAACTTGGATTGCGGTGGAGTACAAGAGACAGTAAAGAAAGGGGTTAACTAAAGGAATCTTTACTGTGGGTTCGGTGGCAGAGGAGCCTAACCTCTACGAGAAAAGACTAGACATTTAAGATGAGACATTAGTCTCATTAAAGTTCAAATCCAAATAAAGTTTTACCTTATATTTAATTATTTAAAAAGAATTTATCCCAACGGGTATGTGTCACATTTTAACCACTGTTCCTAGCCCACAATGAAAAGTTCAACTAACCATGACTTTGGGGCTGCAAAATGTCCCCGACAAGCTGTACAGTGTACACATTAAGTTTCAACTTTAACACACAAAATAAACACACCAACAACATCAACACCAACACAGGTGTGACTTAGGTCCCCTCCTGTAGCCATTAACCCTCCCCCAGGATAACCACCCCACACGCACACTAATGCACACTAAACCAGAGCCACCAACAAGTCAACAACAATTTGTGTTTCCGTTTCCAGTTTTTATTTTTTTGCTTTTGTCGACGCTTTTCAACTTTTGCTGTCACTAGTTTTTTACTTATTTTTTGGCCAGGTTTTTAATTTCATATTTTATGCAAAAGTATGGGCTGAAGCGGAGGCTCAAGCTGTTTTATAATAAAGCCAGCTTCTTGTAGCGGCTAAGCAGCAAAATATGACAAAATGTTGAGCCAGCGGCGCATATTTTAAGCCTTCCTCGAGAGCTTAACAACTGCCATGAGGCACTGGAAAAATTGTTAAAATATTTTATAAGAAAAGTTGAAACATTTAGTAGTTAGCGGATCTATTTTTATTATTTTAAAAATATAAAAGAAAGTGGGTTTTTTTTAAATTTAATTAAGAAAATGATGTCATATTAAAATATCTTTCATATTAAAATCATATTAAAATATCTATTTAATACTTTCCTTATAATCTTATTTTCTAAATTTAATTTTCCAATTTTTCTTTTTTTTTCTTCAGTGCCCCACCATTTTCTTTACTCTACTATTTTCCATCTGCTGACAGCGGAAAATGTCACAAAAATGTTGGCGACGCTGACTTTTCTGCATGAGTCTGCTGTTTTATTTTATTTGAGCCATTTTCGGCGCCAGCTCAGACTACTACGACTATCGCATTCATATTTTTGGCCTTTTACGACTTTTCATAATCTTTATGGGCGGTGAATGGGTAGAAATGGGCGGATGGGCAGGATGGGCATGGTGGCAGGCGTGCGTGGCAGGGGCGAGGCTCAGCGCTTTTTACAGTTCAAGGAGTTACAACGCTTATGAGTGCAATTTAAATTCAAAAGCCGCTTAAATTTATTTCAAGCCCGAAGCATCAGCTTCAGCGTCAGCTTGTGCTTCACTCACTTAAGTCAATTTTTGTGTTGCAAATTTTACATTTATGACAAGCAATTTAACTTTTGCCTAATTGCGCGACATGCAAAATTGCAAGAAGCTAACTTCAGGGGATTTCGCCCCCTTCGCCCCAGTCTCCAGTCCCCAGTGGCTGTCATCTTTTTATCTGCAGGAAGCCCGAAGTTGTGTGTCCCGACGCTTCATTAAATGTAACTTTTGCCTTCGTCGTCGTCGTCGTCGTCCTCGACGTCGGAAAGCGGCATATAAAACTTTTTGTTCCAGCAACAGGATGTGGAGGCATTTGCCTGTGGATGAGGATGCCTGGCACGGAAAGGGGTGGAAACTATCAGAATATTCAGCTATGAACCAAGGGTTAGGCAAATAAAATGGCTCATTAGGATAGTGCAAGTGGAACTTATTGGATTAGTTGACTACCTCGGGTTAAGTGTCTTCTTCTCTTAAAGAAGTCCATCAAAAAATGCATCCATTTTCTGTCTAAAAAAAGTCATCGTCTAATCTGTCTAAAAAAGTCATCGAAATCCTGTCTTTATCCCAGTCCAGACACAGACACACTCTGACCCCTTTTATGGTTAGTAGAGTATAATTTCTTTCTCGAACTTATAAATATTTCAGCACACAAAAATAAGACCTTTCGGAATAAGTTCTTGTTTGCTGCTCGGCTTAAGAATTGCAACTTAAAGGCAACTTGAAACTTTCAACTGGGCTAATCTCATTGGTGAATGGCAAGTTTGTCTATCCGGCAATTAGCAAAAAGCAAGATTTTCATTTCACATGCAGAGTCTCGGATGGAAAACTGAGAAAGGATTTTTCCGGATGCGCGCTTCGCATCCATGAAGCGTCGAAGCGAATCGACAATTGTCTTAATTTCTCCGCGCGGTCCTTTTAGTTCTGCAAATGTTGAATCAGTGGAGAAAATTGAAGGAAAATCATCCACCCACCCAGAGAGACAGGGAAAGCTGGCAATTGGCAAAAGGATTTACTTTATAAGCTCCATTTGTAGTTGCATGAGTTTATTTATTTGCAGATTTTTCTTCTTGATGGGAGAAGCTTAAATGTGACACATAAAAATTGCACAAAGGATATTTTATAAGAATTTCCAAAAATATTTGTTTATTTGTTTAAAAAATTGTTTATTTTTTTCTAGGAGAAATATATTAAAGGATGTTTTACCCAAGCATCTTGCCTTTAAGTAAACGTGTGAGTACTTACACTTAATAGTTTAATATCTAAAATAGATAATCCTCAGCAGAAGGTATGGAAACTTAGTTTTTTGTAGTTATCCTGCTGTCGACAGTTTTCCAGCCGCAACATGTTGGCAAGAGTCCGAAGTTTTCCTGAAGTTGAAGTTTGTCTTTGGTTGAAGTTGTTTGCTCGAGGGCCTGGCCACAATTCCGGCTTGAGTCTAACTCCTGGCCAACACCCACTGCAACCTCTGACCCCCCAGCCCAGGGCTAAAGTGTGGCGTAATTTAAAAGCGACTAAGACAAGACAAGAACAGACACAGCCAGACAGAAAGACGTTTGCATGAGTTGGCAACTGTAGTTCAGCATTTTTATTTAGCCATCATTTGCCTTTATGACTGCTGCGGTAATCCAGTCAAGGATGGCCCGAAAATTTCACCATGATTTGGCCATTTTATCGAGTTCATTTCGAAGTTGCTGAAAAGTTTGTGCAAGTGTTGCAAGTTTTAGTGACTCGTGGGCCAGGTTTCTGGGGGCCAAGTTAATGACAGTCACGTGGCGACTTTTCGAGCAGGAAAATTGCTCATTAAAAAGTAATAAATGTCATTCGGGGGAATCAACTTTCCTCCAACAGCAGCCGAGATTAAAGTCTACAAAAGGAACCACATACGAAGTGGCCTTACTTTGTTTAATTAAACCTTTTCCTCAAAGCATTCCCCAAAGCCTATCTCTTTTATTTAATTTTCTAAATATTACATACTTTGAATTACTTTGTAGAGAAAAATTAAATAGTTTTCTTTGATGTATTAACCTCATGTAGAACGTACAAACACAAAATAAACAAAACTTTATCTTACGTTATTAGGAAACCACACAAAGATCTCAAAACCAGGACAAAGGATAGCAGCTCCAGACAAGGACAATTAGTGGAAACTGAAGAGGAGTGCCAGGACTGGACAAGAAGACAAGTTGGCAGGCAGACCACAGCAACCACAGAAGTTCATGATGTTGAAAACAGGAGCAGGTCAAGTGGGTTGGTTACTGAGTGGAGAAAATAATGGTCAAAGGCGTTGAACACAGAAGGCACCCAAGGCAGACCACAGATATCAATAGTTACCTTATTGATATTGTCCAGGCTATAGTCGGTATAATCTATTTGATTGGTCAAACATTTTCAATATTGCCTGACAGCAGCGGCTAACACTCCTTCCCCTTCTCAATTGAATTTCCCAGAGGAAAACCT